GATTTTGATGAGTTTTTCTGTGGAATGCCATGGCTTGCTCTTCCCTTTGGTGACTTGAGAAAAGCATCCTTGAGCTGCAAATTCAAGGTGAAAGGCATCCCCATGCTCGTAGCCATTGGTCCTACTGGTCAAACAATCACAAAAGAAGCAAGAGACCTCGTTATGCAGCATGGGGCAAATGCTTATCCTTTCACTGAAGAGCGGCTAAAAGAGATAGAAGCAGAGTTTGAGGAGATGGCAAAGGGGTGGCCTGAGAAGTTGAAGAGTGCACAGCATGAGGAGCATGAGCTCACGCTTGCTCATCGTAAAGGTTATGTATGTGACGGGTGTGATGAGCCGGGAGAAGAAGGGTGGTCATTCTACTGTGAGGAGTGTGATTTTGATCTCCACCCAAAATGTGCTTTGGAGGAAGATAAAGGAACCGAAAGTGATGCCAAGCAGGAACAGGATCCTCCTCAAGAAGGACGAGTATGCGATGGTGATGTGTGTAAAAAAGCTTAAGAATAATTATGTGTGTGATTTAGAGCTTAAATCTCATATGGAGATTATTAGAGACTTGTCTATGTTGAATAATTTCTTTCTGTTGTGTCCCAATGTATTGTCGTTTCAGATGGTGCAGTGCTATTTTATTATAAGATCTGATAAGGTTGTGCATTTACATCAAACTCAAACTTTCCCCGGCAATTCCCAATTACTTTTTACTTTACAATCTATTGCCTTTTGTAAATTACATGTCTTATATTTTAGCTGCATTCCATTTTTAGGGTTTGTTATTTCATTTCAATTCATTGTCTAACAACTACACTTCGCGTTAGTAAGAATTTGTAACTCATACACGTCGCGTTAGTAAGAATTTGTAACTCAAGTAGTTAAACATTTATTCATGAATCTAATGTCATGTGTTTGATCCCTGCGACCAACATTGCTTGCTTGTGTAAAAGGTACACATCACTTTAATATAATTGATGATTATTTGCACATTGCCAAAGTGTGTCTATAAATATGTTGGGCAAGGCATGGGCCATGGCCGACACAGGAAGGTTCCTTTTCTTTTTGTCATAAACACAAAATAAAGGTCAACCAAAAATAAAGGAGACTTGACCCAAAGTTGTCGCCAACTTCTATTTGAAATAATAAAACAATATTATATAATGTTAACAAAACCATGATATATATATATATATATATATTTTATCTAAACCATACCTTAAGTTGTATATGCTGAATATGATCCAATATAAGCACATTCACAATCGTGCTCCTTATTTTTAAGTTAAAATTTAGTTAAAAATAATATAAAGTTATTTTAAGAGCTCTTTATAAAATTTCAACTCCAACCATGCTCCCTCCCTAGTTTAGGGAATCATAAATTTTTATTTTTTATTTTTTATTTTTATTTTTTGTAGTTTAGCATAAATGCTCCCTTTTCATATAGAATAATAATAATAATAATAAATAGTTAGTATAAAATAAATACTTAAAATAACATTAAAGTAAAGCATTATTTAATTATAAGGAGCCGCTATGAGTCATTTCTCTTTCCTCAGATTTAGGAGCTCCTAGAGGTCTCCTTATTTTAGGAGTTTAGAGCATAGTTAGAGGTGAGTTTTCTCACATTCTCCCTAAATTTTATATAATGAGGTAGTCTAGGGAGTCCATTGTAGATGCTCTTATGAGCTTAGAGCTTCTACAATCACGCTCCCTATTTTTCAGTTAAAGTTTAGCTTAAAACACACATGTTATTTTAGGAACTCTATAAAATTTGAACTCCAAACATACTCTCTAGTTTAGGGAGTCATAAATACTATGGTTATTTTTTAATTCAATATGATTGGTCCATCTCTATAAGAAATAATATATAAAAATAGTTAGCATTAATTAAAAGTTTAAACTATGCATAAAACAAAACAATATTAAACTATAGGAAGTCAGTAGGAGTCTTTTCTCTCTCCTCAGATTTAGGGGCTCCTAGAGTTCTCCTTATTTTAGGAGGTGGATAGGGACCATGGTTGGAGTTGTATTTTTCCAATTCCTCCCTCAAATTTGTTTAATGATGTAGTCTAGGGAGCCCACTATGGATGCTTTTAATGGGGACATCTTTATTCCTTTTTCATTTTTAAGCAAGGATTCTGCTAGTTGGGATGAGAAAGGTGGGGAGGAGTACGAGAGCATTTTGTGATTTTTGGGCATGATGGGGTTAAAGCTTACGGGCTTGGTTTTAATTGAGTCCCATAGAGAACATGGCCCGCATGAGCTTGACAACGAGTGCTTATGTCAATGTCAGTAGTGGGCTTCTTCTTCTTTTTTACACAAAAATAAAGGAATGCAACACGAGAACTCAAGAGGTCACCCATCCTAGTACTACTCTCACCCAAACTCATTTTACTTCGGAGTTCTGATGGGATTTAGTGCATTTTTGGGATGATCGCATCTGTCAGTAGTGAGCCTCAATTGGGAGTTTTCCATTTTTCTTTATAGGCCCATGCATCGTATATTCAGTCGTTTTGTCAAATGAATCAATGCTAGAATTATATTATGCACTATTGTCGTCTTCCTCAATCTAATTATTTCACTCTCTTTTAGATTTCCTTTATCAATTAGAAGGGGAAGTCGAAATTGGGGTGTTTTCAAAATTATAAAGAAAAAAACCAACAAATTAGGAGCTAATTGGGAAAAAAGACAAGAAGTGGTGAAAAATGAAAGATTGAAAGAAATGTCTTGACAATGAGGGCTATTGAGTAGTTTTGTGAGTGTTCACACCAAAATAAAAGAACAATAGATGTGGCTCAAGTTTCAGTTGTTAATGTTGTTAACATGTTTTGTGAAACTAATCAAGTACCATATAGTCTTGTTCGTTATACTTTATTTTTATCGAATTTATCTTCTTGGGATCTCCATATATCATTCAAGATGTTTTAATAGATGATATTATGTCATGGTTTTTTGCTTCAATCTATTTCATCGTTTTCTATATATATAAAAAATAAAAAAATAAAAAAATAAAAAAATAGAATAGTTTTCTGGTCAATGTGAACACAAGCATTACTATTCCAATGTTCACACTTCTAATAAATTATGAATTGCAAGGAATCGAGGACTCGATATTAATGTTTGTATATTGAGCAGCCAAGTACAAAATAGATTTAAAAAATGACTACATGCTTAAAAGCTATGGACGTATTTTATATTTATTTGGTTTTGGGTAAATAGGAATTGCATTTGAAAAAATAAAAGGCAACAATAGAACAATAACTTTTATCACATTCATACCTTGAAATTAATCAAGTCACGGATATGTCTATTTGGTTTGGGAATTTTCCTAAGAACATCCACACTGAGGAGGTGGTGTAAAGGGGCATTTACATTTTCTGTCGGAGATGGGAAAAAAGATGGGATGTATATATCTCCAACTAGGGTCCACATAGGTAAAGGAAGAGAGAGAAGACTAAGTCGGTGCATAAAAAAGGGATGAGAGGGAGTAAATGCAAGCCCTATCTAATTAGAAAAATTTGTATGAAATGGGGATAGTACTGTTTTGCTATCTAATCAATCACAAAATACCACGTGAAAAAGTTATCACGCGTGGCATATTGTGATTCGGGGGGAATAGCAAAATAGTGATATCCTCGTTTCACCCAAGTGTTTCTCTAGCTAATGGGTGTTGCTTGTGATGCAAGCGCAATACCTCTCTTCCTCCAACAGACAACTGTGATCTTCTTTAGTTTGAAATTCAACGGCTGTTACAAGAAGAGAAAAAATGACCTAAAAATTCAAACAAAAAGATCTAAACATTTCGGGAAAAAAAAATTTCTCTATGTATGCCCAACTAAACTAAATCAACAAAACTTGTTTAATCTTATGCTATTGCAATTTAAATTTTGTAAAGCTCCATTGATTTGGAAAAACAAAATAAAACAAAAAATAATAATTTAAAAAGTTAACACAAAATATAAATTAACACAAAAATGAATTAATACAAGAAAATCAACTTTACATCTTCGGATTTACTTTTTGACCATCAGACAAAACATGATTTACATTAGCTGCAAATGTAAAAGTGACTTTATACCCTCGAATTTGCACCTCTCATCGTGGATGTTCTTATTTAGGTTGTATTTTGATTTGTATAGGTTAAACATCCTTGATATATGTATATTTTAAGTTAAAAATATATATATATTTTTTATATTTGTATTGAGTTTTAATAGACTGACGCACTAACGGGATTTAGCCCAATAAAAAAGAGTATTGACTTACAGACCAAAAGTCTTAGGTCTGAACCCCCATCATATGATAGTTGTGTGTGAGAGAAATTCTTCTCTCCTATAGTAGAACTATCAATTGTACTAAATAAATAAATAAAAAAAGCCGATGCATCCAACGCAAGTCCCAAAGAGATGCTCTTGCTTTTCCTGCTCTCCAAGAAAATAATAATATAGGCCAGTAAAAGAAATTAATTTTATTTTTGTCCTTTTCCAAAATGTCCCTAAATAGAGCCTCTGAGTTCTCCGCCTAAACCCCCTTATTTTTACAATACATGACAATCTCGGCAACTTCTAATTTTAAGTTTAAATGTTAAAAATCAACACTTAACTGAGCCCAAGGAAAATAAAGCCTAGCCCATGGAAGGTAGTCAACACTTCAACAGTTGAGCTAGATAAGTATAGAAAAATCTGGAAAAGTGAAGAGAGTTTCACCGACCTAGTAACTAGATGTTGTATTAGAATAATGTAGTTGATTCTAGAAAGTTACATAAGCTGTGTCGGCAGCCAGAATTGTCTAGAAAAATCTGGAAAAGTGAAGAGAGTTTCACCGACCTAGTAACTAGATGTTGTATTAGAATAATATAGTTGATTCTAGAAAGTTACATAAGCTGTGTCGGCAGCCAGAATTGTCTAGAAGATAAACAACTATAAGTGAGGGTCTTAAGAAAGAAGAGGAGTATCAATAAGAAGGGTGAGCAATCCAATCCTGTTGAAGAAAACCCAGGAAAAACCAGTATGTCCGATAGTAAACAAAACGTGGCTGAGCTGGTCAACAGCGAACCCCACGACTTTCGGTCGCTGCTTTCTTCTTCCGAGAGGGACTTTCTTGTCCGCAACAATGGTGATCAGGTATATTTTCACCTCTCAATATCTGATTGTTTTACATTATTTTCACCTCAGAACTGAAGACCGAATCAACGAGATTTTCGCAGTCGAAGATCAACAAGTCTTGATCTTGGGCCGTCTCTAAGGCCTTCTCCTTGGTACCCAAATCGGTAAATTGATTGTTGAGTTCATATTTTTGATGATTTTCATAAGAGAAAGCTGTAAAACCATGAGGTTTGTTCCCATCCCATCGATGAAAACAGAGGACAATCAACCTTGAGGTTTGTCCCTGCGTTAAAATAATATGAATCTTTAAATCAGTTTTTTCTACAAATTTATATGGAAAATACGGGTCATGGAGAAATTTGTGAGAGTCGTGGAATTAGAGTCAATTTGGGGTCGTTGAATTGGGCATGTCGTCACACTGGTAGATAGATGTATTCACAACGAAAAAATAAATGGAGGTTGAGTTTGAGTGTCATAAGAAAAACCAAGTTACTATCTTCAATTGCTCTGTTTGCAAGGTTTTGGATTGGGTTAGGCTAACTTCATATCAGGGATGGGTGAATTGTATTCTGATCGAACGACCAGCAATGTCAAACCTAACCCCACCTTCGATTCTTCCAATCTCAACCACATCCACAACCACTGCAAATCTTTGACGGCTCCGCCTAACCCCAAAAACCCAATTCGAAGTGAAAAAGCACAAAAAATCGAAAGGGCACAAACCTCAGCCTTAGCGTTAACAACTTCTTGAAGCTCATAAGGAAATAGAGAAATAGACCTTTACTGGAGGCTCTTAATAGCATGATTTGCAGCATCCTGAACCTGAGGATCGTGTGGCGGCACATATTGCCACTCGGCCCGTGCCCACCTTCCTTAACACCAAGATCGGAAGAGGTAAACGACGGCGTTTCATTATAGTCACCAGCGTGCTTGAACTATTGCACTTCCTTAAAACCCATCCATGGCTTCACCCAGACTTTGGCTTTGTAAAGCTTCTTCTTTTCGGCATCAATTGCCTCGATCGTTAGATGGTGTAGAGAGCCAACAACCACTTACTCCTTTGCCTTCACCACCCTCACAAACTCAAGCAGAGCATTCTGCACAATTTTCAATAGATTTCTTAATTATCTAATTAATTAAAATTCCGACATAACATTGAAATTAAAAGGCACAAAACAGAAAAGACCTCCTCCTTCTTGTGATCTTGGACGGCGAAGTGAGCGAGGTCTTTGGTTTCGAAGCTGTTCGTAGGCATGGGATTCGTGGACTCTGCCGGGAGTGGCCATGTTTTGGAAATGGGAGCGATTGGATTCTTCTCTTCCGTTTCAACTATTAATCTATACCCAAGCCTTGAACACTACACTCTTTAGCTGTGAGAGAAACAAAAACCAATTCATATAATTTTGGAGATAAATGGCGATTTCTTGTGAATTGGGGATCTCTGCAACATTGAGCTCTTGCCCTATGTTTTTTTGTCTCTGTAAGTCAAATGGATGGATTAATAGATGAAATGTTCGAATTTTGACGGTGGGGGAAGCATTGATAATAAAATTTAATTTGAGCCCTTTATTCACAAAAAAATAAAAAGGTCATGGATAAATTGAAAGGTATGTACTAGTTTAGGGGGCAATTTAGCATATTACCCTTTGTTTGTGTATATATGCTTAATAGTTCTATAGTTTTTATGCATATATGAATTTGAATTCTAATCTGTTTGGATATGTGTACAAATGTATTAATTCGAATAGTGGTTTATTTAAAAGTAGTTATTAGAAAAGTTCACTGCAATAGTGGAAAAGAATATTGATTTTTAAGATGTAGAGGGGTTTGGATTGAGCATAGGCATTGGTAGTCATATCTTAGGATCCTGTGTGGATAATATGAGAGAGAGGAATCATTTGTTAAATTCTTGATTTGCAGATTAAAGTTGAAAGCTTGAAGGGGAAAAAGCTTGGGTTGTACTTTTCTGCATCATGGTGCGGTCCATGTCAACGATTCACCCCTTCTTTAGTGGAGGCCTACAATGAACTCTCTTCCAAAGGTGATTTCGAGGTTGTCTTTATCTCAGCTGATGAAGATGATGAGTCATTCAATGGGTACTTCTCCAAGATGCCGTGGCTTGCAATTCCATTTTTGGATAAAGAGGCACGTGATCGTGTGGATGAACTGTTCAAGGTCAAAGGGATACCCCATCTTGTGATCCTTGGTGAAGATGGCAAAGTTTTGAGTGATAGTGGAGTTGAGATTATTAAGGAGTATGGAGTAGACGGCTACCCTTTTACACCAGAAAAGATAAAAGAACTAAAAGATCAAGAAGAAGCAGCCAGAAGGAATCAATCCTTGAAAACAATCTTGGTTTCTCGCTTACGTGACTTTGTGATTTCAAATGACGGAAAGAATGTAAGTTTCAATGTCACTGCTTGTTTATGCTACTAACTACTAGTCTCATTTTTTATACATGTATCATAAAATGTAATTCGGGCCCAAATCTGACTGTTGTTCTCAATGTGCGCATATATTAAGGTGCCTGTCTCTGAACTTGAAGGGAAGATAGTGGGTCTCTATTTTTCATTGTCTGCATACAGTCCATGTGTTGACTTTACTCCAAAACTTTTGGAGGTTTATGAGAAGCTAAAAGCAAATGGAGAGAGCTTTGAGGTTGTGGTGATACCACTTGATGATGATGAAGAATCATTCAAGCAAGATTTTAAGAGCATGCCTTGGTTTTCTTTGCCAATCGGGGACAAAAATGTTGGGAAGTTGGCTCGATACTTTGAGCTTTCAACCTTACCCACTTTGGTTATTATTGGGGCAGATGGTAAAACTGTTAGTAAGAACGTTGCTGAGGCCATTGAAGAGCATGGGGTTCTGGCTTACCCCTTCACCCCAGAGAAGTTTGCAGAGCTTATTGAGATAGAAAAGGCAAAGGAGAAAGCTCAAACCCTAGAGTCAATTTTGGTATCTGGGGATCGAAACTTTGTCATTGGAAAAGGTGGAACTGAGGTAAGAATAATTTTTAACCTCCTTTTATGGTTTCAAAAGTGATTTTTTGTGTGCATTGTGGGGCAAAAATCCCACAGGTTCCTTTTGTCATGGCAGGTGACATTTATCTGTGTGCGTGTTTGTGCTGTTTGTGGTAATAAGTGAATGACAACTATTATTTGTGGATTTAGATTCCTGTGTCAGATCTGGTGGGGAAGAACATCCTCCTTTATTTCTCAGCTCATTGGTGCCCTCCATGCCGTGCCTTTCTACCAAAACTTGTTGAAGCCTATCACAAGATTAAGGCAAAGGATGATGCCTTTGAAATTATTTTCATCTCTAGTGACAAAGACCAAGGCGATTTTGATGAGTTTTTCTCTGGAATGCCATGGCTTGCTCTTCCCTTTGGTGACTTGAGAAAAGCATCCTTGAGCCGCAGATTCAAGGTGAAAGGCATCCCCATGCTCGTAGCTATTGGTCCTACTGGCCAAACAGTTACAAAAGAAGCAAGAGACCTCGTTATGCAGCATGGGGCAAATGCTTATCCTTTCACTGAAGAGCGGCTAAAAGAGATAGAAGCAGAGTTCGAGGAGATGGCAAAGGGGTGGCCTAAGAAGTTGAAGAGTGCACAACATGAAGAGCACGAGCTCACGCTTTCTCGCCGTAAAAAATATGTATGTGACGGGTGCAATAAGCCGGGAGAAGTGGGGTGGTCATTCTACTGTGAGGAGTGTGATTTTGATCTCCACCCAAAATGTGCATTTGAGCAAGATAAAGGAACTGAAAGTGATGCCAAGCAGGAACAGGATCCTCCTCAAGAAGGATTTAGGTGCGATGGTGATGTGTGTAAAAAAGCTTAAGAAGAAGTATGTGTGTGATTTAAGGCTTAAAATCTCATATGGAGATTATTAGAGAGTTGTTTATGTTGAATAGTTTCTTTATGTTGTGTCCCTATGTATTGTCTTGTCGTTGCAGATGCTGCAGTGTTATGTTATTATAAGATCAGATGAGGTTGTGCATTTACATAAATCTGTGATTTCATTTCATTGTCTTTGTTTCATTCCATTATCACTTTATTAAGAATTACTAGTATCTAATGTCTAGTAATGTCATGTATTTGATTCTCCCCTATCAATATTGCTTAAATAGCTTAAATAAAAGGTACGCGTCACTTTAATATAATTATAATGATAATACTTGCCTCCTCACCGATAAGGAGATATTCCTTCCTGCGAATCACAATTTGACACATATGCAAAAATAATGTATCGAAAATACAAAAAGTAAAATTTCTGCATATATGTTATATAGTGCTGCTATTTCCACCCCCTTGTCCTATTTTTCCACCCACTTTATCTTTTCACCCACCATATAAATTTGAAAAAACATAATCTTATCTTCCCACCCACCCACCATTATTCCTAAAATACCCTTTAATTATTAATTTAAACAATTAAAAATAAATAAATAACGAAAAGAAAAAGAACCATCAACAACTGCCCACCACCACTCCCTCTTCCTCTTTGTTTCTATTCTTTTCTCTATCCCTCTCTCTCTCTTTAAAAAACAAGGAACATGCAAGTTGATTGTGAATCTACCATAAGTTGATTGGGGTTTAGTTGGACCTGCGATCCATATCACACCAGCAAGTCTTATTTGCAAATCTCATCCACTCATATAATTGACGGATTCGTGGTGGGAGTAGTCGACTAAGGGAGGTAGTGCTAGGTTCGTGATGGCTGGTGGTTTCTGTACAATCTTTTATTATTATTATTTTTTATTCTTTTAATTTTGAGGAAGATGAAGACAACCCATATGAAGGATTGAGACTAAGATTATGTTGTTAATGTTAAGGAAGAAAAGAGCAAATTTTGAAAACAAACAACAGATGTTAAATAAGATTGTTCTTTGTACATGAAAGAGAGAAGGAAAAAGGAATAGAAACAAAGAGGGAGGCGGCAGCGGCGGCCATGAAGGGGAATTTGCCATCGGGGTTGGGGTGGGAGGGTTCTTTTTTTTTCTTTTCGTTTTTAAAATTTTATTCTAAAGGGGAAATGCCATATGAATAGTGAGTTCATCGCATTGCTTCCTTGATGTTGCAGTTGTACAAGTTTGCATATGCGATTGTTTTCTCCTATCTTGCAAGTTTCATGAGCGTGCTTTCTTTTCTTTTTCTTCTTTGTTTTAAAAACTAATATATTGTGTTGTGAAAGAAAATAAATTTACTTTATATGAATTTTTAAATAATTTTTTTTAAGTCCTTAAAAGTAATTTTATAAAGGGATAAATTTGTCTTTAAAATTTTGAAAATAAAGTTGATAAAAAAAATAAGACAGATGGGTGAAAATAACAGCACTTATGTTATATTGCTATTGATAAGAATATAAGAGTTCATACTTGCCTTTTTCATTGATGATTATTTGCACGCTACCAACGTGTGTTTATAATATGTTGGGCAGGCCAAAAAGACATGGCCCATGGCCTACACAGGAAAGGTTCCTTTTATTTATGTCATAAACACGAAATAAAGCTTGACCAAAAAAAAACACGAAATAAAGGAGCCTTGACCCAAAGTCGTGGCCAACTTTTTTATTTAATAAAATAATATATTATATTCTGTTAACAAAACCACGATCCGGTTTTTTCTTTTCTGTTTTTTTGTTGGAAGGTTTTTTTTTCTTCTTATAAATCCTTTTGTTAATTATTGTTTTGGAGGATAAATTCCACCAATCCCAGTTTCATACAAGTTGCTGCCTACTGGATCCCAAAAAAAAACAAAATTGCTGTCTACGTGACAAGACTTGGTCTAAGGGGATTTTATGAGCCATGATTTATATTTATTTATTGTTGTTCAACAACAAGCATTATCTTATTAAAAAAGAACAAGCATTATTCTTTAATGAAAAAACAAAGAGTCTGAAAATCTCTATAGAGATTGGAGGAGAGAGATAATATTTTAATAACACAGAAAAAGCATCAAACTCTATCACTTAGCCAGCCAGCTCCTATTTGCGTGTTTGCGCGTTATTATATTCAGTGATTAGTGGTCTCAACGAACCTCAAAAAGTCACAAAGTTACCCGGCGAAGTTAATTACCAAAAATACAGCAAGCATGGCCAACGGCGACGAAGACGGCGTTGTTCACGATCTGTTTTCGCTGCTTTCCTCCGAGGACAGGAACTTCCTCGTCCGCAACAACGCCGACCAGGTAAACCATACTCAGAAATTGATTATTTCTGATAAAGTTTTCATCTTTATGTTCATGGAGATTGGAGAAGAAAAAAGCAGACCGAAGTGTTCGCATTTTGTTTGGGAATATTAGAATGCTCATCTAAATGTGTTATAGAAGAAACCCAGTAGATTAAATGATTTGCAATTGCTTTTTTTCTCAATTTCATCTAAAAGTTTTGACTTTGACATTTGATTATATGGAAAACAGATTGAGATGACTCTGTTTGATTTTCTGGGTCATGGTGATCTTTGATGAATATGTAGGTTGAGATCAGTAGTTTGAGCGGAAAGATTGTGGGGTTGTATTTTTCTGGCTCATGGTGCGGTCCATGCCGCCGTTTCACCCCAAGCTTGGTGGAGGTCTACCAGGACTTGGCATCCAAAGGCGATTTTGAAGTTGTGTTTATCTCTTCTGATAGAGATGATAAGTCATTCAGTGGCTACTTCTCTGAAATGCCATGGCTTGCCATTCCATTTTCAGATTTGGAGGCCCGAAAACGCTTAAAGGAATTGTTCGAGGTTAGGGGGATTCCTAATCTTGTCATTATTGATGCCAATGGGAAGGTTTCTACTGATCAAGGGACTAGAATTGTGATGGAACATGGTGTTGATGGTTATCCATTCACCGCGGAAAATATCAATTTCTTGAAAGAGCAAGAAGCAGCTGCTAAGGAGAATCAGTCCTTGAGTTCTCTCTTGGTTTCTAGGTCTCGGGATTATTTGATTTCGAAAGATGGGAGTAAGGTACAACTTTTTGTCCCATGCCAACGTTGCTAGAACTTCTGTGATATTGGGTTGTCCGTTTTCTTTTCTTTTCTTTTTTACATGAATGAGATGGTTGATGATCATGAGTACATGTATTTGCAGGTTCCTGTATCTGAGCTTGAAGGAAAGATGGTTGGCCTGTACTTCTCACTTCATACTCACAAGCCATGCAAAGATTTTACTCAGGCACTTCTGAAGTTCCATGAGAAACTCAAGGAGAAAGGAGAGAACTTTGAGATTGTGTTGATATCTCTAGACTATGAAGAGGAGCACTTCAAAGAAGGGTTTCAAGCGCCATGGTTGGCATTGCCATTTAAGGCCAAGAGCTGTGAAAAACTTGCTCGCCACTTTGAGCTTGAAAATGTACCTACACTGGTTATAATCGGGCAAGATGGGAAGACCTTACGCCCAAATGCGGTTGAACTCATTGAAGAGTATGGCATTGAAGCCTACCCGTTTACAGCTGAGAAGATTGCTGAGCTTGCTGAGATTTCAAAGGCAAAACTCGAAGAACAGACTCTGGAGTCACTGTTGGTTGCTGGGGACAGAAACTTTGTGATTGAAAAGACCGGTTCCAAGGTAAAATTTTCTTCTTGGTTCAAAATCTCCAATCTTTTCTAATCTTCCATGCCATTGTATTTCAAAGGTTTCTTTATGGTCATTAATTAGAGGTTTTCTAATTACGTTTTTCAAGTTTCTGTTCTATCTTTGACTATAGGTACCGGTGTCTGAGCTTGCTGGGAAGCACATTATGCTCTATTTCTCAGCTCATTGGTGTCCCCCATGTCGCGCTTTCATGCCTAAGCTTATAAAAGCATACAATCAGATTAAGGCAAAGGATAATGCATTTGAAATTATCTTCATTTCAAGTGATCGTGATCATTCCTCCTTCAAAGAGTTCTTTTTGACCATGCCTTGGTTAGCCCTCCCGCTAGGTGATCCAAGGAAGGCATTAGTGCAGCGCAAATTCAAAATCCAAGGCATTCCTGCATTGGTGGCCATTAGCCCCAATGGCCAGACACTCAGCACGCAAGCACGGCAGCTCATACAAGCATATGGAGCTGATGCATATCCATTCACAGAAGAGCATTTGAAACATTTGGAAGAAAAGTTTGAGGAAGAAGCAAAGGGGTGGCCTGAGAAAGTGAAGAGTGAACTCCATGCTGAACATGAGCTCACACGGGTCCTTCACCACGAATATGTTTGCTGGTGTAGGGAGCCGGGAAGTGGTTGGTCTTTTTACTGCAAAGAATGTGACTTTCATCTCCACCCAAGATGTGCTTTGAGTAACAAGGAAGGAACAAAAGCTGATGCTCCAAATGCAATGGAGGGATATATTTGTGATGGTGATGTGTGCCGGAAAGTTTGAGAATTTATCCGAGTTACAGTATGTTTCTGGTTTTTGTAACTGTGCTGTCTGTTTACTCTTTATACGAAGGTGTTTGTGTGTGCTTTGCTAATTACATAAGTCAAGAGGCTTAAGCTTATGGGATGATGTAAAATTGTGATCCAAAAGAGTGGAGATGTTGTGTTCTGAACTTATGAATGTTGAGGGTGGATATCCTTCTGCTATCTCATATTCTCATGATGATGAATGAGAATACTTTCTGCCCAAGATTGTTTCATAAATAAATTGTGACAAGAGACTTTATGTATTTTGATCAAATAACTTGAAGGACTTATAGGGCTTATATGGGATCCACAATCTTGGACCAAATCATTCCTCGAATGTGAAAGGCCCGTATTTAGGCATCCACCAAACTATTGTTGTCACACTTGGCCTTAGCTCATGGGGTCCACAGCCCAAAGTGTAGGTACCGCCACCATTAGATTATTACTTGAGTGATGAATTTCCGGGCTGGCTGCGGATAACATGTGCATCACGTGCTTGCTCTTCTCCAAAATCTGTAGAAAGTTGGAACAAAAGTATTCAAAAAATGAACAGCGAATTAAAAACAGCAGATTCTTGGATCAGCTTCATAAATTGGAGACTGGAATGAATATTCTTCTGATTGGATTTTCTCTGTAACTGTAAGTGAGCCATTCATTTCATTCTATCTCCCTGCTTAATATCTAGTCCAGTTGTGGCTCGTTTATTCTTCTTGAGCTATCATTACTGGGTTCTTTTAATTTCCCGTGCTATGGGGTTTTCTTTCTCCAGTTTATGTGCGTAGGTGCTCTGTTTTTTTGTTTGTCTCTCTAGAATTTGAGATGGGTCATGCTTTTTCTTGATTTTGCCTTGCTAAAGGTCTTGACTTTGCTGCAAATGTTAATGGGTAATGCAGATGGCGAATTGTTTTTATCAAATTCAGTTTGGTCACAAATATGTATTCAGTGTTTGGGTTTACCAGCTTGGGATATAGAATGGCCACTGAATTTTGTTATTATTTGATTGATTGTTGGCTTGAGGCACTAATTTTTAAATGAAGAAGAAAAAATGGATTTTAAAACATCTTAGCCTGTCTTTAACTACTTTCTAATTTTCGTTAAACCGTAGGCAACCATTATAAGCTAACATAACCAAGTCAATGTTTACCTTCCCATGTGCAAGTTATGAAATTAATGAAAATGTTCATTGAACTGGTGTTTCCAAACAGTTCCAGCTTTAATGGGCGAGACAGAGGTGACCACGACAAGCGTAAACGTCACCAAGAATGAGAGAAATGGGCACCTCAAGGCATTTGATCTGGTGTTTGCTAAAACTTTTCTGCAGGTTCCTCACAAGCTGCAGAATTGTCTAAAGGCCAGTCATTTTCACTAAAAGCTCGTGATTTTCTTATGGATATTGATTTGATATGTGGATTTAATACCCTTTTTAATGTAACAGTCGCAGCTCAAGAGACTGGCAAAAGATGATGGAGTGAAAACAGTTATCTCTGTCCCAAAAAAGGCTACATCTTTGGAGGTTGATTTGGAGAAGCAGTTGCAGGCATGGAGAGAAAATCCTTCATGGGCTGATCAACCACCAGATATAAAGGTGAGAGATGTGCTTCCCTCTACCGAATTAGTTTCCATTGGTGTGGGACTAAATTGGCTTTGTCCTGTTGTAAGCTTGTTGTATGCCAAATGTGATTGGTAATGGACGTCAAAGAAAGTTAATTCAATTTTTGAAGTAATATTTTTCATGTCCTTTGGAAATAAATATTTCATATCAATCAGGTTCTGACATGTATAGTCTTGATTTTTGACTCACTGCTCCATGTATATACTAAATGTTAGTGTGTAGCAAGCAAACCATGCTTCTGTTCCTTTAACATGGATACTTTTATGTAGGATATGCTGGTTAAGAGAAATAATTTAGGCCAGAAACAAGAATGTTTTAGTGATTGCAAATATCATGCCACCATTCTTTTGGAAGGAGCATCTCAAGAGTTTATTGCTTCTCTGTGTATCTACTAACCTTAAGCCACAACATATTCTTACTCTTTGCAGGTCAGTGTACCAAAAGGTTCTCTTTGCAACCTCAGTGTGAGGGTCAATGTTGGGTTGCCCCCAGATGCAGTATATAACATTGTAACTGACCCTGACAATAAGAGGGTTTTCAAGAATATTAAGGCAAGTGATACTATTTAATTGACTTTCTTTTTATTCGATCTATGTGGGTGTTTTTTTGTTTTTTTTCCCTGCTCCCCTATCATGATGCGTACTCTTTTATATGAAAGTGTATTCGCCAATTTGACAAGTTAGGTATCTGTCCCAGGAAGTGATATCCAGAAAAGTTTTGGTTGATGAAGGTTCTAGGCAGGTGGTTGAACTTGAGCAAGCAGCTTTATGGAGATTCCTTTGGTGGTCAGGGACCATTGCAGTTCATGTTTTAGTAGATCAAAACAGAGAAGACCATTCAGTAAGGACTTGATCATCTTCTTGTTGCTGTGACTTAAGAACTGCTTCTTTGTTGCTATTCCACATTCTCTCTCTTCTGTCATACATGTGCGTACCATAAGCCTCAACATCTTATTTAGGCCTGGTGGGTGACGGAAACAGTGTATATGGATCAAGTACATATTATATAATTGTTGTTGCTATATTTACTTGATATTTTGAAGCAGTTTTCAACCAATTTGCTGAAGCTTCAATTTTCCCCATCTGTTGATCAGAGCTAAATTCTCTAGTTTTCTGAAACACACTTCTTATTTCACCCAAAAAAAGGCATTTCACATTTTCGGCATTGCATGAAGTGGATATCAGGTTTGTGATGTTGACCCATCACATTCAGGATCTCCACTATACTTTATTTGTCTGCATTACATATATTAGTTAGAAGTGCAGGCCCATGGTTTGCTCCCATGTGGTCTGAGGTTCAAAAACCCCCGAAGGTACCTACCTAGCTATTTGCTAGTGTTTCCTGCCTCCCAAGATTTTTTTTTGGGGGGGGGGGCATGTGGATTGGTTAATTTCTGGGTATAAAAAAAAAGTGTAGAAAGTAATGTTCTGGAACAGGCCAGTCAGTAATTCATTACTCCACCTAATTTGCTCTTATATCCAATGTAGGACATGACTGGGTTAAGTATAAATGATCTCTGTAATGCCATGGGAAAATCGGTTCTCTAATATCTAAGAATGACATTTGCCAGATGAAGTTCAAGCAAGTCAAAACAGGGTTTATGAAGAGATTTGAAGGCTGCTGGAGAGTGGAACCTCTTTTTGTCGATGAAAAGACCTGCTTTCCCTTCAAACCCAAGACATGGACAGATTATCATTCATGCACTGGAGGCAAAGGGAGGATTGGATCAAAGGTCAGCTTGGAGCAACTGATCCAGCCAGCTATTGTTCCACCCCCTCCCATTTCTTGGTATCTAAGGGGTATCACCAGCAAGACCACCGAGATGCTGATAAATGATCTGGTTGCTGAAGCTGCCAGAATACGAGGAGAATTAAACCCTGAGAAGTCTAATAAAGAGCTTGAAATGTCTCAGGATCAGGAAATACTTTGTCAGGTTGATAATGTATCTAACATCAAAGAAAGATGGGCCCTGCGCAGGAGAAATGCAAAGCAATATCATCGGAGGCTACCGACTGCCAAATGATCCAACTTGTGTTCAGTTAGTAACTAATGCAAGCTCCTTATCTGTATTCCCTATTTATGGAAGTTGATATGTAAAAGGTCCATCAATATTTCTTGTATCTGTCAAGTGTAATGGCCCTTCAGCCCGGTGGAGACTCCTCTCCCTTTAGATGAGGGTGGAGGATGAGATCAAGGATTCAATCCTCGTGTCTGTTGTATGGTGTTCTTGTTTGTCAAAAACTTCTTGTTGTATCCACCTATCTGCTAAATCAACGTTCCTTTGAAAGATGATGTCATAAATTGCAGCAAACATCAAATTAGATGGTTTGTATATGCGTTTGTTCTCATTTATCTCTCTGGAACTTATACATGTAACGGGTGCAATGGGAAAGGACGTGTGTGCCTGCGACTATGACCGAATGACAGCTTTCTTTCTTTTAGTATTTGTATCCCAAAATCCTAATAAGTGGAATAAATATTGATTCTGGAAAAATAAAAACCAGAGGAAAATTGCGGCACACTGGCACAGTTAGCGGAAGAAGAAAAAAAGTTTAAAAGCTAAAATTAAATAAAAGCCTGCAATGACAGTCAGGAATTCATTTTATTGAATAATGAAGCGCAGTTACAATATTTTGGAAAAGAAATACAAATTACAAAATCTAGACAGATGTTTACGGTACATAAGTTACAGTGTACAATATATGAGTTCTCTCTCTTTCATCTGAATTTTTCTTCACTTTTGCATACATGTCCCTAGTAATTTTATAGACAATGTTACATATGCTACGCAAGTTTCGAGTCATTGAGTTTCAGACTTTAGAAAGGCAACCAAGAGTTGCCTCTCAGTTCTCGTATCCAAACTCCAGGAGGAGAAAATCTAACGCAAACTTTTATGACAGGCAGATACTGCAATCTATACTTTGATTTTCATTCAATTCCCCGTTTGGTGGATCATGAATCTTATCTCCTCCACGGGATGCATCCACTGGAGATTGTTGCACCAACTGGTGGACCTTCAAGTTAAGAAAGCCATGCTTTTCATAGCTCATGAATGAACCCAAAGCTCCAAGAAATCCTTCATGTTTTAAGAACATTGCTTTTGCTTCACCTTTAGACCTGCAAAGAAGGATCAAATGAATGACATTTTAACCCAAAACCATGGGAAAAAATGGAAGAGTAAAAACAAAGCCAAATCAGGCAGAGTATGACGGCCTTCCTGGTGATTTGAACCTGAGGCCAGAATGGGAAGAGCAAATCTGCTCACAACCCAGAAAGGACCATTTTTGTGGCATCAACAAGGCATTGTATGCATGGGATCAAATTTATATTTTGAAGATTCTTTTTAGATAATTTATACTTAAATTCGGAACATGAACCAGTTCTGATGCTTGCAAAAGAAAAAGAAAATCCATCATGATTACCAGAAATGAACAGCAACAGCAATCGTGTCCATGGTGTAAGCATGACCCCGAATGAAAAATCCAGCAAAAAATATCCGCTTGAGCCCGAATCTCAGTGCATTCAAGTATGAGATCTGGAGACAAGATACATAAAGAAACAATACGATAGGCATGCTGACAAAAACAGTTATTAACTCTTATGGTAAAGGTTGACATAATCAACTAGTTAAAGAAATTTTATTCATTGCAAGGAAGTCATTTGTTTTTCACCATGCCTTAAGCAGGTGATGACTTACCTGTCCGATATTATTTGAAATCATTCTTAAGAGGGATCGAGAGATATCTTCAGGTTTGTAATCTTCCAGCTCCTTGTTATCAGAAATTGCCTTGCCAAAGCTAGAAGCAATGGTGGTTGATGAAAGACCAATCTGCGATCATCAGAAAAGTAACGGTTGCAGTTAATAAACATGAGATGAAAGTTAATGGAAACTAGGAGCCCCTCATTATCTTTTAAATTTAGGAACCCTTTAACTTGACATACAGAAATACCAAAACAAGAAATAATTCATCATACTAATCTACAGAGGGACCTGTTTATCAAGAATATGCATTTACCTTTGTATAGTCCATTCCACCATAGATGTCCCCAACAAGCATGTCTATCACCCTATTATTTCCCCGATGACTTAACTCCAGCAACTCGTCAAAACTGAGACACAATTACAGCTTTGGTTCTTAAGAAAATCATATAACAAGAATATCAATAATTATAAAGATAAGCAAGAGAAAGCGTATACCTCTTGCACTTTGTTAAAAGCCTCCCCAAACCCCAAAAAGTGCCGCCACCAACATTGGTTCCACTTACTCGCTCAAACTTACCAGGTCCATCTACCTATATAAGCATAACACAGACGACATTGTCAAGCCTTTAAAAGTTAAATATATGAAGCTAATTCAGTAACTAAAGTATCTGATTTTTACTATGAGAATACCTTGATCATACTGACACCAGAACCAATATTAACAAGCATATAGGGATATAGATCATCATGGTCAATCTGCACAAATTCCTTCTGACCATCCATGTATGTGAATGCTTCGGTGTGAACTGCCTACTTAAATAACAATCAAAATGTGAATGTTATTGTCAGGCAAGGAACTCATAATGCCAAAAAGAATGTCAATGATATTGTCGCCAGTTCTGTAACTGAAACAGTGCAAAGGGATTTTTTTTTATTTTTTATTTTTATTTTTTACTCTTTTAATGAATCTATATTGCACATAAGCCATATATTTCAGTATCCTAAAGAATCATAAATATCTCTACAGAAGTAGCTGAATTTTGCAAGTTTCACATTTTATGACTCATCCACATTTCTTTTCCTTCTGAAACAAAAAAAAGTTACTTCCTCTCATCTTGTGCACGCTATTGCCAATCCCAACCCACACATCCTATGCAACACATGACAGGACTTAAGAAAGGCACCAACTTGTACATACCAATCTATGTATGTGGTATTAGGATCCCACCTTAAGCAGAAAATTTGATCCAGCCACAAGACAGTCCATTTCATCTTCCTTGTCAAGACAAATCCCAAGCTTTTCCTTAAAGAGATCCGCGTACTTGTATGCCCCACCACCAGTGGCCTTCTCACCATTGTCACAAGTTAATACATTCGCATACTCCAAAAGCACATTCCACAATCATATAGTACGGCCAAGGTAAAAAAATCATTTTTACCTTAATAGTGCACTTCTCGCCGGCTGGAGCCCCATGTTTCTGGAAGCCTGAAATAATCTACAACCATAAGCACATAACCCAGAAGTAGCAGAAATGATAACAACAATTACAGTGCATCTGAAAGAAGCTGAGTGTGAGAGAATGAACAGCCATATTCAGGGAAAATATCATCTTCTTTCACATTTCGTTTTTGGAAGCTGAAATCTTTCAAGACTAAGGAAATTTCAACTGGGTTGATTTCCTCAATAAAAAATAAGCGGTACTTTTGTTGAAGTTGAAATGCTCCAACGTTTACTTACAAGGATGGAGGGCATTTTCACAATGAATGTCAGCTGCTGTTAAGCAAATCAGAAGAGTAGCATGGCTTACACTTCTTCAGAAGCTCGTGAACCAATAAAAAATGCTAGTTTCAATCCAAGATTCCAACCTCATTACTTGGTTGAACAAAACAAACTCAAATAGTCTCAAGCAGTAAAAATTAATCCCCGGAGCAAACATTCCCAAATTTGATAAAAAGGAAAGAAACATACCACTAAGGCGAAGTTGCTTGGACCGAATGAAGTCTATGCAATCATTTATCTTGGCGGTTTCAAACTTCGCAAAATGGAGCTTCCCTTCAAGAACAGGACGGCCTTCATTGCCACTAGAAACTGCTACACTGTCCTTTGAAGAAGAAGAAGCAGAAGAATCACTGTTTGTTGAGAAATAAACCAACTTTATCAGAGAGCCTGGCAACAAACAAAAGAAAACAACAGAAAAATCAGGAGAAATGAGTAAATGGAACTCAAGAAATCAGAAATCTAACAGAGGCCAGAAGATTATGAAGATTCAGAGTGAATTGCCTCCAATATCCAAAGCAAGATGGGAAATTTGAGCTTCCGATTTGATGGGTTCTGAAATCTGTTTGCTTTCAACGATATCCATTTTGGCTCGGCCTCTCTCTCCTTTAGCTTTTCCTGCACCTCGAATCAAATTGTGCACTTGTTGGTCTGCAGTCTGCTGTATCTCAGCCTTGGAGCCATTTTATAAACGTTTGTGCTTTTTTGGTGGCTGCTGCTGCTCGTGGTCCTTTCACACCGAACTTCAATACCATGCGTTGGATTTTCTCGATCACTCTGTTGATGTTAAATTTCTAGCCTTTTGACTTTCCTGGGGGGGAAGGGTTCGTTGGCCTCGGTACCTACCTACCCTCGCCCTGAAGCCTTCCTATTGGGTATTTGGGTATTGGTCTAGGGCAGTTGTGTCATTTCAATGGGAGATCAATTTGTCCTCTCCACTCCACCCATATGAGAGATGCTATTTATTGACCGGAAGGCTTTAATTAGGTTTTGGCAGCATCAGAAGTTCAGAACCATCTTCATTTTAAAGCCCTTCTTTTATTTGGAATATATATATATATATATATATTTCCTACTTATTGTTCCAACAACATTCATATTTAATCACTTCAGATGAATTCAATTTGTTATTGCATTTTGTCATTAAAGAATATTTGTCCATATTTGGCACCGTAATTACTTTATATTTGTATCTTTTCATCAGTAGTTACTATCGATTATTCTAAAAAAATATTGATGCACTTGCATCTTTAACAAATCTACATAAGAATAGCCCGGTTGATTACAAAAATTTGTGATGCTTTTTTTTAAAATTAAAACGTTGAAGCTCTACGTAACATTTTAATATCTCGATTGGAGATGCTTTTGCTTACCAAATCATAAATCATGTAATCTTCTTGACCTTTGTTAAAGGAAGAAAAAAATATAAGATACATCATCCATGTTATTATTATGTATAGAACTTGTGATAAGATGCTAGTCAATAATTGGTTAGTTGCTTGATTCCCACCAACACCTAGAGAAGTGTATTAATAGTAGTGCTTATATTTATATTCCAATCCCATTGTTTTCCAGCTATTTCTTTGTCTTGGCTCTCTCTCCTTACAACATTATCATAAAACATGAGTATTTTTGCTTATTATTTTAACTCAATGTGTACTCTTACTATCCTCTTAAAAACTTGACACATGTCTATGACTATAGCCATAATTAACTCTTTATTTTCTAATTTTTTAAAGTATTTGAAAACAAAAAATAAAGTCAAATAATAATAAAATAACATTTTTTAAAACTCTCTCTTTCTCTCTCCCCTATTGTCGACCCACCCCCACCCTAGAGGCTCTATCCTCTATAGCCACCGCCCTTAGCAACCCTAGCCACCATTCCCCCTGCCGCAACTCTAGACACCATTCCCTCCTTCAACTCTACAATTCCCTTCTTTACATGCATTGGATTGCAAATTAAATTAAATAAAAAATACCAACTTCAGCGGAGAGACTAAATCAATTTAGGACTAGCCTCTTTTGATAGCTCATCTTACAATTTCTTATTAACTCATGAGTCATCACCATCCCCTCTTTCCACTCATTTCCCTCTCTCTCCCTCTCTCTCCAGGCTATTCTCTCGCTATATAAAAGGAGCAGTAGCTTCTCAATACACAAACCCTAGATCCAAGAAAAATAGCTTGCTTTCTCTTTGTTTGTATATTTCTTTGTGGTGTCGTGGTGGGGGTGGCTAGGGTTTTAGGGTTTCGGTGTGGGTGGTGGTTGTGGTGGAGGGTGAACAAGGTGGAGGAGTGAATGGTGGCTGGGGTGGTTTTAGACAAGGTCTTAAATATCGATAGTTTCGGAAATATCGGTAATTCAAAAACACGGAAATATCTATGAAAATATCGGGAAAATATCTATATCGATAAAAATTGGATAAAAACCACAGAAATTGTGATAAATACATGAAATTTTTTAATGAAACTTTAGAAGAAGTTTATTCATTCAATCATCTATTATTTTGACACAAAAAATTGGAAGGATATGCATTGCATAGTGGGTTTGAGTTATTTAAGTTGATTATATTGTGAGCTGACAAACTTTGTGACTTAGAAAATTTGGAGTAATTAATGAAAGATAATTAAACATCCAGTAGTAATTTATTTATCATTTTTTAGTAAAATATTTTACACTTTATAAATTGCATGATAAGATACATGAGTAACCTTATTTCACATTATTCATTGGACATGGTACACATTGTTATATTTATTATTTTATCAAAAATTGAAAAATAATTAAAGATGTAAACCAACTTGATTTGTCGTGAAAATTAGGCACTCTACCATGCTTAAAAAATAATAGTGAAGATTGAAAATTAACTAAGAACATAAATAATTTTATCTAAGGAAGAATTAAATCGAAATAAAGAAAATGATTATAGAGATTTAAGTGATTAAGCAACAATTTATTTCACGTTATTTACTGGACATGGTATGCGTTCTTATATTTATTGTTTATCAAAAATTGAAAAATAATTAAAGATGTAAACCAATTTGATTTTTCATGAAAATTAGGCACTTTACCATGCTTAAAAAATAATAGTGAAGATTGAAAATTAACTAAGAACATAAATAAATTTATCCAAGGAAGAATTAAATAGTAAATAATGAAAATGATTATAGAGATTTAAGTAATTAAGCAACATTTTGAAGGAGAATTTAGTAATGTAAGTACTTATAATAAATAATAAAATAATCAATAACATTAAATGGATTAAATAGAAAAGAAATAAATTATATTAAGTAATTAAGTAACTGATCAACAATATAAAACAATAAGTAATTATGTTAATTTCTATTTTGAAAAATAGCTCGCAAGTATTATATATACTAGATTCCATAGTTTATAATCACAAAGTTATGACCAGCGTGATGGTTAATTGGCTTCTGATTCGGAGTGGAGAGGGGTTCGAACCCCATTATGTGCGACTGTGAGTGAGTTTTCAATGTTTAATTTTTGAAAGTTCATATCGCAATATATTGACTATTTGCAGCTGCCAAGGTCAGCGGCGAAGGAGAAAAGAGAGAGAGAGAGATTTTAATTTTTTTTAATTAAAAAAAATTTATTAAAATTTATTTATTTATAAATTAATAAATATATTATTTGACTTTATTTGACTTTATTTGTGGATTTAAATACTTTTAAATTTTTAAAAATAAAGAGTTATAACTATCGTTATAGTCATAAACATGTGTCAAGCTTTTAAAAAGGTGATGAATGTACACATCAAGCTAAAGTGATGAGCAAAAATACTCCCATCATAAAACACCACGAGCTTTTCATTATTTTGGATTTCCACTACACCCAAATTCGAAATTCCAATTAAAATGCAAATTGTAATATTATATTTTCCTATTGCTCATTATTAATTAATTATTTATATTAGCTGAAGCTATTAAAACGTGCCATTTACTGATCAAAATTTCAGCTTGTTAACCCTCTTTCAAATCTGGGGTCGTTGACTTCGGTCAATTTGATCTGTATGGTTTCGTTGACTTCAATCAATTTGACCTAGTTTCTTTATAGGTAAGTCCGGAGTCCAGCACTCGTTAGTTGACTTCCACTTTCAGTGCTGGCTTCAATCTTAATGCATCCACGGTCGAAACCTTTCTGGATTAAATCGGACGGTACAAATATATCAGAATATATTAGGTACGAGATCCAAGAATAGGCCCAAGAATGTTATAATTTGAAGCAGCCCACGTCCGTGTCTTATTCACGTGGGCTCAAAAGCAGGCCCATTAAGATTAAACTGGGCCCATATCCAAGCTCACAATTCAAAACATGCTTCTTTAGATAGAACAGCGAGTGAGGATGTATATATGCTACATTCTCGCACGGGACGGCGGGAGTTTCATTTTCGATTTCTCTCCCAAAATCCAAAAACACAAAGATGATTATTGCTTCAGTTCGAGACCTCTGCCTGCATGTGAGTTTCAATCTCAACCTAATCTCCATAGAATTTCGATCGATTCGATTGTATTTTTTCTTTCTTTTATATAAAAACTTATATACATGCAATTACAGTTGATTTCTTCTGCATTTCAACGATGCCATGCTTCGGAGGACCTTTGCAGGCTCTCCGTCATTCTCAAGCGCTCTCCACAGTCCGATCCCCACTCTGTTCTAATTTCAGGTATCTCTGTGCGCTTCTCATTCTGAATTCGGATTTTTATATTAGAAATGAAACGGTGTAGTCTAAAGAAATGTGGCGAACAATGTGAGTGATTAGTAAAATGACGAAGTTGTCCTTGGTTTCCGTACGAGCAGTTTCCGATACGGGTGTGGGAAGCTGCTTGGAGGAGTTTGGAGGTGTAAAGCTTCGTAAGGAGGCTTTTAGCGCGCAGATTTGGGGTAAGTAGAAGACTCGAGTGAATTGACCAAACTGCCTGGCTAGCGGCTTTGTATATCAGTTTTAATTTACATAGCAGCTTCTTGATGCAGATGGATTGCTTTTTGTCACAGCCACCAGTGAGTCATCATCAGTTGCATTACCACCATGCGTTGTTTTGATTTAAAACGATGAGTTTTGAACTTTCGGTTTTGACAGGCTGCTAAAAGAATGAACTTGCGAAAATTGCAGGTATTGCTGATGATGAAATATATCACTACCAGTTCAATCTAAAAGAAAATGTGTCTGCCAGGAGGTTGACCAGGCTACCTTCAAATCCTAAGAATGGACTCAAATTCAGGCATGCAAATCACTTCAACTTTTGTTCTGCTGAATATTTTCTTTTATTTATTTATCTTTCAAAATTATGGTCTAAATTTCTTCATGTTTTTTTCTTTTGGGTTTCCAGTGGGACAGAAGTATGTCTATCAATTATCGAAAGCATTGATGTTTTGGTGGCAGAGTTTAGTCTCTTCTTTCAAAAGATCCTCATTCTGAAGATCCCTGTAAGATGAGATCTACTTAGAAATTAATGCTCTATGTGTCAAAAGCTTTTCAAGTTAGCAATCATATTGTATTTCACTGAAACATTGTTGTAAGAAGCTATTGACAATGTGCCGCTGAAGTATTGGTTAATACTTGGAATCTACTTTGCAGCAATCTTGCATGTTTTACTTGGAACCTTGCATGTTTTACTTGGAACCTTGCACGTTTTATCTACTTGATATAATATGTGGACAGTAGTGTGTCTAACTGCAATGGTGACTGCAGCACTAGTTAATCGATCAACTTAAATTGTTTCTTTTTTCCCCAGAATGTTGCAATTGAATTGGTGGTTGAACATGGGCATGATCCTGGATCCAGATACGTAAATGTTTTTCTAGCGAATGAATGCAATCCTTTGTCTATTCCAGCCTCAAATCTTGAACGTTTAAAGTCGGGGCTTGAAGATTATGTTTTTAAGCATGGGAATACATTAAGCACAAAATGTGAGTTGTGCTTCTCAAGTTGGTAAGTTACTATGAAGTTCATGCCTTCTTCTTCTCTATTAGGTTCAACTTGCCATTGACTGAAACGTTAGTAGAATACATCAGACTGCAACTGTTTTATAACTGGTTGGAGATTCCATGGCACAGAAATTGAAAGTTCCTTTTCTGAGTCTTAACTGCTACTTAAACTCTTGTAAGGGAGCATCTCAAGGTTGGTAGTGGAGTAGCATGTTGTACAGAAGGCCGTAAGTATTCTGGATCAGTAATGGAAGCAGTGATTGTAATAAGTGAAATATCAGAGGTAGCCAGTACTTGCCCGAGGACACATGGCTCGAAAACAGAGGTTTGTCTGATCATTTTTGTTCTGCTGTTTATCAATTCCTTTTACTTTATTTTAACCGTAAAATATGTAGCAGTCACTTGTGAGCCTGCAGATGCATGCTTAAAAATCCTTGTGATTGGCAGCAGTTACATAACTGTTTGCCCTTCCAGTCTTCTGTTGGAATTTTGTTTTGGTTCAATCCAACATGTGTTTATTTATGTATGGAATTTTTATAAGGCAATTGGTGAACTGCTTTCTCAACTTATTTGCCTCTATAGAACTTTCAACTTTGGATTGGGTGTGATCTGTATTGTCTTGAGGTATGATGTTATCTGGTACTCGTATGTCATCACAGTGAAGGGATAAGTTAATATAGTCAAAACCATGTGCAAATGACTTTAAGCATAGGACTGACCTTGTTGATGTTGAAACTAATGATGATAGCAAGGAACCTAAAATAAAGTTATGGTCATCAGATAAAGCTATAAGTAAGGTCTAAGAACATTACTGATAATTTAAACTTTTATTTAAGAAGTATGCTTTCTTTCGTTCTCATCTGGAAAAGATAATAATATTACAGAAGTGACAAATGCATTGTTTTGCTTTTTGTTTTTTGGTGGGGAAATGTATTGTTTTGTTTTTGTTAATGCTCGTATTCATATTTTCTTTTCTGAAGTTTATTCTTAACTTGGATGAAAATATTCATTTTCAGGTTTTGTATTTTAAAGATTTCTCACCTTGCCCAATCCCTCAATTTTCTTTGAAGGCATTAACTAGCATTGACTGGAAAAGTTATGGCTTGAGCTTTGGGAGTGTTGTGGTTCAGGGTGGCTTTGCATTAGTGGAATGGGAGAACTTGCCCCCATATGTTCAAATTGATATTGTCCTGCACCACTACCATGAACAATATCCATATTTGGATTCGATTCTTAATTTTCTTTGATATGGTTAACTTCCCCCATGCATGCTTTTCATTCTGGTTCCTTCCAAATATGCCATATGTTATATGCATATGCCTATTCCTTGACATACTGTCAAGATTACAATACCATCAGGAAGGCTAAAGACACGACGTGATCAGAATCTTATTAAAAAAGCAATTAGACTGGCATTGGATGATTTGAAGGACAATTATGCTGGAGTTCTTCTAAGTGCCCAAGCCCTGAAGGTAAATTTCTCACTCTCACGACTTTCTGTCAAGTTTGAAATTTCTAGCATAGTGGTTCTTCTATGAGATAAATGACTAGAAAATTGCACTATAACTAGGTAATGCCGTCAGTGGTTACTCTCTTACACGCAATTATCCTATATTGGGTTTTACTTTTCGTCTTTATTGCCGGAATTGTCTTACACGCAAACATGTTATCAAAATTTAGATTATGCAGCAAAATGTCTGCTGAATATTCAATATCCGAAGGTAAACTATTCATTCTGGAGTGCTACAATTCTTATCATTAAAATGCTTGAAATGAAGTTGAATTCCCTAATTATTTAATATTTCCACCAAAATTTAGTTTTATGTCTTTGTTGTATGTGATCATACCTTGTGTGGTTGGTTGTTACCACTCTGTCAAACTCCATATGGTGGATATATTCTACTTTTAAATGACAGATGATGCAATGGTGTGGAAACACCTGAAACCTGAATTTTCCTCTTAACGGTACATCCGTAGACTTTGATAGGCTCTCATTTATTTTAACTATAAATTCATTTTATGTTATTATAAGCTCAACTGTTTTCTTATATAACATTATCCTATTTAAAGGGTTGAAATAGTAAGATCAAGATCAATTTTATATGTTTTCTGGTATTTCAAAATCAACAAGTTTTTTCTTCTAACTTCTGTTGAGTTTTCAAAAGCTTCTAGTACATCCCATGCAGCAATATGTTTGTATTATTAAAGGAAAAATGGTTAAGCATCTTTGTTTAATCATTTGCTGCATTGGCTTAGCAACGCTATGGCCCCCTTTTAGTAGCTGACTTTTACTGATTGCCTTGGTTTTACAGATTCGCAGTTTTGCCCCTGATCTTGCGAAAACAATTTCTAGCTTGATCTTGTCTTCCAACGACTCGGAATTCCGAAAAGAATGCTTTTCTTTTCTTGGCTTGCCATCTCAAGGAGTTGGAGGTGAAGTTGTTGAAGATTGTATAAAGGAAAGGCTCATTACAGTTGTAGAAATGAATGATAGAGATCCCCAGAGAAGCAAAGAAATCCCAACATTTCTTTTTGAAGATGATCACATGCAAGACTCGGGATCTCAAGATGAGGAATTTGAAGTAGAGGATGCTTTTAGCTCCATGGACATGTGTTAAAATGCAACACGGTCTGATTTACCAATTGAGGTGATTTGTTCATATGATTATGCTAAAATCATGTGCCATTGTCGTTCGACACAAATGACCATAAGTAACAATCGTTTAATGCATTGATCACATGATTTGGTCTCGTGATTAATTGTCCTTAAGGCCATCTTACTTTTATCAGCTGTGGTGTTGTTTTTATTTGTGACCTGTCACCTGTGGTTGCACTTGCTTTTGAAGTCTCTGCAAGCCTTTGGGCCGTTTTTGACATAAACATGAGGATGATGTGAGAGCTTGCACTGCAGTGATTCTTCTGTGCGGCTGTCATATATGGCATCGCACTCACGAGGATGGGACCAAAATACACGGTCCAGTCTTTGTGAGAGCGATCGCACAACTATGTAGTCTGAAAAACCATTTCGAAAATCTACAGCTGAGCAAAATCGAATGTTGTCGATTTATCTGATGGCCTTGGCACCTCGGTCCAGACCCATCATAAGACTGCCACGTGTATGGGAAGAGAGTTCCCTCACCCATACAGAAAGGTTGGAAGGCACAGCCAATCGTATGAATTGGGCTGGGATTATTAATCGAGTCCGAGTTTCAGTCTGAGTTTTGAACCGAGTTGAATTTCAGTTTTATGTCAAATGGCATTGGGTGTGTGGTAGAGAAGAGTTAGAATTCAAGTTTTATTGTAAGCCCACAAAATATATATATATATATATATATATCAAATATCAAATACACTAAAATATGTATGTATTGTATATATTACGTGTAAGTATTAATACAGTAATTAAGTCATACAAAATACATATTCTCATATCATATAATATATTTTTATATGTATGTGATTTCTGTAAACTGTCACGACCAAGAAAATAAGGCCAAGCAAACCAAGCATCCTAATTAATAAAGAGTATATATTATAGATGTACGAGCCAAAAAGAGGAAAAACTGATGATCACGCCATTAACTTCTGAAAAATAATTAATTAGTCTCTCATATATATATATCAAGCAGCAGAGGGAGCAGGAATGTAGGAGATGGCAAGCTCAGGCATGGAAGCCATGATCGATGACCTCGCGAAAGCTTCTTCCTCTGCATCAGCTGGGTTTTCAGCCTTGAAGTCCAGGGTCTCATCATTATAAACTTCCCACCATTTGGCCACTAACATCTTGATGTCCTCTCTGTCCATGTTAGCTTCCTTCCCAGTATACCTCCACGGTTTTGATCCCTATAATTAGTCGTAGAGATTAACAAGATTGAGTTAATTAATGAGGGACTAATTATGTATCATGGTGTGCTTAATCAATCTGTTAAAAGAGTACTTACAGCAGCACAGTAGTGAACCACGTTTACTTTATCAAGCTCCACGTTCTCGGGGTGGCGCCAAAGCATGGCTAGAACTAGATTGTATACAAGTGGGATTGGTTTGTATTTCTTTTGGAAGAACATGTTCAAGAAGTCCTGTCAAAAATGAGAAACAAAAGAAATTCATTAATTACAAAAACAAGATTCATATTTATCACACATCACATATATATGTACTTGATTTAATGTAACTTACTTGCTCCGCAAAAGGGGTGGGTGGGACGATTTGGAGAGTCTGGAGAAGGCTGTCATAGGTCAACCGGCTAGGCTCGAACACGAACATCCCGGCGTTGAAGTAGAGAGGAGGAGGGGAGCCCAACTCAGCAGGCCATGAAACCTTATCAGGGCACTGCTGGCAATACCCAACTTTGTATTGTGGTGAGTGGCTCCATGTTTTCTCACAGAAGCAGTCCATCACAGCATAGAAGTAGCCATCAGGCGTGTCAAACAGATGATCTATGTTCTCATACACTTGGATATCCGCATCCAAATATATCATTTTGCTGTACTCCTCAAACTGTACATATAATATTGCAATCATAAGATTTATCGGATCACTAGTCTAACAACATAACATATCAGATATCGCTACGTGAAAAACATAGACGCAAAGTAGAGGTAATCTTGTATGCACTTACATTCCAAATACGGAGCTTGGAGTAGTTGATGACATAGTAGGCCATTGCAAACTTGATTTGGTTCTCCGGAGGATAAATTGGTTCGATCTCACGGACAATACAACCCTGAGACCTTAAGATCTCACGGTGCTCCACAGGGACGTCAGGCAATATGGCAACCACAAGAGGGTGCGCACTCTTCACTTTGCGCAGACCCTTAGCCAATCCCACAACCCCTTTTACATAATCGCCATTGCCGGCTAAAAACGTCACAAAGGCCCTCTTAGAATAGGCTGCAGAACTTAGCGTTGAGACTTTGCTTGTGGCCTGGTACACATCTACTGGAACTTCTGGGGGGGCCATTGCCTAGATTTTGTGTCTGCTTATAAGATTTTGGGGTGATTAGAAAAGTTTTAGGGTGGTGGTTTGATGGAAAACAAGATTTGGTGCGTTGAGGAGTGTGGGGAAAGTAAATTAGCTACACTGAGGAAGCCACCCTACAAACCTTTTGTTCCTGAGTTGTGCATTCCACCCTTTGGATGTCTTAAATAGACATCAAATGAGCACTAAATGCATGTAATATGAACCCCAAATGAAACTCAAATGCAAAACATGGTCCTATTTTGTTTTTTTAATTAATGCTTTATTGGAGTTTAGGATGGTATTGGAGAAATAAATAAATAAATAAAACAAGAAAAGAAATGAATGAACAATGTCTGGTGTTCAACCCACCATTCATCTATATAGCCTTATCATCAAGAATCAAGATGGATCGCTGAGATACAATGGGAGTTATTTAGTGTCATGGTCAATAGAAATATGGAAGCTTTCATACACACACCAAGTGTTTTCACTATATTTTACCTGTCGACTGATATGTTATTCTATCATTTATTCAAATCTGACTCTACTCTTAACTTCATTTATTTTTAACAAGTAAGATTTTGACACGTACACAAGCACATCATTTGATGAATTGCTATTAAGAAAATGTATATAGGTATGATGATCAAGTGGGAGTCATTTTCCTTGGTGGAAAAGATATGTTTAAGAAAGTTAGCATCAATGGGGTAGAGCAGTCGGTTGAAGTGGGACCTTTGATATGGAAGTGAATTTTGAGGTCGACCAGATTTAGGGAGGCTTTTCAGTCAGCGGTTTCTTTTAACATCCACTAATAATTTGAAACATGAGATGCAAATCTAGCAGAGAGTCATGGTCAATGGGCAAAGCTTATTCATTAACCCAAACTATTCTAGAATTTTCTTTTGTTTAAGGTGAAACATTTAAGACATGATTAATACATCATGCTTTCTTTTGGTGGAACACAAACATCATAGAATTTCAGTAACTTAGAATGCCAATAAAACACGTTGATGAATGTATGATTAACAAGATTAACAAAGATTGATTAACTTAATCATTGGGAAGAGTAGTGCTAATTGACCTAAGTATATTCTTCTACATACCAATCGGCAAACGACATTATTTATAACAAAAACAAAATAAAAGAAAATAACAAGATTGCTTAGGACAATAATATAACAAGATTCTTAGTCTTTTTGAAGGCGATAACTAAAACCCTAATATATTTTGTCCATAAATTTAACCAAATTTTAAATTAGGTTTATCAATTTGATGAACTTCTTTAATTGTTAGCTTTATCATTTTGATGAACTTCTTTAAGTTTCTCTTTTTTCTTTTGGGCTTTTACTGCAGACACCAGCACTCAGCAACATTTTGTTTGCCATGGCATTTCTCGCATACATACGTTTCTTGAAATGAAAGTAATACTTCAATCTAAAAGAATGTTTAACGGCAACATTTCAACAGATGTAAGTGTGGTCAAAAGAACCAAAGAGTAAAATGGATTTTAAAATAAAAATAAAAAAAAAAAGAATATATAAAATATGAATAACGTTTTAAGAGCATCTCCAACCGATATTTTAAATTGCCACATGGACATGAAATGACAAAAATTGAAGGTTAAAGTTTCTCAAATCGAGTAATAAAATCCTACATAGATTTGAAAGCCAGAAGAGATATGTCAAAAATAACATATCAAAAAGTTTGATGTCAAATATCATTTTAATAATTTTTTTAGTCATGGACCCCACTATCATTTTATTCTCTTTTAAAAAATTAAGCATCATTTGGGCTCCATTTGTTTTTAAAAATATAATAAAAATAATATGATATTTGACATTTTGGGTAAGAGTTAAATTTTTTCCAAAATATCAAATTGCTACATAAGCTATCAAATTCAAATTTAACATTTTTGCATTTGACATCTCTCTTAGAAATGCTCTAAGAAAGCAACAGTTGCTTGTCACGTGAACATTATAAATAATAAAAAAGGCATTGCAATTAATAATAATGTAATGTTTTCAATGTTGAATTTTTTTTTGGTCAAAGTTAAGGAGGGGAGAGGGAGGAACTCACATACACAGGTGTCATGGAGGTTTGAATCTAGGACAACTTGGAAGTACACGAAAGATATGGACCAATCGAATTAACACCCCATTGGTTTTTTCTTTCAATGTTGAATGAAATACAATAAAAAGGTGAACTAGTCCCCTTAAGATGAATGTAAAAGAAAAGATCAATTAAGTCGGTAGTACTATAATTTAATTAATTAACATTATCTAATAGAAAATATCTGTCCCTTTGATTACATTACAATATATAATCTGAATCTGAAAATATCTATGGATAACCATGGACTAAGAAAGAAAAAAGAAACATAAACTACTATAGTCGCTGAGCAATCATATGATTCAAAGTAGATATTAAAACTTGGTCCAAAATTAGATATTAAAACTTGGTAATATATTCATATTTGTCACTTGATATTACTTTTATTATTATAAGCTTAATATGCACACACCAGTCCTGAAACCCCAAAGTGGAATCATGCCTCCATGAATTAAGCAGAATAGGCAATTGGGCCTACCATGACTGGAAGGACAAACAGAGAAAGAGAAAGAGAAAGAGAAAGAGAGAAAAAGAAAAAGAGAAAGGACAATGCTTGGATCATACGTACTTGCTCAACAATCTTGATCAATCTTCAAATAAACATGCAATGCAAGTTAAATGGCATGGCAGAGCAAGATTAGGGGGCTCTTTTTTTTCTTTTTTCTTTTTTTATGAAGTAAAGTTTAAGGGAAGATTGGCTACTTTCACTCACTACCAGCACCAGGGCAGATCCACAATCTCGAGCTAGAAAGAATTATGCGTGGCACCCAACTGCCAGTTGTCACAAATATGGATTTATGTAGAAAATTACAAATCACGCACCAACAAGAACTGCTGGCAGCGAAACTCGAACACTAATGGGGCTACACACAGTGCAAAGACCTTACCAACTGAACCAACCCTCGTTGGCAGATGGTTCTCTTTATTATGAGTTAATTTGGTCTACAAGTTGAGCTTTAATTTGGCCTACACTGTTTTGTTATCTCCGGTCAATCACGACATGTCATGCGTAATAACTTTTCCACTTGGGAGAGATAGCAAAAAAGTGCTATCTCCGTTTTATTAAGGCTAGGCATGGTCCGATTAGGCCCAGTTCTCACTTAAAACCATAATCGAAATCAATTGTTCATTCAGTCTGATCTGATTAGGATTTTCACTAAAATACTTGAAAGAACTGGACTAACTCAAACCGGTTTAGATTTGGTTCGATTCCAGTTTATATGGTTTGGGCCAACTCTTGACACAAATTTTTCTCATGTAAGAGGCGTAGTCTCCAAATATAAAGTTCCATGGACAAGCAAAGCATGCGCCTTCAACTTTCTTGACTGCCCAAAAATGAGTGAAGGAAAACTGCCCTGCCCACCCAATTCTTAATTCTTAATTCTGGTGCAGCAGCTCTCAAGTTCTCTAGGACACCATAACCTGGATCCACTAATTAACCCCAAAAAACAAACATTGTTGTTATGTGGGGATATTTGTGTACAACCTTCACCTATCTATCATCTCCAAGTGGAACAAAAATGGGATTTTTATTATGAGTGTGAGGTCTCCCTTCTCCTCTGGAGGGTCCCAAACCAAAGGAACCAAAAAATGGGACCTCAATTAATAAGCAACTCCTTTAATTCAAGTGTGGTTCTGCATTACTCGGCAATATGTATACATTTGAAACATGTATCCAAAATCCAACCAAAACCAATTACAACTCAGAGCAGTTTTGAAAAAAATAAAATAAAAAAAGGAAGGAGGCATCTATTGAAATCCAATTACAACTCCGAACTGTATCCAAAATCCAACCAAAAGCTCAAATGTATACATTTGACCAACCATTCTTTCTATCACAATATAACCATTAAAACGTCCTAAATGAAAAAGACCACTCCCAGAAGAAGGAAGAAATAGATGATTTAACAACAATTCGATCGTCTTGTCTCAAAGAAAAAAAGAACTAGATAATATTCACCCCTGCATCCAGAATTTCCAGTCCACAAAATGACTCCCCAATAGGATCACGCCTGCAATTAAAAGGAATATAAGAAATCAGAAGGAGAAGTCGTATCTCACGAAGTTCCAAACAATAATTAACTACTTATTTGAATTTCCACAAAGAGAACTGTTATGTGCAACTTTCAAACTTAGAATTTGACCGTCATCCAAGTCAGACAACAACATCAAAGGCTGCCATGATGTTCAAAATTTTAAAAAACAGTGAAATAGAAAATAGTTTACCTTGTTAGCAATGTTGTTGGAGAGCCAATCCAGCCCCTCATATAGACCCTCTCCAGAGGTTGCACAAGTGCTCTGGATGTACCTGAAAAACCACACAATCCATATTAGACTTATATAAAGGTTATAAAAATGAATCACACAAGGGAAATGAAGCTCATAAAGATTACCAGTGACGCTGTCTGAGAGAGTGGAGGCCAAGCTTATCAGTAATTTCAGCAGCATTCATTGCATTGGGAAGATCTTGTTTGTTAGCAAATACAAGCAACACAGCATCTCGCAGCTCATCCTGAAACCGGATTATTCAAATTAAGCTAAAATATGGAACAGAATATAAATTATCCCAATGTCTACAACATCAATCAGATAAATCCTGGAAAGTGAAATGGGGGCAGGTAACAGGAACAAAAGATTCAGCCTTCAAATTCATAAGAATTAAATTGCTCAATTCAAAGCCAACACAGCATAGAAGATTAGCCATGTCTATAGAATAAGCAGTTAGTTTCCTCACTAACAAGTTCATTTTGAAAGAAAATTCAATGACTACTTTGCAGAGATCCAACACGCATCAATAGCACACCACCAAATTGCAAAGCAAGCTGCCACTTAAGCCACTGGCTGATCAGCTCCAACAACAGAAATATAGGTGGATCTTTATCATCTCTATTTTGTAGAAGACCTAACATTGCATGTATTCTTATAATCTACAAGTTTTCAAGTCCATTCATAATCCTAAATTTCATATACTGAAGCTAGGAAAGGATGAGATTTCAAAATAAGTTGGCACAAATTACAACATCCAGGAATGTGCAAATAAAGGGAGACAAAACATACCTCATTCAACATCCTATGCAATTCATCCCTTGCCTCAACAACACGGTCTCTGTCATTGCTATCCACAACAAAGATAAGACCCTGTGTGTTCTGGAAGTAATGCCTCCACAAAGGTCGGATCTGAAAGTAAAGAAAGGGTTTTAATCCACAAAGGTCAAATCTTTCAAGGCCATACTTTAAAAAAACAAAAAAAGTATTAACAAACTCTGAAATCATCACTTTAAACTTCTTTTAATAACTGTACATCACGGAAACAAGAACTAAACTCCATACCTTGTCCTGACCCCCGACATCCCAGACTGTGAAGCTGATGTTCTTGTACTCCACGGTCTCCACATTAAACCCTGTCAATCAAGTATTGTTTTCTTAATCCTAAAATTGCATATTTAACAAACTTTATAAAGGAACAGGAGAATCTTCAAACTGAAAGCAAACAGGGGATAGGGAAGAAAAATTATGTGCCCCCTTAGGTTTTGACCAAAACATTTATATTTGCAAACTCATTGAACTTCAAGATGATTTAGGGTACAACAAACAGGCACGATCATCATCACCATTGCTATTAAATCATGTAAGGAACAACATTCTACTTTCAGATCTCAAGCTACATTTAACATAATTAGAATATACATGTCAGTATTTTGCAATTTCGTCTGACAATTTCATTTCCATCACGTCATAGTTAAGCCATATCAATTTCATTTCCATCAGATCTTCATATGCAGAATTCTATGAAGTATAACAAGAATGAGCACAGAATTGCCTCGGTCGAGGAAGAAAGAACTCACCAATGGTGGGAATTGTTGTGACGATCTCACCGAGCTTGAGCTTGTAGAGGATGGTGGTCTTACCAGCAGCATCAAGACCAACCATCAGAATTCGCATCTCTTTCTTGGCAAAAAGCCGACTGAAAAGCTTCGTGAATGTAAGCCCCATTCTGGCTGTGGATCCCTACACATTGAGAGGCACCAATTCATTTGCATCAACAGATCAAACACTGATAAAGACAAAGGAATAACGCTCTGAAGCCAAACGATTGCAGTTGATATCATCTAATCAAATCTAACTCAAAACTAGGCAAAGGAGCACTCAAACTAGCAATTATGCGCATGCAGCAACAGATCGAGCGGATCTGGAGACAAAGTCTACGCTAACACCATAGAGATGCAGAAAATCCATGAGAGCTCCTCATGCATTGTAATTGAACCACCAAAAGTAGCATTAGCAAATTCGAGCATAATCATAGAGATCCAAATGATTAAAACACGTGATCTTCGGATCAGAGTAAAACAAACTAAACGGAATTCAGGCATATACGAAATAAACATTAAATTGGACCATAATCGAAAAAAGTAGCGCGAAATTCAAAACAAAAATCGCACGAGAAAGTTGTGAAATCGAACCGAGAATGAATCAAATGATAGAAAATTCAGAGAATTGTTGAAGCGCAAGAGAAGAGAGGTCGAGATCTGAGACTTTGAATTTTACCTTCGATGAGCTTTCGCAGAGGGATCTTAGTTAAAGATGGAGATCGAGGGAGGGAGAGAGCGGAGGGGAGAGAAGCTTTAAATCAACGCGTGAATGTGGAGGTGAGGATCGTCAACTAAGGGGTTTATAAACTCCAAGACTATTTTCCGTACTTGGAGTAAACTACGAAAATGCCCCTGACATACAGTGTAAATGTTCAGCCTGCGGGTGATATAGCCTGCCCAATCAGCAACCGCCAAGTCATGAATATTATTTTATTGCATGATTTTGAACGACGGCAGATCCGGACTCATCACCCCACCCCCAATGTTAACAATGTTTCGTAGGATTTTAATTTTAATTTTTTTAAAAATGTTCCGTAGGATTTAATGCAAAGCAGTCACCACCACCAAACCAAACGGGTTTTATTGTTCCGACAAATATTTAAATTTTGATAAGTAAAAGAAAAGGCGTCGCTGGTGGTTCAAATTCAAAGTCAATTTTCAATTTTGAAAGGCACGGAATTGAACGTGCAGCTCTAATTAAATAAACTATGCGCATCAAACGACATGCAGTTCAAGTTCTTTTTTTTTTTCAAAAAAATATTCTTTACCTTTACATCCGAATTTATATTTGATATCTGTATTTCTACAGTATTTTTCACTTATTAACATAATTTTTCTCCTTTGTGTTAATATTTGCAACCATATTAACCGCGTTACAAATTGATCCTACTTGGCAACTAAAACGGGCATAAAAGGAAATCAATTAATTTATATACAGGTATGCAATTAAGTTTTTTTTTTTTGGGGTATAAAGTTAGTCGTTTAAGTTACATGCTGCATCTTGAGTCTTTCTTTGACCAAACCTACACCAGAAGGTGAAAGAAAAATACAATTTATATACAGCTATGCACAATATTGCTTCCTCTGTTTCAAGCATATCCCTTTCATCTTGATGGAGCTCTCAGATCTGGACCTGTAAAAAAATGAAAAGACTTGCGTAAATTCATTTTATTGTGTATGGATTTATGCATCTAGAGTAAGAGATCTGAATTTGAAATGCATATTATTTAACGAAAACTTATTCGTATGAATTTCTTATGTTAATGACGTCCACACCATGAAAGAGGGTTTCCATTGAGTCCATTTAAAAAAGTAGCTCCACAACAGAAAAATTCAAATACAGACATACATGCAGAACGGGCGCAACACACAGTAAAATCAGCCACAAAAAAAAAACCCACTCCAGCATCAGGGGCAGCAAGGTTCAAAATAAGCTGAACTCTTTTGCAGAGAATGCAACAACTGAAAACAGAAAGAACAGAAGTAGAAATTACCGATAGATTTCAAAGATGTAGATGACACCCAACTTATTTTGAGGATCAGCGCCAGTATTGAGCCCACCGATGAATGGTCTCGACCATTTGAGGAAACAATGCACTAACACTCTCATTGATTAAATCCTGGAAAAAATGTATGCAGGCTTCATCGTCCAAATCCAACCGGAACTTCTCCTGGAGCTACATTATATCAAAAGAGTCGCAATCAAAACAAAAGGACAGATTTTTTTAGACTGAAAAGAAAAATAAGATTAGAGTCATAAAAGAACCTTGAGGATGCCTTTTTCAGGATCAGAAGCTATGTCAGGAATGTTGGAACCCGCCATTAGATGAAACAGGTTCAAGATTAGGTTACTAGATTTGCGAATAATGTTGTATGCTTCACAACAGTAGGATTTGAACCTGGTATAGTACTGGCTGCAGAAGGAATAAATGTAATCAACCCTTTGTATTCTTGTATGCTAATGTTGCACCCCGTATGATATGGATTTCATGTCATAAATTCAACTCCATCTAGCAAACACGACAAAAAATAAAAGCATCGAAGAGAGGAAGTTAATCGTGAAGTACCTTTCAGCTCCACCCATAGCCTCAACCATTTCTTTGCATAGCTTCATTGGTGGTGGAAATGGCTTTGGATCACGACCAAGAATGAAGCCAAAATCAACATGGAAAAGACGTCCATCATCTCTAAGGAGAAGGTTGTCAAGATGCCTACAGAAAAGACTAATGTTAAAATATGCTGAATGCACAATCAACAGCCGTGGTGCAGATAAAGTACTTCAGGCCAACAAATAAAATAAAAAAAAGATACACAGTACAAATATTTGGTACAATTAACCGATTCAGAATGGTTAACTAAACGTATGGCAGAAATATAGAACTTGAGCAAAGAAAATGATCCTATGTTCCAAACTTGTATAATGCTCATAACTCTTTACCCATTGTTTTCTTTTTCTTTTCTTTTAGGTGTGGTGGTTTTCCTATAATATTGTAACATCACAAAGTTTCCTTCCAACAGTACAAGAATATTTTGAACACATGGACTAGAAAAGTAAACTAGGGATCAAGATAGTTTCAATGCACATGATAATCTTTGAATCTTTACCTGTCTCCAATGCCCAGTATATATGTGATAACAGAGTAGCCAGCGCAGCTCTTTATAAATGTTTCCAGACAGGTGGCAGTAATGCCAAACGGTCCATGCTCATCTGGATGAAATTTCTGCAGGTAGCTTGTGATGCTTCTATGCTCTGAGAGAATCTGGAAAGGAGAACATTTTACCAATTATAACAATTTTACAGGCTATGATCAAGATAATATTTCATTTGGAAACAAAACTGAAAGAAAATACACAGCATGTTTAACATTGTTGTGGTCAAAATTAGTAAACAAGTCAAGATACAACAAAACAAAGACATCAATTACTGTAAGCAGTGAGAAGACATCCCCATCCAAGAGGCATCTTTAAAGGACTTAATACCTGTGCTAATGAACGGGATGGTATGAATTCCAGCATTCCTTCATCTTGCCCAGTCGCAAGAACTCTATATGGAGTTAAGTGCAGATCAAGATTTTCCAATTTCAGCAATCGGTCCATGAGATATACCATTTGAACAACCTACAGGAACCACAGATCCATTTAATCAGGTTCTCATGTCTGTGCATGTGCACACGCACAAGCGTGCTTGTGTGAAGGAGAATACTTACCAATTGATCTTGGCGAATATCATCCCCCTTCTTAAAGATGATTTTGCAATTTCCCCCATTTGCTGCTCGGAAAGTCAAACGTAAAGGATGCAATGCACTTTTGAATATTGATGACTCAGATGGTACAATCCCAGTGATGAGGACTCCTGGAGCCAGTGGTGATCTTATCGGCTAGAAAAGTCATAGACCAACAAAGTCAACATAGGAAATGATACAATTGGAGAGGTTATATGGAACTCATAGTTTAATAGATAAACAAGATCAGTAGACAAGTAACATTAACCAAAGTAGTACCTCTTCGAAATACGTAAGTTCACTAAGAAGACCAGAAAGCAGCTGTCTAAGCTTTTCAATCTTCTTCTGGGTATTGCCACGTACATTTCTTACATCTCTCATAATTGAGCACAACTGTGCAGTCAATTCTGTCTGGCGCACCAAACTTTGCCACAATTTAAATCCATCTTCATCTCCATGCATTCCAGCTGCCAACTGTTATAAAGCGGATATGGTTATTGAATTACAGAGACAAGTATTCAAATGAAAAATTTCACCAGCATGAAGCCATTATTTTATTACCAAGTTTAATATGGTGGAACATTGCTTTGCTTCATCCATAAACAACCAAGAATCATATAAGTCAATCAACACCAACCTTTACTCTGACATGAAAATTTAAATAAATAAATAAGACAAAAATCATTTCACTCCTATCTTTATTGTCTTTTAGGTGAGAGTGTCTATAAATATAAAATATGGAAAAGATAGGAATGGGATAACTTTATAGATTTTTAAAATTCTCGAGTCAGTGTAAAGGTTGGTGTAGATTGACCCATATACTATATATGTATAGGTACAGCAACGCAATTATAATCTGTAAGAAAAGAAGTCTAGCAATATTCTTGCTTTCCTTTCTTGTGGCTTGTCAATGCACAGAACCATGTGCCTTCTATAGAAAATTCCCCTCCTCTAGCGTGGGGTTCCTTTCCATTACTGGCTTCAGCAATTAAGAATCTAAAACAGGCATTATCATATCTGCCCAATAAATGGGCAATCCCAAAAACTCCCTTTCATGGTTGGAGAATCCACAGTAATGCTTATGTTATTTTAAAGTGTCAAAGTTGCACCAATTTTTGTTGCTCTTTCTTCAAGAATTGGATCCAGATTTATACTCTAAGAAGAACAGACACAACAAGTGACCCCATGACAGAAGTTTATAAACTCTCACCTTCATCATATTCTCTTCCAGTAGTTCGTAGGTACAGTAAAAACGCTTGGCGTATGCTGGATCATGAAGTTCCACAGCAACATACCAGCGTAGAAAGCTAGCCAACTCAATGTTTCGTAATGCTGTCAGAGTCAAAGATACAATCAGGATGCCATGAACAATTAAACTTCTGCTACTGTGAAGTACTGAAGTGTGTAGCACTTGAACATGCATGCACACACTCCAAAGAAAAACATTACAAGTAGCATGAAGGTATGTGCATGTGCGTATATACATGAAGATAGTATCTGTCCACATACCACGTTGCACAAGGAAATGAGAAAGGCGAGATTTATCAGAGCGCTCAAACCGAAGAGCCTGAACCAGTTGAAGTAAGTAACATTGAAGCTCTTCATCGTCAGCTCTTTCAAGAACACTGACAGCATATGCACGAACCTGGTAGCAGGTATTAAAGTTAGGCGTTACTCGGTCCCAGATCAACAGAATTATACTCATCTAAGACATCATATCCTATTGCTTAGCATGGCAATGAAAGCTTGGACTTTATAGTTTGTGTCTATACTACAGATGCAAGATGCAACTCTCTCCTTTCTTTACAATCCCATATTTGGCCTAATCAATAATCAGATATATATGGCTCTGGACGGAGCTCAGTGGCAGACCAATAGATGTGGTTAACTTCAAGTCCTAGTTATCAGGATTTTAAACTTGATTTTAACAAGAGTAGGAAGTAAAAAGAAATCCTCCATGCAACAGTTTTATGTGACAGAGGACATGTAACAGCAGCTCAGATGTTAACACACACACACACCCACCTCTTCACTTTCAAAAACAGGAGATAGCAGCTCCAATGCATCACAGACATCAATCATTTCCCATTTCCCCATCAGTTCTAAAGCTTGTTTTGCTTCCTGCAAACGAATGAAAATGGAGATCTTGAAATCTGGTATTCATCAATAAAAGATGGCATGGAAAATACTAAATCTGGTATTCATCAACTATAGATATCAACAAAAGATCCACATAGAAACTAATTTCTTATGTAAAAAAGAATTGAATGATTGATATTTCAGTGCATGGTGATATTTCAGTGCAGCACCATGCACGTTGCCAAAGTTACAATAATCCTAAGCAGGGCAGCTGGCCTGCAGCTTACTGGTGATGAAACAGAGTTAAACCAAAGGCCTAGGATCAAATATCAAGCTCCTTGTCATATATAAGCAAAAGAATAAGCTGGAAAAATAAGTACTAAATATACTATTATAAAAATGAAATAAAACTGTGAAGCACTAGTAATATGGCACATAAACTAATGGTTAAGAAAGGAGGATGCTGAGCAGGAGGGAGAAGATAGAAATGCAGACCTGAACATCACTCCATTCAACACATCTGAGGAACTTCGTGAGGGCCCTCTTCTCAGACATCAATGAGAAACGAAATTTCCACAGGAGCTGCCTCTCATCGCCACTCAAAGTCCTTGTTGGCGGGTATTTTAAAATCCTTTGTATTGACCTTACAGGAAAAGGCAGGCAAAAAATGATATACCTCCAACTTATTAGAAAATCAATCAATCAAAAGAACATAGAGCAGTGATGTTGAAAGAAAAAAAAATATGGCTAAATTAAGAAGACTGGTCCATCAATAAGACGACAACAAAATGAAATAATAATTTTTTTTAAAGGATAAATTTAAGAAATTTTATATCATAAAAAAAACCATACAGAAAAGTGGACAAAAAATGAAATGAGAAATAATTCAGCCATTAAAATACAAAAAAACCAAATGAGACACATCTGCATATTTACAGTGGATACCATAAAAGTAGAACACAACTCCAGTCCATTAATCAGCAGTACATGAGCATTTTGAAAGTAATTGTGACAATAAAGATTATGAAAAAAATTTAGCCAACATATGAATCTTCAGAGTAAATTTCAAGCTTACTTTCTCTCGTTGGAGCTTGGTTTAAGATCCCTGTCAATGATACCACGGGTTAAACTCCTTGCAAGTTTTAGTTGCTTGTGCTCTGACGGATTTATCTTTCCTACTTCTGGGTCCCAGACAGTAACAATTTCATTTGTTGAAGCAATAGGGGAAGGTAATAAGAAATTTGCCCCTGATTCCTACATTCCAATAAATGAAGGTTACTGCTATGGAAATTAACCATCAATAAGGAACCTAAGCTAGTAGAAAAATACCACCAACATAATAACAAGCACATTAATGTCAATACCTAAGGCGCTCTTAATGAGAAAACATATTACTGGTAAGATAATATTAGACTTATAAAAAAAAACTAAAAAAAAAACTAACGAAATGGATCTAGTTAAATATCAGCCGGTAGGTAACTTTGATAACTTAAGACTTGTTGCAGATTGGATTACCTGGAAAACAACACGATGCTCAAAACTACAGAAATCAACAACCAGGTATAAATGCAAACTTCCATTTCTAGAGCTTTCACGTTCCTTTATTCTCTCCATTGATTTAAAAGCTAGGCGGTCCAGCCAATCAACACACTGGATCTGCCCCCTCTCATACCTATTCACAAGCTTCTCCAAACGTTCCAACTCCCCACGCTCATGCCTGGGAACCTACAGGAAGATAAAACGTAAACCATTTTAGAAACCATCAAAAAAGCTAAGTCCCATTTCAATAACTTCTGCAAAGGAAGTAATCAGAAACCTTTCCAGGAGTAGAAGTAGGAAATGACCCATCTGCTACTTTTCCTTGCCAAAGTCTCAGCTTCTGCTTCCCTGTTTTGAGTTGCTTTTTGCTATTAAACAGAAGAATCGTGGCACCACCAACCAACCCTTCATCCTTCCCACATGAAACATCCCAAACCTATATTTCCAATGAGTGAAGTAAGTAGAGAAACCAAAGGGGAAAAAAACCTAATTATTAATTAATATGCCAGATGTTATAGAAAATTGATAATTGGTCTTGAGCCCTGGCCCTAATTGTTTAAAATGTGAAGTGAAACAACTAACATACTGTTAAAGCAAGTTGTGAATGACCAGTTAAGTCTCGATACTTAGTACTCAGAGTGATGAGCTCGTTCCAACAATATAATGGTCCTGAAGATTCCAACCTAACAGAAGAAATAAAATTCAAAATCCCTAATAACAGCATTGATATAATTGAAGTAGAAGAAAGAAGTTTAGGGGAAAAACCTGGTCCTAGTGGGAAGGCCAAACGGAGCACCATCAATGTACAACGCGCACTCCACATACAGCTCTGCTCTTCTCTCCTCTGTTGTGGAAGTGGGATCAACATCTGCAGTGCAGAAAGAAAACTGAATTGAAGAGTAATGATTGAATGATACAGTTTCTCGGGAGCCAAACGGAAAATTGAGATAGAAAGTACCAGAGCTAGGGGACTTGGCCGGACGCAAGGTTCCTTCTAACCTCTCGATCCGAAAGGTTACTGGGAGATTGATATCGCAGGACAAAAAGAAACGGAACTCATTCCCGCTCATTTCTTCTAGGGTTTAGGATCTTTGTTTTCTCATAATTAGGGTTTCGGGATTCGAATTGGCGAGAAAAAGGAGTTAGAGTTAGGTCAATAACGTAATTTAGAAGTTTCTGAATCAAGGTCGCGTGGAGCAATGCAAACTGAAAGGAGTTTTGCTTTGCGGGAGCAGAGGACTGAAGGACGATTGGAGAAAGGAGGCTACCACGTCAGCTTGAAGCGGGTAGGAGTTTTGGGTCGTTAACGTACTGGACTGGGCTTCCTTTTTAAGCTGGCAGGCAAAAGCCCATTATGATTCACTCAATTCCGAAGTAGTCGTTCATGTTCATTGATGATCATGAACACCTTTTTTTTTTTTTTTTTTTTTTTTTTTTTTTTTTTTTTTTTTTTTTAAATTTTTTTTTTTTTATTTATGATTTTATTCTCTTCACTCTACGAAACAAAAAATATATTTTTATCTGTTTTTTTTGTGTGTTATATATGATTTTTTTTTTCAACTAAGAAACTTAGTGCAAAAATTGAATCTTATTGTATTTTAATACGAGCGATATTTCGGGAGATTTAATCCAGAATCTCATGTGCACAAGTAACTACTCTTAACCATTTTAGCTAGAAGTCGTTTGAGAGTTGAAGAAACTCAAAACTATCAAAGAGTTATTGTCTCCCCTTTTATTATATGACAAAGTAACTTACAATTGAAATCAGCCATAAATCATAAAGAAGAGGGGAAGTGGGGGTGGGGGAGGGCATTGATTTCAATTCTCCTCTCACACAGTTAACCATCCATCCAAAAAGGGTCAAATGAGCAAGCTATCCGAAGTTATGATAAAACCATGACAAGGAAAGTGCTCAATATTAAGGTCTCCTGGGAAACTTTGAGAAATCTGGACGTCTACGTTGCATATATGCTGTCTTCCCCTCATTACCTTCCTCAGTGCCATAGAATAAGAGCGTGGCATCTCCAGCAAGTTGCTACATTGGAAATATTGGCCAAGCAGAAGCAATTAAACGCATGCATATATAAAATACATGATGTATGATAGATAAGATAATAGAGGGTACCTGCAGTCCAGCATGACCATCGTCAACTGCATTAAGAGCTGATTTCAGCACTCGAATTGCAGTCGGGCTGTTTCTTAGGATTTCTCTACACCATTTAACCGTTTCTTGCTCTAAACTCTCTAGCTGGATAGTAGTATAGAACAGTGAAAATGCTATCTTGTACAGAGTTACAAACTTTGATTGAAAATGAACATGATATTTGCTTTCTCTCTTATGAAATAAGGCTACCTTTCCGGGAAGATGCTATGTACATTCAAATTCATAGTACAAAAGACATACACTATCAACAATCAGGTTCTGTCACATTGAGAGTGAACTTACCGGTACAACAGTGTTAACAAGTCCCATTTTCTCAGCTTCAGCAGCTGTGTAAAACCTTGTCAGAAACCACATTTCCCGTGCTTTTTTAGGCCCAACCTAATTGACCAAAACTATTCATTAAAGGAACTCCACTGCATATCAAGTTAGAGTAATTTGACACAAGTAATTTCAGAACAGAAGTCAACTTCAATGCTTACCAAACGGGACATGATGGAACTCCCATAACCAGCGTCAAAGCTTCCAACCTGTCAAATGTACAAGTTAGGGAGGTTTTATATTCTGTTAGCATGCTGCTCTTACCCATTCTCTAGATTGAAGATGAAAGGAAGATGAAAGATTGATGGTGATCAAAAAGCAAGTATGCCAAGTTCAATCAGTTCTTGTAGCACCCTGACCAAAACTTTACTTGTGAAAAACCAGATTTAAGGAACATGATAAAGTGAGTACCTTAGGACCAGTTTGGCCAAAAATAGCATTGTCTGCTGCAATGGTAAGATCACAGACCATGTGCAATATATGCCCTCCCCCAACAGCATAACCAGCCACCTGATAACCCATTTAATACAAACAAGGGTTAATGATGTAGTTCACTAATTTGGGATGCTGGCAAAGTTTTCGACAACCAGCAATATTTTTGCTTCACAGCTCCCCAACTGTCCAACAACAACAAAGGCCTAAACTTGCAATGTGGGTTCAAAAGGGCATACCATGGCTATTACTGGTTTCGGAAGACGACGAATCTGGACCTAAACATAGCAAATTGAGATGATTTATATAGCGGAAGAACAAATGCTAGTTCACTGCCTAAACTTAAAAGGTCCAAAATATTTCTTTTACCTGCAAATCTAGAACATTAAGACGACCAAAATCTTCATAATCAGCATAACCATCTTTGCCTCTCAAAGCCTGATCACCCCCACTACAGAATGCCTTGGTTCCCTAAATATATCAAAAGTACCAACAAAACAAAGTGCAAAATTGACATATGTGCATCAAATTATTAGCTACATACAGCATAGTCAAACCCCAAAAAAAAATTTCTCCTTTTACATCCATAATGCATTTCCTTACTCAAGTTTTGACGTGAAGGAGGTACCTTCCCAGTAAGAATGATGACGCCTATGGAACCATCGTCCCTGGCATCGTTAAACGCGCGAATGAGCTCCTTAACTGTCTGAGGCCGGAACGCATTTCTTCTCTCCGGCCTATTAATCGTAATCTACAAACAAAAAACGCGAGATTTAGTGACATATCAAATCTCATAATCTCCATATCAAACTAATCAGTAATTAGTATTAATTAATCAAAACCAACCTGAGGAGCCTGACCTTTGCTATGGCTTCGCCGACGGCCTTCTCGTAGACTATGTCGGTGAAGGCCTCGCCGGAATCGTCACGAACATTTTCCCAAACAACTTGGTGGGTGGAGACTTCGCCGTGAGTCCGGTGGTAGCTGTCGTTCATGGAAGCATTGGATAGAGAAATTGAGATGCAGTCGGGAGGTGAATGGACAGGTCTGAGATGGTTAGCGATGGAGGCCACTCTCCTAGTCATGGTGGTCATGAGGTCCTTCTCTGAACTTTCAGCCATTGATGGAAAACTGGGAAAAGATCACACTTCGGAATTGGAGCTGTTGTTGAGTAAAGTTCAGGACTTGGAGACTAGGGAGAGGTTGAAGATGAGCCTTTTGGATTGGATAAAGAAGATAAGGCGCGAACAACAGAACGGTGCGTTTTGGATGTTTTTCACTAAACCTGGTAGAGAATGCGGCGTCGTTTTGGTGCGCCACGACCTAAAATTGGAACCAATTGCAATTTGCAAGCAGGGTGTGTCCATTCAGATTTCAGAAATCGGAATCCCGGGAAAAGACGAAAACGGTACGTTTTCAAACTTCATGTGAAAATTTTGTTCGGATCATGTGGTGAAACAAATTGTAAACTTGCATTGATGGGTTTCTGATGCTTCCATTGTGCTAATTATAAAATGAAATGAATCATTAACCTTGTTGCTTTCTTAATTGCTGCTTTAGATTAGATTTCAGTCCCTAATTTGTTAAAGCTTAAATCTTTAGAATGAATTTTCTTCTGGGTTTCTTCTTTCTTAGTTTACAACTATGTATGTTCTGGTGTTATGGTGCTTATTCAATTTGCTAGCTTTTTGAGCTGCAGGCAATTCATGCAAGTTCTGTATTTTTTATTTTTTGATGAAAATGTCATACATGATTTATATAGAAATTGTTCCAGAACACGCCTTCCTCCTCGTATGTTCTCTTGTAATCACAATGGGAAATAAATGTAAGCCTCTTATAAAGAAGAATTCCTGTAAACTAGGACTGCCAAATTATACACACTATAGAGCAAACAAACTGATGGTGTGAAAGGGGTCAGGAAATCATGCCGACCACACAAAGCGAATGCACCATCATCATATTATATAAATATATATATATATATATATATATATACTTAGTACTAAAATGATCTCAACATACATCATGATCTGAATTCACTCGGTTGCTTGATGGCTTGCCAATCTGTAAGCAAGCAATGGGTGGGACAGTTGGGGTTCTTAACTCTCCAAATGTCTGCCAGCAGAAGGGTTCATACATGTGATACTGCTCTTGCACTGGCTTCAGCTCTATGCCATTTAGTGTTACATCTACACAGGGTAGGCTGTCACTACAGGCAAAGTGTACAGGTTTTACGGTGTATGTCCCTCTTATTCTCTCATAGGTGATCCCCGATAGAGCCACAGCGGAAGTTTGGTTTTTGCATTGGCTTTTGTCACAGTAGAATTGGTCAATCACAATAGGAAGTTGAACTTCAGAAACTTGAATGTTTGAGAACAGCACTCCCTGAACAGAGCCTGATCCACCCTGCAGATTTAGAATTGAATCAGATATATGTAAAATAAAAAGGTAAATTGTCAAGCATTAGTAACTAATCTGAGGTGTTGGAAGAACCAATATTTAGTTCATGAAGAACACAATTCTTTAAGAGTCGACTGACTCATTTTTAGCATTGGGATCTAGCTGGAGGTGTATGGATTACTGAGATTGTATTCCAAGTTCAACATTTAATTATTTTATTCTTGGTAGAAATCAAATAGTATCTCTGTTTTCTTCTTTCTCTTAAGACTATTTTGAATTCTGAAAGCCTTTATGTAGAAGAGAGTTCTATGTTTGAAATGTGAAAGTCTAAAATGACTCATAATCAGGAGGTTTTAAAACCCCTTTAATTTTTTTTTTACTTGTATGTTTAGTTCCTGAATGAGGCATTCAACAAGCCATGAAGGGTTTAAATCTTGGCTCTGCTTAAAAATAGAAGTGTTGTACTTGGCGATGGATGCTATTTTGTCATGGCTCATTTACCATATTCTGGACCAGTCTTATTTCATTACTTGGTAAGTTCCAAAATCATATAAGAATTACAGAGGGTATCCATACCTGCCATGTCTTGACTCTGACACCATTCATGGTGTTGTGCATGATGATGTCTCGAACGGTGATGTTTGAGACACAGGCTTTGGTGTTATCCCTTCCTAAACTTCCGATGCTGATTCCATGCCCAGGTCCACAATTCACATTGTGTACGTACACATCTGAGCACCCCGTTTGTATGGAAATACAGTCATCTCCTGCACAAATAATTTAGAATGAAAGAGCCTTTAGCTTAGTTATACTTGACGAGTAAACCTGTCTTATGATCATCATTTTTATCCATGTTATACTAATTGACTTTGCCTTCAGTTTGGTCCCAATTTCATGTGTTGTCTGCAACGTTTATGTACAAATTTCAGTTTATAGTTAGGTTTATACGAATGATCAATATTACTGCTCAAAAGTGTGATGTGAAGTGCTATACTTGAAACATGCGAGTTTCTTATCTCTTCTTTGTTGTATGTGGTCCATAACCGTCCATTATTTAAGCTGAACTCGACAGAAGGGCAGGGGAATTTGGTAGTAGTTCTAACATCTGATGAAGACAAAATATTGATTTGAGGCTCGGGGGTACTACAGAACAAGAGTTGTCAGTGGGGTTTGAAACCTAATCCTACATTGGATAGCGCGCTGATGTTTTAAGGGTGTGAAATGCATCATCATATAATAGGTTGGGTATAATTCTTGGAATGTAGTAGATTGCCTGTTGCCATGTGTCAAACTCCTAGTGGTAAGGGATTGTTGATAGATGCAAACAACCATGCATAAGGCTGCAGGCGGGATAAGATTGAACATGAAATTTCTCAAATCATCTACTAGCTAACACCATAATTCTGCAGGTTTTACTTATGTATTTAACGCATCAAGATCTAATTAACAAAGTATTTATAAGAGTCCGATACATTGCACTGCCAAGACTAGATATTATAGAGTAAGGATTGTAGTTACCACAAGCAAGATTGGTGGTGTGGATGAGCACTTGTTTGGAGTTTTGCAGGTGAATTCCATCTGTGTTGGGGCTGTTGCCAGGGGACGAGACGCTCATGTCATGGACCAACACTCCCGCGCAGTTGTCAAACTTGAGGTGGCATTGGGGGCTATTCTGAATTGTTATCCCCGTGACTGTCACATTAAAACTTCCATAAAACCTTAGTGCCTGTGAAAAATCCACAAAAAAATACAACAATCATGTTACTGAAGCTGCATGGTCAAGACTCAAAGATCATATCAGCTTCAAGTTTCTGACACCCAAGTGGTCCTTACCGTGGGTTTGATGCTTGGCATTTTCCCACTCAGCTCGCTTCTTATCTGCCGCAGAATTTGAGCCACAGAATGATGATCAGTTTTAAGCTGGATGATCAAAGAGATTTAATGCATAAATTAGAATGGACAATCTTAAGTTTAGTTTTAGTACCGGCATTGGCGGGTGTTGTTGGGCTGTGCTGTTTAGTGGCACAATGAGCTTGAAATCATCATCTATAGGGTCTCCATAGGGAGTGTCCTGCCACCAAGATGAGCCTCTTCCATCAATTAAACCCTTCCCCTGAACTGTTATTCCTCTCAGCTTTGTAAATTCAAGCCATTGCAGCAGACCTTTACCCCAGGATTTGGAGTCTGTTGGAGCTATGATTGTGCCATCCAACTGAGAAATTAATAATTCGTCTCATCAGTCTTAACGGAAATGATAATTAGGTAAATGCTAACAACAGTCGTCCACACGGGATGGAGTCATTAATTGATTTTTACCTGAAATAGGATGTTTGGTTGGCAGTATGGATCAGAGAAGGAGATGGGGCCCACAAGGAACTTGTATGCGGCTGGAACAATGATCTGTGATGCCTCAACTTTACAAGCAGCAGCCCACGCAGCTTGGAAAGCCTGCGCGTTCCACCATAGCAAAAATATATTCGTTATAGTATGTAACAATAAGTAATTTTAAGTCTTATTATTATTTAAATCTTTCTTATTGACAGGGGCGATAGTACATAAATTCACGTTTAAATTCAGAACTTTTCCTAAAAAGGCAATTGCTCTAAACTATTAGACCAAAGTAGAACTGTATACAACTATTTTTGGAATCATCTTTCGTGACCCCAACTGCCGTAACGAGAATATTAATTTATTCAGTGGGCCCAAGGGCCTCGCCCAGTTTGGCCTGTTCTGTTGTCTCTGCTCTTTAACCTCTTCTGGTATTAAAATTTGTGCTCACCTATAAGTTTTGTACACCTTACATTTTCTCCTATCACTACTAAAGTTAAAAACAAAATTATTCGGTTGTTCAAGAAATGCTCTCCCATTAATGAATGATTAATGAAACCAATAAAAAAATTAATTAAATTGACCACAATGCTTCTTAACGATAATTCGGGCAAAATGACTATCTAACCCGACGCATGTCGTTTATAGTTATCAACCCAAAACAATCACGTGCAACTGATCCAAAAGGCATAAAGTTTACCAAAATAACTATTTGTTTCTCTCAATGATTAATTGGCTGCTTTTTTCGTTACTACCTGTCAATTACCTCACTCACAGAGTCACAGATAGATATCCTTCTACATGTTGGAATTTCTAGTCGTTTTCATGGACAATCATGAGCTCAAAAGAGCAACATTTTCAATTAACCCTTGATCATGATTAATTAGTTCTTAATTAAGAAACAGATAAAAAATTATGATGAGAGACAGAGCACATATGAATTAACAAACCTTTGTGTCGTCGGTACTTCCATCTCCTTTTGCACCAAAATCCAGCACATTGAAAGAGGAGGAGCCTTTTTGTGGAGTGTCATCTCTTGGCTTAGGGAGCTGAGGTGGAGATGGTGCCTTGTTATGAGGTGGAGATGGCGCCTTGTTATGAGATGGAGATGGCGCCTTGTTATGAGGTGGAGATGGTGCCTTGTTATGAGATGGAGATGGCGCCTTGTTATGAGATGGGGACTTGGGTTTTGATCCACTGCTACCACCACTATTGTGGTGACTACTGCCGCCGCTATGACTGCTTTTTCCTTTTTTCTTTGAAAGAGAAGAAGCAGAGGCAGCTCTGCTCTGCCTCCAATGCCTGCCTCTTCTGGCCATGCAAGCTTCAAAATTAGAAGACCAAACCAGAAGGGCAATTAAAAGCATGAATGTGAGGCTTCTGAAGCTAAACTCGCTCATTTTAGGGTAATGTGGATAGAAATGAGAGAGAGAGAGAGAGAGAGAGAGAGGCAGAGGTGTGTGTTTGTGTGTTTGAGGGCTTGCTTTAGTTTTAGATAGCTAAAAGATGTGGTGGCTGTGTTTATATAGAACTTGAGCAGTATGAGATTACTGTTATGCAGACAGAAAAGACAAACTTAAGCTAGCTAGGGAAAACGCATAATTTTGATAATGCTAGCAATTTATTAATTTCATTCTCATTTCATCCTCTGCTTCTCTTTTATTAATTACCATGTTTTCTTTTTTGTGAATTATAGTTGGTATGAAATTATAGTTGGAATTTGTTTTGCCTCGCAACCAGGGCCCATCTCATGCCACATGCCAATATTGCAGCTGTTTGTTGCAACTCTCTCATTCAATTGCTTATGCGAACACTTTGCGCTGTGCTAATCTTATTTAATTAGTCCTAATAACCAACCATATGGCAAGCTAAACATACCAATCTCAAATGGATGTTATTTTGTGGAGATTTTCTTTGTAAGGCCTCCATTATGGTTATCGGCAATGTTTTCTTTTTCGACGAAACGATGTTCTAAACTATTTTAATGTCTAAAGAGAAAAATTGAACTCAGATATAAAAGAATAGATAGACTGCCTTAGCCAATTCATCTAACCCAGAACAACTGCAGTGTCTGCAATGTTTTTATTTTCTAGCTTTTTAGCTGCTTAAGCAAGTAATAAAATATTTTAAGCTAGCAGGGGAATGTAAAAGCCAAGGGACACACGTGAGTGGGTCTAGGTGGCAAGGCCCGGCACTGATTATAACAGCACTTTATGGTCACATGCAACGTTCACGGGCTACTCTTTCTTTGTACTTTGTCTTCTTGACCCGCACCCATGGCTGCAAATTAACTTGCTGCAATTTCCTCCCTATTTTTATTTTTTTTTCTTTCATTTAATTATTGCTTCTTTAAGCTTGCTTGCTGGCCGAAATAAAGAAATTAAATCTTTATTTTCTCATAAGAAGATGAGATTTGTCTTATAGTTCTAGGGCTTGAGTTAAAAGTGTTGGATTGGGTGTTTGCACTACTCTTTTGTCATATTTTAACGATATCTTTTTATTATCATTCTTTTCTATGAATATTGTAATTTGTATGTGGGTTTATATAATATTAAACCATACTAAACTTATGCATACTATCAGTTCTTCTCTTATCCGAACGTTACTACTGTACGGATACTATTGTAAACAGAGAGAAAAGCATGGAGGAGGAGTAGAAAATAGACGTCCGCATATGAGAAAATCTGTTATTGTATGTGAGTGACTCCAAAACAAATTATGATGATGTAAAAACTGAAATTAAATGTATTAATCAGGGTTTAAATAAAATAATCTCTAAAAAGGAAAACCCCATGCGCACATGGTTTTGCCTTTCCTGCTTATACGGAATTCTGAGGGCATAACAAAAATAGTACAAAGCATCCAAAGGAGAGCACAACAACTGTTAATAATATAATTTAATTTGTTACAAAAAAACATTGGGAAAACATTTCTTTCTTTCAAGTCACATGTTCAATATTTTGCGATTTGCTTTGGCTTTTGGAAGACAGATAATAATAGATTACTTCACATAAAATAGCAAGAAAGATTGGCTTACGGCGTGCGGAAAATTTGGCGTTACTTCAATTTATAAAAACTAATCAATAATAGTGCAGAAACAGCATCGATCATCTTCGATATTTGATCAGATTCTTTGTGCATGATGGAAATCTCTCGAATATTTATTGTCATGTGCAAACAACCAAAACTAGGCCTTCCCCTATTTTCTTCTTCCCTTGTTTCTTTTTTCAAATTCTTACTTGATATGTTTCATGTTATTATGTTACTTATGTTACGTTACTTTCTTACTGTGCTCGTGTCTGTCCGGTCCGTTTTACCCCTATTTAGGCCTCCCAGAATTCTAAGAAAACGGCGGGAATGCAGTTGGAATATTTATGGTTAGTTTCCGTTGAATTAAGTTGGATGTGTCTCGTATGATTCATCAGATATAGCTAGGCAGCTAAGGCTTGAAGAAAACATTAGGCCATGAACGTCCCCATCGCTATTACTTTATATCTCTGTGGCTATGAATTTACATAAATGCCAGAGCTGCGAAGCTATGGCATGCACACCTCAATTTCATCACCCACAACCCAACCCAAGCTGCCCCTTGACCACTTCCTTCCCGTCCCTTTCCCCTTAGATTTACCCCCAACCCACCAAAAGGGCATCTTTCTCTCATATCATAATGTTTATTAGAATCTATGAATTTTTATGTCTATTTCGCAAGTGGAAAATTAAAATTGCTTAGCATATTACAACTATTCTTAATCTGCAGCATTATAATTTGGACTGAAAACCGTTAAAATTGGGTATTTGCTGTCAATCCCTGACATATTCTAAAATCTGTTGGTCTGCAGGTCTACGCACCAGTGCATGTTTTTAATTATTTTAATTATTACACATAAATCCCCAATCATAATCAAACAAAAAGAATACGTACGTCAAATGAATCCCCATAAACTCAGCAAACTAATTTTAATTAATTATACTAATGTTTCTTACACAATCAGAAACAACAAACGTACGAATAATCTACACATGTAACGTATCTTCATTATTTTTTTAATCCCAATTTGCCTGCTTGGTTTGTTTTGCATGGCATTTTCTTTTTAATTAATAATTTTTTGGGTGCCAATTATAGCGAATAGGATATGGACACTTGGAGTGAGAGAGGATGGGATTGCTACTGTACGACCTTCTTAGCCGTCTTTTTGTGCTTACATTAAATTTCATTCTCGTGAACTTGTGAGCCCTCTCGTGATCTCTCTCCATCTCCTCCATGCGTACCCATGGATGATTAGGGTTTCCTCTCTTCCATTATTATTTTGAGACAATGTTTTGGTCACTCGCCAAGGCATCAAACTTTTCATGCAACATCTATTAACGCCGCTAATCATATTAAATTTACTAAAGAAGTCCCATCAAATATAATTAAGTTTGGTTGCATGTAAATTTGGTGATACGTGCACTTTGTATGGATATGGATCTGAAAGCTTCTGATCTCTCGGTTGGATTATATATCGTGTTGTCATGCTCAAAGGAGATTTACACAAGCGAATAGTTTAAATTAAATATCGGGAATAAAAGCAGCAACAAAAAAGTTAATTTTTACATCCCTGCATCTAATCAAATTACTTTTTCAATCTTTGAATGCAATAATTGTTTCCTTTGGAACTTTAATACAAATAATTACGAGATGAAAAAGCACTTTTTCCCATCACCTAAAAAACATTGTGCCTTGGAAAACTCGGAAGCTTCGTGCTTGATTCTATATGTTGCAGTTGGTAGGATACTGCAACCTTTTTACTCAAAAAGAGATTTTCGTAAATTACAGTTTGATACATGCGCAAAAATAATTTATTTAAAATATATAAAAAAATTCTTATGCACACATATCAAACTGTCTTTGAAAAGAATCTAAGAGTTTTTACTTACATAATAATAAGAGAAGCATTTTTCATTGATTAATCACAGTGGGGTCTAATTACTTAGTCCCAATGTGGATCTTAAAGATAATTACAAACAGAAATTGACAAAACCTGCCATGAACGTGTACAAATTTCAATAACATCAGTACATATCACCATCCAAATTACATGTCAAATAGGTCCTACAAATAGCAATGACCAGATTGAAATTAGCTTGTAAGCAAAGGGTCACGGATCTTTCTAAAGTTTGGAGCTAGCTAAGCTAAGCTAAGCTAATAAGATAGCTATTATCAAAGATATTATTATTATTCACAAAGCACAAAGCATCAGAACTAAAGCTTCCCCATTTGGGGTTTCTCATTGTTGTTGCTGCTAAGCCATGCTGCTGATGTTAGGGTGATGCTCTCCTCACGGCATGGGTCGTGACATTGTTGTGCATGTGAATTTTTGCAGTTTGAAAAACACCCATTAATTTGCTTATGTCCATGATTTCAACATATTATTAAACTATTTCCCAAAGACAAAAGCGCTTTTGTCCCCACCTCTTTGTTTTGTATGAAGTTAACCTTGAACCTCAGTTTCTAGCTACAATCACGGATCGCTTTGAGCTCCTGACGAAGTTCCCTTGCACCATTAAAATTGTTTCCGGGGGGACAAGATCCTGAGACTTTGCTCTGTTGCTTCTCTTCTCTCCTCTCCCTCTGACCAAACATATAATGCATGCATGCCAAGCCACACATTTGCTCATAATCAAAGGCACATTTTATAATATATACACAATAATGTGAATTTAAACCACACGTTTGAAGCAGATGTGGATTAAGCCAGTTGATCATGACAGTGAGCATGTTTTCTTCACTCAAGTTTGAATCTACCTCTCTCATAAATACTAAATTCACCGTTTCATAACATAACTGCAAGACGGATAAATTGATCAGAATTGAAGGACCATAACTGGGAATTGGGTTATGATGATGGTGCACGGTAACTACGCATACATGTGCATCCCTATCGAGCAGTCTGGAATGTATCAGGCATGATGCAAGTACCATCAGTACTGCGACCTACTAATTAACCTTCTAGAATATGGCTGTTAAAATATGAAAAGTGCAATATAAAATATGGTAAATCTAAAACACACCAGAGAAGAAAAAAAACAAGAAAAAAAAAGTCCATGGTAAAAAATTTGAATACCGAGTCTGTTCCTTGATCCACGATGCTCAAGAACGTGATTGTCTGCATTGACTTTACTGTGCCGTCAAATCGGCATGGCATAGTTTTGCTGCTTTTCAGTGCTTCCAAGAGGGCGAGTAAAAAATATTAAAAAAATTCGTGCGTCTATTGTTTCTTGATGCATCTGGTACATTCGAGTTGTGCACACACATATATGTTGTAATCAAACAATCAGGATTCAAGATTCAAGGACAAAACAACCCATGCGATATTAAAACTATTCCGATGTATGTTGAGGAAATAGACACATTGCCTTTATCAGCTGAATCTTACTCACATACTTGAATTGGATCTTATGCTTGCCAATTGACCGGCCCTCCGCAACGAAAAGGACTATGTTTGTATTAGGTCGCCATATCTTGTGACTACTTGGAGATATATGCCTGTGTTTTGTGGGAGATTCACTATTATATTTAATATAGGGACTTAAATTATTTAAAAAAATATCAAATAGGTTTTAGAAACACACCCACAGCCTATTTACAATATGACAAAGAGGCTTCGAACTTCCTATATAAATTATAAAACTATTATTGATTTCTTAAAACAAACCAACCCCAAAACCTCATTTTTTTTTTAAAAACTCAAAACACTCGATAGGGCATCCAAGTAATTTAATAATCAAAATTAAATTCAATAGAGCAAACTGTTATTTTTTATTTTTTTTATTTTATAGAAATTAAATAGTAAAAAGTTTATCTATATCACTAGTGTTAAAAATGGATATATAACTAAATCCATTACATTATTTGAAACCATAAGCTATACTTGTATGAGGTTTGTTGCACCCTAGCTACTAGGCCTAACATTATTAGACTGGACCCAATTCAAATTATCTAATTTGGCCATCCCTTTTTTTTTTTTTTTTTTTTTTTTTTTTTTTTGTCAATAAGAATTTGAAACATTACAAAATTTGCTAACATTAAACAATTTGGTGGTCCCTTTTTCATCCACATTTGGAATTTTGTTTTTTTTTGTGTGTGTTTCTGAAGAGAAGTTTGGGTCCAATCTCATCCAAGCTTAAGATGCCTATTTGCCCAACTCTTGTTTGGAGTGGCACCATTTCTTCTTGTTGCTTTTCTTTCTATGATAATTGCAAGAAACAAAAACAGAGAGAAGAAAAAGACAGGACTGATTCATCATTCATGCTTTTGTATTTTCATCTTCTCCACATATATCCCAATCGAATTTTTACTAAAATAATGAGGCGACAGAAAGAACAGTTCAGAATTGCTGGTTTTTCTTCAAGCAATCAGCACACGACATCTATACTCAATCCATCTATAAATTTGTTTGTCAGGACCACTGTGTTAACACTAAATATGTAGGCTGATTAACAAAAATATAATCATTTGTCAATTAGCAAGCAGAAACTTCACCAATCAGTCGGTGATTTTTTTTTTATGATGCACAGGTTCTATTTTGCAGAGTGCAGAACGCAGACAAATCAGAGTTTCAGTCAGACTGGATTTGAATATCCCAGTGGTCCCTATTCCGAAAAAGAGAAACCCAACAGCTCATAGTTCATACCATTTTTGAATGGTCATGGCCCTTTTTGTTTTCTTTTTTTTGGATGGGGGCTGATTTTTTCCTGAAAATTTGTATCGGCCCAGGGTCAAATCACAAATTTGGACTTCTTCAAAAAAACTGGACAAGATATAGTAGGAAATCATTCTTTATATAACCTATAAGATAATCATTGGTACATTCAGTTTGGTTATATCTATAACTATATATATGATCACATTGTTCGCAACTTCCCTTAAAATTTGACAAGAGCAACTCAAACCTCCCTCCAACAATCCTTAACATTACTAGAGACCACTCTACAAGCTCATTAACCCTGTTCAGTATACTATCAAACAGTTATTTAATTATGCGCATGTAAGGAACCAAATCAGAGTTCAGTGTGCACAATCTCCTCCCTGCTGGGATCCGCAAGCTCAACTTCGGATGCCGGATCAGCGATGACCATAGAGTCTTTGTCATGGGAATTTAGACACTCTGCCGAAGGATGCACAATGCCATACCCGAAGCCCTGGGCAGAGTTGCAATATGTCTCCACCGTGCCATCCTTCTTCTCCAAGTTGACGTTAGTCAGGACTATGTTGCTGCATGGAACTGTGTCACTGCAGGCGAATTTCATGGCCTTAGCACTCTTTGTAGTCCCGGAAACGTTAAAGTACATGACTTGGTTTATTTCCACAGCTGATGTCTGAAATCCCATGAATAAGATAAGCAACTTGCACGGTCACAAGTTAATGAAATTTGACGGTAATAACACATTGCCTGAAATATTTTGGCTATGATTGATCTAGGTGAAGAGTTAATAGTTTATGATATGATCAAAATGAAATGACAGAGATTAGAGATGAAGGAAAGAAACTTGAAGCATTACCAGATTTTGACAAGATTTGGGGGAATCACAGTAAAACTGATCTATAATTATGGGGTTTGATACATTTTCCATCCTCACATTTTGAAAACGGACTCCACGAACATAACCAGAACCACCCTATACAAGGACACCCCAAATGGAAAAAGAGAAGAAGAAAAAATAAAAAAAGAAGGAAAATTAGTCAGTCATTATAGGAGACAATGTGTTCGGGTCATATGCGAAAAGCATGACAATGTAACCATAAGAGAGATGTGTCAAAAATGAAAAATAAAGAAAAATGTCTCCAATTAATAGCTTAAAAACCTGCCAAGTCTTAATCCTGAGGCCATTGGCAGTCTCCCTGAGGATTGCTGTATCCACGACCACTTTTGTGACTATGGCAGTGGAGTTGTCCTTCCCAAGACTTCCGATGCTAAGTAACATAGGTTTGTACCAACAAAGATAATAAGCAAAAAAATTTCAGTTCCATTTACTTAAAGATTAAAGGATGAATGATTATTTTGAGCCTGACATATATCTCTTTGGGAGGTCATGGGGCACAAACTGTATGGTTAGCCTACAACAAAAGTAGATGGTACCTGATTCCATGTCCCGGTCCACAAAAGATTCTCTTCATCTTAATATTGGAGGTACCATTGACAATTGAAATGCAATCATCCCCTGAAGAAACACAATGCATCAGTACCTTTTGTTGAAATATGAATGCGCTGTGGCTGTGCACCTTTCACTTGGAGGAACTTGGTCATGCATGTGCGAGATTTATTTCAGGTTAATTGTACTCACTTGTTTCCCATCGCTTAATGCTCGGGTTATCTACTCAAAGATTATTTTTTTCTCAACTACTATGTTACTGGATGATATTCATTCCCCATATAACCATTTTGGTTTCATTTTTATTCCAGTTCCTGCCTTTTGAGCTATAAAAAGTGAGATGAGAAATTATGTTGACGAAAGTTTAAGAACCTGTTCCAATTTTGCAGTCTTGGAGAACCACATTGGTAGAGGAAGTTATATGGATTCCATCAGTGTTGGGGCTGTCTCCTGGAGCCGAGACTTGTACTGCATTAACTCGCACTGAGTCACACTGAGAGATGACAAAGTTCATTTGTTGGCCGTTCTTGATGGTGAGGCCTTTTACCTTTATAGCTGAGCTCTTATCAATAGTCAATGCCTGCAATAAAAACCTCAACTTCAATTCTATCCAGTGATCATGGTCCCATATGATTTGAATGATTTCTTTTTTCGAACTATGGTTGTAAATAAGGGAAAGGTACATACTGTTGGTGCCCCTCTGCAAGGCTGTAGAAAAGGGAAGAGACAGGAAGATAAATTAATGTCAAATTGTTAATGATCATTTCCTGAATTGAAGTACTTGGATACGGTAGAAACTATAAAAATCCAAAAACATACATTTGACTTGTTCTTTTTGCAGGATGAGGCCCACCATTTACTGCCAGAGCCATCAATAACTCCATGCCCTTGGAAAAGGACTCCATTCAATTTAGAAAATTCAAGCCATGCTCGTGAGAATTTTGGATCCCAATTATTAGGCTCATCTGGTGCTACTATAGTTCCATCAATCTGTGAATCAATCGTACCATTTACAAACATGAACATTGTCTTACATTGTAAAGAGTATAAAGAGATGGAATATGAAGAGTTATCATTAATGATGATAAATGAGATGGATTATAAAGAGTTGTCTTTGCAAAACAGATCTAAGAAGGGTAGATGTTCGTTTAGACGTGAACATTGTGTTACAGATTACCTGGATGACTAGCTTATCTTTGCATGGCCCTTGAAATTTTGTTGCATTTACTAGATACTGGCGTCCCAGGGGTACCAAGAAAACCGATTGTGTTGTAGAGCAGGCAATGTCCCAGGCTTTTTGGAAAGCCTAAAAATAATGGCATTGTAGAAGAATAAATGTCAACAATTATGGTAAAAGAAACTAGTTCTGGTAAATGATTTTTTCGCAGTTAAAAATTGGCAAGTTCAGACACTAAAGCTGTGCAGCGTCATGTCCTCTTTGCAATAAATTAATAAATGAAGTGCACTTGAATGACAAAAAATGTCCAAATATACAAACTGTGTATACTCTCACCTGAGTATCATCAGAAACTCCATCTCCAACTGCACCAAAGCTATCCACGTTAACAAGAACCTTGCAACCACGTTCACTTGTCCATGATGGGATGTCGAAAATGTTCACCTCATTGTCTTCCTCAATGTCAAAGCTTTCAAGCTCATCAAGTATGCCAATGTTGGCATATACCATGTTTCCTGCAACTCCATAAACTGCCATCAGCATACCAAGAAAGGAAACCATCAATAATTTATCCATGTTTGTCTTTTCTGTTGTTTTGCAGATTGATTGATTTGTATAATTTCAATGAACAATGGGTTATAATTTATATGTATAGATTAGTTTAAGGGTTTTCTGGCCTACATGGCTTGCCTTGGAAGTAGATGAAGATGTTACATTTTCTACAAGCCCACACTTAAAGCAAGGGAAATTTTGTTCTTTGCTTTACTCTTAAATCAGTGCACAAAAATGCACTAGTAATAGTGTTCATGGATTCAGCCTGTGGCATCTCTTTCAGCAAAAAGAAAAGAAAAACTGAAATCTGCAAGGTGCAATACTTTGAGGGAAATGAGAATTTGATGGATTTGAAATAATAATAACAATAATGTACAGTTACAACAAAATTAAATGAATTTCTTACTAAGAAAAAAGTAGAAGAAAAGGTCAACGAGTTAGTTATACCAAACACAAGGTCACAGATGCATATTTTTTTATTCACTGCATGCACACCAAACGCTTCACCCAGAAAAAAATATAAAAAGAAGTAAAAAACACTACAGTAATAATAATTCTATTGAGGGAGACCACACCTTACAAGCAGGGGCCAGCTTCTTGAAATTGTTGCTGAAGAATCTGGGGGTCAATGAAGAATCTGGTCAGGTGGTTCCATCATTTCAAGATCTAAATCGGACGGTGACTGTTTAGCTCGACCAAACTGTGACCCATCTCCCATTTCACTTTCCGTGCTGTTGCAATTTCCCTCATTTGCATTGTAACGTCAAACTCTCCAATTTCAGAGTAGAAGTTTGAAGCTTGCAACCAAATATCAGGATCTTCAACGTCAAGCTCCAACAAAGTTTTTACTGTTCGCCTTCCCACTAGTTCATTCTTGTGTACCCTACAACTTCGCAGCAATGAGCTCCACATCACACAGTCGCCATTTCCTGGTGCCTGTTGCAGCAACTCTTCAGCTTCATCTAGCAAACCTGCCCGGCCTAAAAGATCAACCATACATGAAAAGTGCTTTCTGTCGGGAGAAATCCCATACAGATTTTTCATTGAATCAAACAGAACTCTTGCTTCTTCCACCAGCCCTGAATGGTTGCACCCACTTAACACACCCAAAATTGTCACTTTATCAGGTTTCAGGCCCTTTTTTATCATTGCTTGGAGCAAATGAAGACCTTCACTTCCCATTCCATTTCGGGCATATCCGTGTATTATCGATGTAAAACAAACGGCATTAGGTGAAGGAAGTTCTTCAAAGACCTGGCGAGAAAGCTTGACATGGCCACATCTCGCATATGCATCGATGAGTGAACATGAAACCACGATGTCAGATTCAAAACCTGATTTTATTGCAGAACAGTGTACCAATTTGCAGCTGCCCAAACTTGCCATGGCAGATGCCGATAAAGCTTTCAGGGTTGTAGATAGAGTAACCTCATCAAGACCAATTCCCTCATCAACCATCAAACCAAACATCTCCACCACATCCTCAATAACACCACAGTGCAACAAAGAGGACATTAATGAATTACAACACTCCAAAGTTTTCTCATGAACACTTTCATATATGGACACCGAACTCTCAATCTCGCTGCATTTCCCGTACATATCTATCAGAGCAGATTGAATATGAACACTCCCACTACGATCAAAACCTGATTTCACAACATAAGAGTGCATCTGCTTTCCAAGTTCAATATTCCCAGTCCTACTAGCTAAATTCAAAAACCCAACAAGGGAACGGACTGATGGCCTCTTCTCCCAGCACTGCATCTTAGCAAATAATTCAAGAGCATCAAGCAGTAAACCATTTTCGGTGCAGACACAGACAATTGAATTCCATGAAATCACATCCTCCGTTGGAATAGCTTTAAATGCTTCTGTTGCATCAATCAAACTCCCACAAGAAGAGTATAAATCCACCAGAGCATTGGCAACAAATACATTCGACTCTACCCATCCGTCCTTAACAACATAGCAATGTAGCTGCTTTCCTTCATCTAAGAGCCTCCCATTACTGCATGCGCGAATCAAATAACAATAAGTTAGCCCATTTGGTTCGACACCATCCAATTTCATCCTAGAATACCTACCATATAGCTCATCCACCCTACCCAATTCACAAAACCCACGTAACAACAAATTCCATATGGCTAAGTTTCGGTCAGGCAACTCATCGAACAACTTCAAAGCTACATTCTCTAGTCCCATATGCAAATAAAGGTCAACAAGGGAGCTCCCCACATACAAATTCAAGCTGAACCCAAGTGAGACCACCCTGCAATGAGCTTGAATTCCTTCTCTACAAAACCCTGCGTCAACACAAATACCCAAAACAGAAGAAAACGTCAAAGCACTCTCTCTAATTCCTTGTGAAACCATTTCAGTATAGAGGTGAAAAGCCTGTTGTGGAAACCCATATCGGCCGTGCCCAGAAATTAACAAGTTATAGGTAACGACGTCGTATACAAGCATTTCATCGAACCAGTTGAGGGCAGAGTTCAAGTCCCCGGATTTGATCAAGCTGTCTATTTTCCGGTTGTTGAAGTAAACATGGTCTTGAGCACTGGGTTCACAGTACGAGTCAAAATGCAGAGATGAGGTGGATGAGGTTATGGCTGCGTTGAAGTTTGGTGCAAACGTCGTTTTGAAACGTACAGAAGATAGCAACCTAGCAATTCGCATTGCCCATGCGCCTTTCCGAAGTGAAATTGACGACATTTGAAAATCTAAATTATGGTTCGTATTAATCATTGACCATTTTAATTACCCTCGCTGTCGTGAAAGGAATTTTGACTATCTGCAAAGACACTCTTTTTGGGTTTACCCAAAGACACCTTCTTTGACCTAACCAAACTCGGTAATATCCCCAAACAACGAAGTTAAGGGCTTTGCTTTGCTTGCAAATTGCATTTTATCAGCACAATTCCCACCAACTTGTCTTCCAGCCCAAACCAAACTGTAAAGAAAAATAATCAAAATCATGGAAAATCTGCACGTCATGCTAATACAACTTTCTTATCTTCGATCCACTTGCAGACACTCAATTCATTTTAGAAATTAAAGCCTGACATATGCAAATTGAAAAACACATGATGTATTTGGAAAAGGAATAATCAGACAAAGTGGTAGCAAATACTTGTACACCGTCACACGATGGAGCTGAATTTCTTTACATATATAATGACATTCCTGGACAATAGGGCAGCAATTTCCCTCACCCAAAAAAGCAAACAGCAATAGACGTTCATATAGATTATTTTACAATTGTAATGATATCAACACCCTTGATTTACATTTAGCCGCAGATGGCAAGATAACGCAAAAAGAAGCATTCAGAGTATTAACATTAACATGTTGCTGCAATCGCCTCCAAAAGGGAGGCCACAAAGTGCATCTGAGTGTCTTCGTCAATTCTTGAAAAGAGAGGAACATGGACAAATAGAGATTTGTGACCCTTTTCTTCGCCGAAACGGAGGGAATGATAGTAGACATAATTGCACACGAAACGCCCTGCATCATCTGATATTGCCACATCATATCCTTTCTTCTTCAAGATCTTATGGATTGCCTCCGTCGAGCACGAAGTCTTCAAGAACCAAATGGTGGAAAAGTTAGCCAACATGGACAGTTAAGAGAGAGAAACGGTATGGACTACTAATTTGTTAATATTATAATTTTACAACAGAACTTCCTTAGGGTAAGCAGCAGTTCCCCTTGCAGTTCTAATTAGAACTAGTGCAATAACTGACGAGGCTATTTCGGCCACAACTCATCAAACAATTTATTTTTTGGATAAATTAAGCACATCACAGTATGTCACAATAACATTACTTATTACATAAATCAATGTTAAAACCTGCACAACTGAGGCCTTCCCCTAATTCCTGCAAAATGAAAATTCAGTACAACTCAAACTATACGTTTAAGTCCCTCCTAAGTATTGATGAACTCACAGCGTATCAAAATTCTAAATAGGAACTTTTTTTTTTTTTTTTTTTTTTTTCCATAATGGAAATGAACTGCTCAGTAAAGAATGAAAAACTTATTTACTTTTTAATTTTATGAATAACATTGCAAACAGATTATACAAGTACCTCTCTAGCTCGAGAAGTTCCTCCATCCTCGGCGATTATTGGCAGTTGCTAGAAAAGGAAGAAAAAATTTAAAATATTAAGTTCAAGAAAAAGTGAAGATAATATAAACATCGGTAAATAAATAAACAATACACCATTAAAACACAACGAACCACACCCACCTGAGGTTGCCATCCAAACTCATCTGGACAACGGAAAGTGGCTTCATTTATCGCTTGCCGCTCAATAGCAAATTTTAGAGCCCCACTATTCACCCCCCAAGTGAAGCTGAAAAAGCAATGAAGGTTAAGTATTTTAACAAGATACTGGGGACTGAAACTAGCAACTGCTTCTGCATGACCATCCTTTTAAAATTTCTATTGCAAACTGTTCACACAGTTTCATAAAATTAGCCATACGATCATTGTTCAAAAGATTTATCTGCAAAGCAACAAAACCTGACGAGAAGACTTAGGTGAGGCACAATAAGTTTAAGGCGAATTAGATATCAATGTTTTTGCCTTAAACTTTGGCTACATATGATTGATTCATGGCAGGGGAGTGGCTAGATCATTGAAGTATAATGATGATCGGAACTGAACGGTCTATTGGATTCAGCGTTTAACAAAAGCCGCTAAACAATCAGAGACCAAAATGTCCTCTAGGTCCTCACAAAGCAGACATTCTCATAGGCCAAACAAGCCAAGCATAAGGGGAGTTCAATAGATGCATAAAATTTACACTGTAAGTTAGTTCCCCATGTACCCAAAAAGAACCAATTTTGTGACTGGTGACAGAGTCCATCTATTCCCAAAGACAATAACTTTTCTGGACATATTAATAAAGATGATAAGGAACCAGCAATGAATGAATTACTAAATCTAAGATATGTGCTTGGAGTTACTAATGGATTGTGGTTTAGGAACCAACTAGCTCTTGATCTAGTGGTATTTCTCTTCCAAATGTTGGAAGAGGTCCTAAGTTCGAATCTCCCCACCCGCATTGATGGGAAAAAGAAAAAAAAACATACTGGTTTAGGACTTCCAAGAATTCTATAGTGAGGGCCTTATATATGGCCCTTAGGTGAGGCCCTATCTCTTAACCGTTGGACCATGCTAACCAATTTAATCCAATAGTTAAGAGATAAGACCCAAAAAAAAAGGGCCATATATAAGGCCCTCACTATAGAATGACTCTTAGGACTTCATAAGAGTTAGTAACTTCCCTAGTAGTGTTCAAATCACTGAGGTCCGTCTTATAATTTACTTTAAGTGCATCCTGGAGAACACCATTCAAGGCCAGCCTAACTCCTGAGAATATTTCTGAATTCTTTTGAAACCAATTAGTCCCCAATATCCCAAACATGTCCAATTCCTAGGCTAGACCCCGTCGAAACACAGTCAGAGAATAGCATTTAACTTTTCAAAATGGTTTGGAATTTTTAACTTTTAATTTTTTGACTCAAACCTCCAAAAGGAAAGTCAATTTAGCAATCATAAATGAGACACTGACCCATACGACTTGTTCATTGGTGGTAGAATCAGTTGTTGAAACGCCGGAATCCATGGTCTTGTAAAGAGCAGGACGTGCGCCATCTCCTGCGGTCTCAAGAACAGTGCAGCTGCCCAGAGTAAGACCAGCAGGCAACTCTTTCTTCTCAACGAAGCCTTTTAGATTCTTAACTATGGTCTCTGTGGGATTCTCAGCAACGCCTTGGAACTTCTTGAATCCACTCACATGAATGACAACACTCTTCGGTCCTTCTGATCCCATTTCCTCGTCCTGCACTTGAATACAGTTCCCAATCTTCGATAATTCTGCTACCAACACAACAAGTTCAAATTTTTCAATGCTATTAGACAATAACCCGACTTTTCTTTCTGAAAAAGTTTCAAACTTCTTTGTCAAAGAAAAAAACCCAGCAAAGATTTGAAGTAATCAGGCTGGTTCACTAGTGATTTAAGCATCAAGCATCATATCAACCCTTCAACGAGACCGATCAATTAGTTAAAATATAAGTAAATTTGTATGCTTTGACAGCCAAAAATGGAAATTAGCTTAGGAATTGTCAGTTGACCGATCAGCATTTCTTCACAAAAACAATGAAAATAGAGGGAAAAAAACTGAAAATCTCTAAGGTAATGGATTAAAAAATGTACTTGCAGAGTTGGAATGGAGCAGACCTTTGAAATTCAGGACGGAACTCTCAACTCCGTGTAGAGTTTAAGGAACGAAAATGCCGTCCTCAAGTTGGACGAAGCAAAGCTAGTTTTGGTCTCTTCAGCCTACTCTTTTACTTTGCTCGTTGGAAACGAGTCTCAATTAAATAGCCATTTGGTCGTTAATCTTTTACGAAAATGCCATAGTAGGGCGGTGGGAAACGTCATCCTCCTTCAATTAAAAGTCGCCGGTTATATGGACTGATTAGGATATAGTACAAGAGTATGATTGCACGGGATAAAGTGAATATTTATTAATATTATATTTTAACGGAGTTTATTTATATACATGCCCCACGTACTTTCAAATTTGTCTCAGATTATCACATGTACTTTGAAACGTCTCAAAATACCCCCCACACTTTTAAAAACGGTCTCACGTTACCCATTCTATCAGTATTATAGACGTTCCGTTACGTGCTTTGAGCCTCACTTCGTTTCAATCCTTAACATTGGAGAATAAATGTTTTTCTGTTTCAAAAAAGGGGAAATTGGGAGAAGAGGGCTAGGGTTTATGAAAATCTGATGTGAGGTTTGATTTTGGGAGAATCTGAAGAAGAAATCACTATTTGGCATTAGACTTTAAGGTTAGAAAGTGCAAAGATGGTAGTGCTTAAAGAATCTGGAGGTTGTTAACCTATATGTAAGTGAACCCATTCTCACTCGATTTTCTTGATTTTTGGCATGAATTGCATTGAATTGTTTGTTGTAGTTTTCGTTTACATTTTTTACTCTTTTTTTTTTTTATCCTGTGTGCTGGTCCTTGTGTGGTCCTTGTGTGTTCCTGTGTATTGTACTGTATGTCGTCCTTGTTTTGTCTTTGTTACCTTTGTCGATTTGTTAAGTCAATCTTCCTCTTACACAGATAAAGATGCTGACAAGGTTGTTACATTGAAGTTTTTCCATGGAGGTAAACTAGTTAAAAATAGAAGGCACAGTGAATGGTCTTATTTGGGTGGTGAAGTCAGTTGGTTTGATTATTGTGAGGTTGACTATATGTCCATGTTAAAGCTATTTGGAATGGCTAAAGATTTGAGATATGACAATGGGTATGATATGAGTTTTTATGGTCAAGAGTTTGGAACTGGTAGACTCATTCAAATAGTATCAGATAGTACGCTTTTAGCACGGTACCTAAAAGTAATAGCATGGTGATAGTTTTGTACTTGAAAGTACTGAGTCTGACTTCAAGCCAAGTGGGTAATGATAATAGTGATCCTAAATATTCTTGTTATGAGGATGGTGATAGCAGTGATCTAGACTTTGAAGACAGTGACTATGCACAAAGTGATGAAGAGATTGATTTATTGAAGAATGATGATAAATGGTTTGAAGGTTATGTGGATCATAGTTGTACTGACAATGATCCTAATGCATATGAAAATGATGAGTCAGACAATGGATAAGAGTCACCTACACTTACCTATCCAAATAGCTCTTCAAGTGAAGATGAAGTAGTAGGTGAACTAAGAAGGAAGAAGAATATAATGCCAAAATGTGAAGATTTCAGACCTAAAATTGATATGGCGAACCTAGGTTTCAAAATAGGTTTAAAGTTTGCAACTGTTGAGATGTTTAGAAAAACTGTGAGGATATACTCCATTAATTGTGGAAAGGAGTTGATATTTAAGAATAATGACTATAACAAAATAAGAGTAGCATGTGAAGAGGGCTGTCATTTTGTTATCCATGCTTCAAGTGTTAGTGGTAGCACTTACCTGCAGGTGAAAACCTTTAATCCTACATATGTTTGTAGTAAGGGGAGTAAAAATATACATGTCACTGCTAGCTGGTTGGCTGAAAGATATTCTGAGTAGTTAAGGCTCAATCCAAATTGAACTGCTTCTTCTTTTGCAGAGCAAGTTTACTAAAACTATGGTTACAGACCATCTAGAGCAACTGTGTACAGAGCAAGAGCCATGACAGTTGACATTGTAGATGGGTCTTACAATAAACAATATGAAGTATTATGGGATTATTGTCATGAGTTAAGAACCAGAAATGTGGGAAGTACAATTATCATTAAATCTGAAATAGAAGGTGATAGGTCACGGTTTCAGAGGATTTACATCTGCCTTGCAACCTGAAAAAAAGGTTTTTAGATGGTTGTCGACCTGTGGTTTGCTTGGATGTGTGTCATATCAAAGGGCCTCACCCTAGGCAAGTGCTTTCTGCAATGGAAGTTGATGCAAACAACGGAATGTTTCCACTTGCCTATGCATACGTAGAGATTGAGAGCAATTCAACATGGCTATGGTTTTTAGAATTATTGAGTGGTGATCTGAATATTAGGAATAGTCATGGTTATGTATTTATGACTGACAAACAAAAAGGTTTAATAGATGATGTGGATGCTCTATTCCCTCATGCAGAGGATAGACATTGTTTGAAACATCAAATGGAAGCAATTTCTAGGGCCACAACAGTGTCATGGTTTCATGCAGAGATGAGAAAGATGTTAGAGTTGTCTAAACCTGCACATGATTGGCTTGTAGAGAAAGATCCTAGGCATTGAAGTAGGGCATATTTCAAGAGTGATTCCAAGTATGACATGTTTATGAACAACTTATGTGAGGCATTCAACCGTAGCATAATGGATGATAAAGATAAGCATGTTTTGACTATGCTAGAAAGAATTTAGTTGTATATAATGTTGTTGATGGTTGGAAGAAGGGTTTTCTGTGAGAAATGACATGGACAAGTTGGGCCAAGAATTAGAAAGATATTAGAGAAAACAAAGGAAAAGCTCAGTGGTGCATTCCTAAGGCTGCTGAACAGAATATGTTTGAAGTAATGCATCATAGTGGTCGTAACTTTGCTGTTGATTTGAATGCCCACTCTTGTTCATGCCATGCCTGGGATTTGAATGGAATACCATGTTTGCATGCTTGTGTTGCAATAAGTTGGTTTCATGGGAATCTAAAGGACTTTTTTGATGCATTGTACAAGAAATAGGCTTATTTGAGAGCCTATGAACCAATGATTATGCCTATGACTAGCCAAAATCAATGGATGAAGATCAATTTACCTCCATTACTCCCTCCAAAATACCACAAGCAGCCTGATAGGCCTAAGAAGACAAGAAAACAAGCTTTTGATTAGCCTAAACAACCTGCTAATCCATATAAGCTTCCTAGGTATGTCATCTCTTTAAAGTGTGGCAACTGCGGTGGAGAATGGCATAATCGAATTAATTGTAAGGTATGTGTCATTATCCAAAATTGTTTTACATTTAAATCTATTTGATTTGGTTTATGACTTGATGACTTTGCTTATTAAGAACCTAGAAATCCCAACATAAAGCCTACTAGGAAGAGGAAAGTTGCTAAGGAAAAACTTCCAATAAGTGCCACGGTTTCAACTATGTTTTCACCATTCAAATTTTCATATCATACCTACCTAATTATTATTTGTTTTAGGTAAGAATGAGATATGATGGAGACCAAAGTAGCGGACAACAAAGTATGCAACTAAGGCAAAGGAAACAAGCAAGTGGTTCATAAGAGCCTTCTCAATCCCAGACATCTGAAGTAGCTCACGCTTCTCAATCCCAACCATCTCAAGCAGCTCAGGATTCTCAATCGCAACCATCTCAAGCAACTCAGGCTTCTCAAACATGTGATTCATCTCAATCTGCCAAACTATCTCGAGTACAACAACGTAGAAGGATGATGAAAGATCAACAAATGGATCATTTTGTCAAAGATCCTTTTTTTCATCCTTAGATGTGATGATGTTGAACTTTTGCAACCTATTTTTGAATTAGGATGAACTCTTTTTGAATGGTTTGAATGTTATAGAATTATAGATTCTACAATTAGCTAGTTTTATAAGACTTTAATGGTTTGATTATGGTTGCAATTGGGTTGTTGGTTTGTAGGATTATTGATGTTTGTGATGGTTGGTTTTATTAGGCTTTCATGTCTGTCAAGGTTTTTGAGTCAGGTACTTAGAGGTAATTGACCATTTGATATGTAATGTGATGGTTGGAACCTGTTTTGGTGTTGTGCTTATATTGATCAGTTATTGAGATGTAACCACTTGATATGGCATGAACAATATATACTTATGAGTAACTTGTTTTTGTAACCTGTTTTTGGCATCCAATGAACAAGATATGGTTGTAACCTGTTTTTGGTATGATGCTTATCAGTATGTCATCATTTGTAACCCCTAAACAAGTTTCCATTCATATCACATATCAAAGAAAACTCTAAACTCTAAACAAATTACAATGAACTAATGCTTACTGATAAAACTCAAAACAAATTACATTGTTTTCCCACCAAATTACATTACATTACACAAACTGAACTACTATTACATTACATTAGCATTTGTTCTCAAATTACATTGCCCATTGAACTACTGCTTCTTAATCACATTACACCCACCAAATTACAAAACATATTACTCTTAATTCCTCATAATTCCTCCTAATTCATCTACATGGCAAACACCACCAACCAAGAAAGCAACATAGCAGCCTACAATATTTTTTACTTTGCTCGAATTTTTGCATTTTCCTTCTCCACCCTATCAATCTTCCTCAGCAAACCAGGTATCAAAGACTTTGAACGCTCACACATTTCTGCATCAAACCACTGAAAAAACTTACATCCTTTTTCACCATTTCCCTGTATCAACCAAGAACAATGACTAAAAATTTGATCAATTTGATCAATGACTGAAAATTTCATCAATAAGAACTCTATCAATTTGTGATGCCTAAAACAATGACTGAAAATTTGATCTTAAACATTCTTACCTTTGATTTTGGGCAGACTAGAAATCTCCGCCATAGGTTTGAAGTGGTCCACGAAGTCTGCATCCGTACTAACTTCCCACAATTATACCATTGGGCATGCCTTGCTTCTCCTATTTCCATCTCTTCTTCAATTTAGTCAGTATTCACATAAAGAAGAACCAGCTGAACCTCCAAATCTAAAATCTCCCTTCTTTTTTCTCCCAAATCGTGTGACCCCCTTCCCCCTTTCCCAAATCCGAACTCCACTTAGAGATTCATAAACCCTAATCTTCTACTCCAGAATCTCCCAATTTCGAACCCCACCTCAGAGTTTTATAAACTCGTGATTTCTTTTCCAGATTCTCCCAAAATTCGAACCCCACCTCAAATTTTGATAAGCCCAAGCATTCTTATCCAAATTTCCCCTTCTCACCCAAATACCCCTTTCCTTTTTTCTGAAACTAAAAAACCCTTGTTCTCCAATGTTAAGGATTGAAACGAAGTGGGGACCAAAGCACGTAACGGAACTTTTATAATACTGACAGAACGAGTAACGTGAGACTGTTTTTAAAAATGTGGGGGTTATTTTGAGATGTTTCAAAGCACATGTGGTAATATAAGACAAGTTTTAAAGCACATGGGGCATGTACATAAATAAGCCTTTAAGGGATGTGATTTCCCCATTCTTTTTTTCTCCATTTACACTCCCTTTTGCTTTTTAATAGTTTTTAATCAATTTTATTCTTTCTTTTTTCTATTCTATCCTTACCCTACATTAATTTCTTTTTACTTCACTTTTATATTAGTTATTTTTCTTTACACTTAATTTTCCAACTTGCATTCCATGTTTGGTATTTTTTTTCCTCAAGTAATAAATTAAGTTTCTTTTTTCCCTTTAATACTGAAAATGGAGTGTAAGTTAGAAAATTAAGTGTAAAGAAAAAGAAATAATATAAAATGTAGTAAAAAAGAAATTAATGTTGGATAATGATAAAATATGAAAGAAAAAGAACAAAATTGATTATAAAGTATTAAAAAACAAAAGGGAGTGGGCAAATCAGAGCCCTTAAAATATAATATTAATAATGTTTTAAAAGTGATAGATTAACTACATTGGCCAACCAAATTATAGATTTTATCAGATGCCATATTTCGATACCACATAATAATTTTTCAGTTTATTGAGTACCTAATGACACATATATATAATGACACGTAGATATGTTATACTATGCGATTGTATTCCAATAATATATAATATTCTCAGTTTATTGAGTATCTGACGACACCTATATTATAATACGCGAACAAATTATATCACGTTTAGAATCTTTCCTATTGAGAGGAGTGATAGTATATTAAACTTACACACATTACACATATGTTATGACTCAAACCTAAGACCATAGTCTAAAATATCTATAATATAGACGAAATATTTAGGATATTATCATTTTTTCGAGTCATGGATATTTCATAACGTAACCATACACATATCATATAAATATAGATAATATCAGAAAATATCAACGTCGATAATTTCGCTCACACTTCAGCAATATTTTGTCAAAATATCTCTATAATATAGAAAATATGCAATGGCAAAGGAAAAAGGAAAAAAAAAAAAAAAAAAAAAAAAAAAACCGAACTCCTGCCATTCCATTCCTCCAAAGCCTTAACCACTGTGTTGCTTATGTTTTTGTGATAATGCACAAATGAGAACTCTATGTGGTATTAAGTCATTCATGTATCTTACCATGTAATATATAAAATGTAAAATATTGTACTAAATCATTGTATATAAATAATTATGGAGTGTTTAATCTTCTTTCATTAATTACATATTTTCTACACTCACAGTGTTTGTCAGCTCGCTATATAATAAACTTAAATCAGTTAAACCCATCATGCAATGCATTTCCTTCCAATTTTTTGTGATAAACTAATAGATAATTGACTAAATAAACATCATCAAAAGTTTCAATAAAAATTTCCAAGGTTTTCTTACAATTTTTTGTGGTTTTTATTCAATTTTGATCGATATCGATAATATCCCGATATTTTCATTGAAATTTCCGTATTTTTGGACTATCGATATTTTCGATACCATCGATATTTTAGACCTTCCCTAAAACCTTGTCTCGAGAAGCAATTATTTCAAATTACTAAAACCTTGTCTCGAGAAGCAATTATTTCAAATTACTACACTAGTAGGTGCTTTGATTATCACGTAGAATACTCATCACATCACCTTATTCCAATATCGTACAATAATTTTTCGGTTTATTAAGTAGCTGACGACGTGGCATCTTGTGGTTGGATGGATAACGTCAATCAGATTCGAGCCGTCATTCATGAGATGGAAACGACGTTGACTGTCTCGTCGTTTGATTTGAGTAGTTTATAGAGCGTGGAGTGAACAGACGACAGGTCATTGTTGAGAAAATGGGGAAGCATCCGGTGCAGATGAGAGCAGTGGTGTACTCGCTGTCGCCGTTCCAGCAGAAGGTGATGCCTGGGCTGTGGAAGGACTTCACCGGCAAGATCCACCACAAGGTCTCCGAGAACTGGCTCAGCGCCACTCTCCTTCTCGCTCCTCTCGTCGCCACCTACACGTAATTCTTCGATCTAACTCTATCGTTTTTGACAGAGTGAAAAATTAGGGTTTTCTTTTTCAATTATGTTGCTTAAATAGTTCATTAATAGTATTAATGTTCAATTGGTACTGGGAATTAGGAGCAGGTCATAAATATTTGCGGTGAACTGTTGAAATTTATGGTCAAAATGTTGCATTTTGGACTGATTTGATTATATATTGATATAGCTGATGAATTGGGGATTGTTTTTAAGACTTTAAGATCAGCTGAATTAGTAGATCATGTGAGTGTTTTTTGGGGTGGGTTTGCAGGTATGTGCAGCAATACCAAGAGAAGGAGAAGTTGGAACACAGGTACTGAAGATCGGGGCCTTCGTTTGAGCGAACAAATATTGGAATTTTCTTTTTAGCTGCAACTCTGTGCGCAATGAATGATAGACTCTCGTCTCTTATTGAAACTACAGTGGTTGTAATTTGGTTGTTTTGTATTAAAATGAGATGACATTTGCAGTGAATTGCAGAAGGGTTTGAGTTTTATTCTTCTGTAAACAAGTTTGTACTTTGTTTGTCAGATTCTTGAAGTCGATATACAAATTCAAACTGCATAATAAATTGAGAGTGCAGGCTCTGTTTCATTCATCTGCATTTAAATGTGTAGTAGATAATGAGTGCATGCTGTTCGTTATCGATGAGCAAAATATTCGTAGGGTTTAGTTTAGATGCAGGTTTGATGCAAGGTGTTTGGCCCTCTGCTGGTAGATGCTGACCTCTTAATGAGAGCATGAGGCCAAGAATGAAGAACCTGCATTATGGCAATGCAGGTTCTTCGGACATCAAAGCGAAAATTGATGCCATGGATCATAACTATCCAGGTCTCAACTTAGGTAACGGGGTGCTGCCTGCACAGTAATGTGGTGATGCCTGTAAAGCTCTAGTTGGTTTGGACATATGATCTGCAGGTTAATTTGTTAGATGAAGCTTGTGTTTATGTAAGGACTGTGATGGGTTGGTTTATCATTATAGGGAACGACCAATCTACTATTGAAAATCCCACGGTTTGTTCTAAAGCTAGCCAACCCAGGTGTGGCTCTGTTGCAGACTTTTTATTTTTAATAATAATCAAAGGCAAACTTATTACAATTTGAGAACAGTTTTAAAACTTGTCAAAAATATCCACAGCAGAAACTCGAAAGAATACAACACGCTGTTCATAAAATTTAAAAAATAAAAATAAAAATTCAAGCTTGAAATTAAAATTTTATTTACCAAATGATGGAATAATTAATCATAATATTGAATGTGCAAATCTGCAATCAATGGCCGCTTTTGAAGATAATCATCATGTGCAGTGCATCTAACTACAACTGGAAGCCTGAAGCACCAATCTTTCCTCTTTATCCAGGCCAAAAAATTAACATCACTAATCGTTTTATATGAAATGGTTCTGCAATTTGTGGCCCCAATCTTTCTTCATCTCTCAATTCTGATAAGAATCCGGGAATGCTCTTGACAACAAAAGCTGCTTCATCCTAATTATTAAAGCAAAGACACCGTAGCATGGGATATGCATCAATCCAACCCCAAGATACCTGCAAGGTGAGTGATCGCAAGGTAAACGATGATAGAGCTGAAACAGTTTCTGGCAAGTAGTTTTTATATACTTTGGTAAATTTCATCTCGAATTTACTTTGCTACAATTAACAATAAGGAGGTAAACACCATACCATAAAGGAGCATATGAGGATGACAAGTCAAGAAATGGATAGGGCCACCTGCAGTAAAGTTAAAATATTATGAACAATAGTTAAATTTCTTCGATCTCTAAAAGAAATGTAACAACTCAAGGAAATGTGACAATTTCGAGTGTAGTTTTACCACATAGATTTGCAAGCATGTAATATCCACTGAAATATCACGAATATTCCCGTCCATAGCACAAAGTAAGCGATTCGAAACAATGGAAACCGCTGGAAGGAGGAGACAATTGAATTTTTGTAAATCATTAATGGTGAAATAATAAGCAGAAATGCCATTATAATGAATAAGGAACCAAACTTACCATACAATTCAACAATGCCTCGCCAAGGAGGAAAACAGCATTGATTGAATGCATACTGACAATCATCTGCAGTTGAATGGAGAGGAAACTCATTACAAGAAGACAAGAACAGATAAACTGTCAATGAAATTACCAGGCTTGTATACTTACAAAATTCAGTTTGTAATCTGCGGCTGTTAGAAATGGATACAGAACGAGCCAAAATATGCAATCAGTGAGCGCAACAGCACCTCCACACATCTAACACAGATACAAAGGGAAGGAAATGACCAGGTTGAGATAACAGAACTCAGAAATTACACAACTTATAAAGAATCCAAGTCCTCTTTTCTAAACCAGAACTGCAGCCTCTTATAGGAGGAAACCTACCTGATAAATAATCTGAAATATATAAACGCATGCACCTGCGCCTTCACAGCCATGATATTCCTTGGCAGTTAAACTTTTAGATGCATTGGATGGATTACTATTCTCCGCAAGTGTTGGAGCAACATAAGTACCTCGTTCTTCATCCTCGCCAACTCTATTGCGATACTTGCAAATTCCACGAAGAGAGAGCGAAGATGCCAGCTACAAAATGAAGTTCAGAGAATAAGTAAATTAGGGACAGGGACATTCGAGTAAACTAAGCATAATGGTTGCCATACTTCATTAATCGATTAAAGGTTCTGGGACATTAACAGATAGAAGGGTTTTATGTGTTTTGAACTGAAAAGCTGCCGATTTATCCTATTGAGAATCTTTGAGTGGTAAGATTGGCCTGAGCAATCCAAGGTAACCAAAGAAAACTACTATTCTAGTTTTATATTTATCATATTTTACTACAATGTAAATGCAGGTATGCTCAAGACCTTCAAGAGTTGAAAAACATACCCCAAAATAAAAGGTGACCAAAGTAAATGTCCACCTGTTAAGCGCAAAAAGGGAACAGACTACATCAACATATAAATCATGCAAATACAATTAGTGCAATGAGCTTCAAAGTTGTTGGCATCCGCTCCTCAAAGAGATATTTTTGTGATTATGAAGATGAAAACTGCAGATACAGATAGCTTACTGTGTATAAAAGTAAAAGATGCCGAATCCATCAAGAGCAACATTGGCAACTATCAAGCACAACATCACAATGAAAGCAATTATTCTATAAGCAAGTAACCAATTGGGATGTATTCCTTTAAGGCATGTCTTCCAGGCTTCATCCTCATGCAAAGACCCTACTGTTTCTCGCTGAGCTGCCCTCCCGTTCGTTCTAAGTTTGTTGAAACCTTCATATTTCCATATAAGAATTGAGGCTACAACCATGGTAGATGCGATCCATATTGCACAGATGAGGAACCTCCAGTTCAACCAGTAACTTGGATCAGTAGTATCGGCAGTCATGACGGGCTGCCAAGTATGGTTTGAAGATCCTGTTAAGAAACTCATAAGTTACTCACTTCACTTGTATTTGCTCCACTAATTATGTTAGTCAATTTGGATTCAAGGGCTATGTGTTTAAATTAAATGATCATGAACATATCTATGCCGAAATTTTTTCAAAGAAAGTGGAATCAGAAAGCATGAAAATCAAAACAATTCAAATGTGACAACAGTTGAAATGTGAAATGTTAGCCAAAAGCAGTTCCAAATGTTAAAAGGATTATAAATAAATAAATTGAACTCAGTTGGAAACTTAGACCCAGTATTAAGGTAAGCTTCATTGTTATTCCGCTGTAACAAAACATAAACATTTTATCAAATACGTACTGATAAGTATTTGAAAGTACAAATCAAATATAAAGAAAAATATCTTCAAATACAAAATCTACAAGCAAAGTACTTAAAAATTAGAGGTTGAAGAACCCAAAACTTTTTGGATTTGAATATGTACACACACACAGAATGAATGGAGTATAATTTTATAGCTGAACTATTCCATATACAAATGCAGGCAAAACCCAGATACCAGAGCTAAGGACTGTTATGGTTTCTCATGAATTTATTAAGAAAAGAAGAAGAGAGAGATTCCTTACTTTAAAGTGGGTTTTACCCAAGAATGTCACGAATTCACGATCACATCCAAACGAGAATAGTAAGGTTGATTCCTCCGAAAATGAAAGGTGTGTTCGCTAATGAAATTCAAAGGTAAAAGACAGATGCTTTGCCTCTTTCTTTCTCTCAGAGAGAGAGAGAGAGAGAGAGAGGGTCTGGAAGAGTTTGCCTTTTGTTTTTTTTTCTTTTTTTTTCTTTTTTGTTGGGTTCGCGGGAGGTTTTGTTGTCCGATGTTTGCAGTAGCGGGATTGGAGAAGATCGAAGAGAAGACAGAACAAGCTTTTCCTCTTTTAAGTCAAGAATAAATTTTCATTTTTTATTCAAATTTGTTTGTGATTAGGTGATGCACGTTTCTATTTCCAGAACGAGCAAACCATTCAAACAATTCCACGTGAGTTTTTATCAACAATAGCCAAAATTTACACCCAAATTTCATAAATGTCAATTTTTATAAAAACTTTAAAATATAGCCAAAAGTCCACTTAAATTGACACAAATACCCTCAAAATTAAAATATAATTACCCATAAAACCAACATCTTCGCATTATTTATATTACTAAAACAACAAAACAAAAAGAGGAATTTTTTTCCACAAACGAAGACTAAAGTCCCAATTATGCTGCTTCTTAATTCAAAATCCCACAAACACAAACACAAACATAGAACCTCAAAGATTGACCATGAAGAAATTCAAAATCCCATTTTGTTTTTGCTCAACTTTTGTAAATCTAAAACTTCCCCTTTCTAATAATAAAAAACCTTCAGCCAAAAACAATTGAACCCATATCAAGAGAAACACAGCAAAATCACAACAATATTTGCCTTATGTTGGTTTTTATGTTCCAAAAGAATACAAACACAATTAATTTTATTTAATTTAAGAGAGTGCAAGGGAGATATTATTATATTAATACATTTTGAAATTAAAATGAAAAATCACATACGACAATGCAGAAGCATTTTATTCAACATCAGATAAAGGATTGGAAAATTATGGTATTTTACTTTTAGGGTGAGAGAAGAAAGAAAAGTGATTGAATTTGTCAAGTCCATCAAACTTGAAATAAAATTGGGGTTTTGATTTTTTAAGTAGAGTTTAGGGTTCATCGCCATAACTGGCCACCATAGTTGTGAGTAAGCTTGGTCACCGTAGTTGTGAGTTATTTGATTTGTAAGTTTTTTGTTATTTGGTTTAATTTTGAGGGTATTTGTGTTAATTTAAATGAGTTTTTGGCTATATTTGAAAGTTATAAAAACTAACATTTATGAAATTGGGGTATAAATTTTGACTATTATTGATAAAATGACGAGCACGCTGTGTTGATTGCTATTTACCGCCAACCCATATCTGATCGAATTTACCAAATCAACACAGACAAAATTTGATCCTTTTGTTGGTGTTTGCTTCTTCCTCCTATAATTCCTTGTTGGTTGTAGTTAATATTTGAGGACAAATAATATCAATTAAGCCAAGAAAATTGTATTTTGTAAATAAGCTAAAGAAAAATCCAGGGTGTTATTATCAACTGCCAACCTAACAATATTTATGAAATTACGGGGGGGGAGGGGGATAATTTATATGAGCAGGGGGTAAATGCAAACAAGGGACTAAAAGAAATAACATGGTGACGCCTATAAACCAGAAGAGGCTGCCTTGTAGATTTTATTGAAATTAATCATGATCCAGTTCCTCTACTATTACATCAACAGGCAATGACCCCAGGGGGATAGAATCACTATCATAAAATGCATCATCATCATCACTCTCATAATCATAATTGTCGCTGTAATCGTCATATTCACTGTAAGGGTCACTTTGAGGAACCTCTTCAAAGACTTGAACTGAGCTGCTCGTGCCATCTTCACTTGACACGATCAATGCAGGATACGAGTGCTCTGTCGCCTGTGAAAACACCCTCAAATTCCTCAACTTTCTTCAAAAGCGCATCAGGATCAAGGTCAAGTTCATCCAGCAACAGGGCTTTGTTTGAATCAATTGAACGTTTCCAAAGTGACATCATTTTGGGGCTTGTCATCGCTGTTTTGGTATCAGGCTTACAAGGTTCATCATAATCCTTGCCTGAAAAAGCAGGGTCAAAACATAAATGGAAGTCAAAGCCAGAGCCTTGTAAAATCAAATCGAGAATGACTGCATTAGTATTACAAGAGAAATTTAGTGTTTCAAGAATTAAATTGAGTTGCTATTGTATTATTACTGATAAAGAAAACAAAACAATGTATCACGCTATAGACACTATAACGACTGTCCACATCAATCCCTATACGAATTGGTAACTAGAGAGAGCAACTTTCTTACAATTGGTTCAATAAAACTTAGTTCTCAATAATGCAATTTCTAGGATGCTTCGTCTCTTGTTTAAGGTCAGTTCAAAAGAATTTAGTTCCCAAGAATGCAATTTCTAGGATACTACTTCTCTTGTCAGCAACTGATATGTACTTTTCCCAACAAACAGATTGCAATTATAACTGCCCTTTCCAAGATTCCTTGAAAGTGGTGGGTGCCAACCACAGTGTAATGCTGATCTTATCGACTGATGTATACTGAACTCTGGTAGCTACAAGGGTAATATCAACTAAATTTAACTAATATTCAAAACAAAAAACAGAAGCTTCCTTCAACTTGGTTGAGAAGTCCTAAAATATCCCACCATGTCTATTCTAATCATGAGATCTACCATCCATGATGCTGATAACAGAAGGCCCCAAATGATGTTGCATGACTTTGTGAAATCATCTTAAAGCCCTTAATTAAAATCTATCTGTGAATTTTTCCAGTTAAAAACGAACATGATCAATATAGGAGATTATAAACTGATAAAGAATCAAGTGCCTCACTGTTCCCCTGCAATAGAATCATCCCACTCTTATCTAGATACGATGTTAGGATAATATCAGCTTATGAAGTTTCCTGAAACATGGTTTTATTATCTATTAATTCTTCGGTCAGTAATTTCTAATTGATCTAAAAATATTCAAGCTTATGGATTGTAACTCGTACCCCTCCCTGTTGATGATAGAATATCAAAATCAGCAGTATCTGAAGGTGAAGGTGCTGCTTGGTGCATTGATATCCAATTTGGACCCCTCCACATCAATATATGTTCATCATCAAAAGAAAGTAGAACACAAGGAACCAATTCCTGTACACGAGTGTAGATGAAAAGGGTTAGGAAACCAAGAGATTGGTAGACAGAATGATTGAGGTAACTCTTTGCATAATATACACACAACCAAGCAACATTTTAAAAATGCTATCTGGCACTTGTACAGCAGTTCCCATCCACATCCACTTATTGTTCATTGGATGTCAAACAGACATAAGTACCTCCGAAAGGTTTTGAAAGCAAGAAACGAAGAAATTAAAGAGAGAACCATATGCTTATTTAAAACCTTAAAAAGACAACTCTTTGTTACATGTCTTATTACAGGATCAGGCTAAAAGATAGAGGAGGAAGATTGCAGGAACAGAAGAGGCATACAAACCTTAAGCTTAGCACCCAATTTTTTGTAATCACTTGCATGCATCCCTCTGCAGTCAATTTTTACTAAAGGACTTCCTTCAAAAGCATGCCTAACATCTCTCACCAAGGTGATGTATACTCCATTTTTGGCTGCAATTGCACAAAACATTATAAATATTTTGAAATAAACATCTAAGTTATAAAAAAAAAGCCTTGGTTCTATGTCTATTAATCTTAATTCAGTCAAACCATGTGATACAGAAAATGGTTGCAACGCTATAAAGCCACAAGAATTTTGGAATGCAATGACCAGTGTCACTGAAGGATCAAGTTTGCACCCTTTTGGAATATTAAACCATATAAAGTGTCTATGTCATGTTATTCAAAAAGCCTTGCTTCACATCTTATGGCTCCAGTTACATGGATTGGAACAATATAAAAACGGCAGACAAAGTCAGCAAACCACCCTTCTATGAAAAGAAGTTAACGTATAAGAATGAGCACTGCAATTTAGTAGGGGCATTACCTAATTTACATATTGGCAAAAGTCTTTTCCCTTTCTTCCGAAACTCATCAGCTTGATCCTTTGTCAACCCTTCTGGAGCCTCTTGGATAAGTTTGGGGTAGACTGGAGCAGCTGGTTTCCACAGCATCAATGGGTACTGAGGACGATCTTTATAGCTATAGTTTCTTCCACGGAAAAGATAAACTACACCACCAACTCGATGAATGATCTTCCCCTTAGTTCTTTCCTGTAACCATAAACAAAACCTCAGTTTCATCTAGTTTCTCCATAGACTCGTCATCAGCTTTAACTGCATTGTTGAAATTTCACATGTATATGTAATATTGTAAGTGAAAAGCAGAGCAACCACAATTGGGTATGATGCTGAGAAGCTGAAAAGGAATACCCAATACCTCAATATGACGGCAAACATTATCCATATCCACAGTTGGAACACCTTTGCATTTTACTTTACAGACTGGTCGCCGCTTCCAATGCGAATGTATCAAGTCCAACATGTTATGAGTCAACCCATCTCTTCCTAAACCAACAAAAACAAAGTCATTCTTTCAATTCAACGCAAAACACCAAAAAGAAACAAAACAGTAAACAACTGACCGAGATTGACTTGGCGATTATCTGATAATTGGGGCTGGATTAGCATTTTGATCTCCCATTTCTTCAAGGGCTCTCCTAAAATCTCCTCCCTCGTCTTTTCTTGCTTCGGGTACTTGCCCAGCTCAACGGGCCTCGCCATTACCACCTCCTTCACTCCACTGGTTCCAGGCGCCATTGGACCGAACGAGTCCAAGAGCGGAACTTTGCGCTTCAGCTTCTTCTCCTTGGCGCTCTTCAATGGAGCTTTACCGGTCCACGGTCTCGGCATTGTGGGCGGCGCGAAGGGCAAGAAGGCCGGTTCGCGAATGGCCAAAGGCTTGACCTTTGGGGTCTCGGAGTAGCTGTACTGGAACTCGAAGGGTGCGCCGGGAAGGAGATATGACACGCCGTTTTCGCCGATGACGACGGCTCGGTCGCCGTCGGAGGAGATGACGCCGTCTCGTACGGGCTTGTAGTACTTGGTGCGGCGGTGGACGGTTTTGAGGGCCGGGTTGGGAGCGGCATTCTGGGACTTTTTGAGGGGAGGAGGGTATTTGGGAATTGGGATTGGTGGGGAAGGAGAAGCAGAGGTGGTGCTGGAATTTGGGTCGTTTGGGGGTGGGTTTGAAGGGAGCGAAGAGAAGAGGTTGAAGCCTGGTAGTGATGCAACTATGGCCATGGAAGTTCAAAACCCAACAAGCCAAATCCTCTTCTTTTACCTCTTCATGTAGGCATGCCAGGCAAAATGGAGAAGAAGATAGGATAAGCTTTCATGGAGTTTTCTGGTTTTTCTGTTGCTTTTGCCTCCACTGAAAAGAGACGGATGATATTTTCAGTGGGGGATTTTTCATTTCTCGCACGACATCTATTTTTGCGTCGTTTTATTTTTATGAACTCCCGCGACCACATCAACCCTCATGTACCCGCACAACAGCGAATAATGAGCGTACGCATCTTCCCCAAACCCTAGACTTTAACCAGTATATAAGCATAAAGCCTCCATTTTGCCAAGTCCCATTCATATCCCCTGCGCCTCCTTCTTCTTCTCTGCGATTCTGAGGCCACAAACATGCAGATCTTCGTGAAAACCCTAACGGGTAAGACCATTACCCTAGAGGTCGAGTCCTCTGACACCATTGACAATGTGAAGGCCAAGATCCAAGACAAGGAGGGCATTCCCCCAGACCAGCAGCGCCTCATCTTCGCTGGCAAGCAGCTCGAGGACGGCCGAACCCTAGCAGATTACAACATCCAGAAGGAATCGACCCTCCACCTTGTGCTTCGCCTCCGTGGTGGCGCCAAGAAGCGTAAGAAGAAGACCTACACCAAGCCAAAGAAGATCAAGCACAAGAAGAAGAAGGTCAAGCTCGCGGTGCTCCAGTTCTACAAAGTTGATGATTCTGGGAAGGTCCAGAGGCTGAGGAAAGAGTGCCCTAATGCTGAGTGCGGAGCCGGGACTTTCATGGCGAACCACTTCGACAGGCACTACTGCGGCAAGTGTGGGTTGACCTATGTTTACCAGAAGGCTGGCGGTGATTAGAGATTTAGAGTTTTAAATTTCAAATATATCATTTTGTTTGATTTTTAATGCTGCTGCTGCTGCTTTTTTTTTTTTTTTTTTTTTTTTTTTTTTTTTTTATTTAATTGGTATTTTTTTCATTCTTGATGAAAACCTCCTGAAAATTTTAGGTATTGTCGTTGTTTCAATTGCATATGCCCGATGGAATGATTATCCTAATTTTGTTATGATTCGTGTTCCACTGTTCGTTGGCTGATTGATAATTGTGAAATGATGCTGGGTTTTGTTTTGAGAAAGTTAAGTCACACAGGTTTTGGTGATGGAATGGACTTGAGTTGGATTTAATTTGCAGTGGGTTTGGTTTCATTTGCTTGTCAGGGTTGATATCAAAGAATTTTGCTGGTCTTGTGTTATTGATTTTGGTTTAGTTTTCTGAGAGGGATTTTCTAATATATATATAAGAAGATTGCCATGACTGAGTGTGACCAAACGCAGAGCATGTAGTTGTAGTGTAGTTTTTACATCTTTTACGTTGAGGCAGAGGACCATCTTCGCACATATAGCTCCCTGTTATCTAAATGCTTGATATGTTGCTGATGATTAGAATGTATTTGGGCTTCTTAAGGTGAATTGGTCGAAGACATGAAGATTGTCAGTCATGATATCTCGAATCTTGTGTTTGTAGGGGATGGGTTAATAATCCCTTTGACTATCTGGGCTCAACCCAAAACTTGAGTCGGGCAATAAAATCTCCAAATAGAACATTACATGATAAATTGCTGCCCCAGTTGATACCATGTTGTGGGATCATAAACTGGCACTGTGGTACCATGTTGATCATTCTACATAATCTTAGGATTGTCATCTTAGTTGTAAACAACAATGGTGTTTCGACTGAACATAGAATTACACCGCATTGGTTATCTTATCAGAAATGACAACGAGGTACAATCTTCGTGTTGTAGTCCATTTAGTTGTAATCATCCATGCCCAAAAGAACAAGAATGGAAAGGAACTAAAAAAATTTACAAAGCTCCGTTGAAAGTGGTAATGATTTTGTACCAACAATCTGCAAGGCTACTTTCATTTCACTGATTTCACCCACTAAATTCGCGAGATGTGATAAGGTTTAGAAAGAGTTGAGATTCCACGCACTAGGTTAATGGAGCCAAGTGCTTCCCGTGTTTTTGTCCTGCAGCGCTTTTAAGAAGAAGCACATCTCAAGTGCTTCTTCCAAAACCACTCCAAGTGCTTTTGGATCTCACCCAAAGCGCTTTTGCAATTTTTGCCAAACACAATTTTTAAAAGACAGAAGCGCTTTCACCCATTTAGAAGTGCTTTTCGCTGCTCCAAAAGCACTCCCAAACAAGCCCTAAGTCTCATGTTGGGATAGAGTAAGGTTTTGTTCGGGAGTGTTTCTGAAATGGTTAAAAGCACTTTTGACAGTGTTTCTAGAATGGTTTATAGCTCTTTTGACAATATTTGGCAGAAAAATTTAGAAGTACTTTATGGAGAAGTACTCCCAAGTGATTTTCCGGCACTTGGATTGCTAATGAAAACTTCAATGTTTTTGTAATAAAGCGCTTTCACTAGAAGCTCGTATGAGCATAAGTATTTCTTTGAGTAACAGTACCAAACGAGCCGAAATTGGTTTCTGTGGCCCAACACTTTACGGGAGACCTTTTGGATTGGAGTGGTGCCCAAATTTATTGAGCCTGGCTGAGAGATCCAACGAAAGAAACTCAGATAAAGGTTTCAAAAGGGCCCTTCAATCTTATCAAACTGGCCCATAATCCGAACCGGCCCATAGACTGAACTGGGCCTGACAACATTGATCTCAACAGTTGTGCAGAACAAACCGGATGTAGAATGATAGCAGGAGCAGCCCATACATTCCAGTGTTTTTTTTATTACGTAGACGCTTTGTCAATTCTGTCCTCAATCACCAATCTTAAATGCCCTCCTCATCTAGCCAGTGCCATGAGAGGATCACTCTCCAGCAGTCCAGATTTGTGCTGCTGACGTGGGAAGAACTGATTGGTTACATGTCCAAAATTATTTTGGTCTGTCGGTCTGAGTCAGAGTTACTCTAGTTGAAGTTGAATTTAATGACTGGCACTCATTTTTGCGCGACAGCAAATGCTTTCAAACAATGCAATGCAATGCATTTGAGTTTTCAATTTTCAATCACTGTGGGGAAAGTGGGGACCTTAGAGCTTCAATTCAACTCTCACTTACAAATCACATGGGGAAGGGGGAAGCTTGATCAATGTGAATGAGTTAAAACGGTAACTGGGGCAGTAGATGGAAACAGCAGAAAAATATAAGCAATTGGAAAGTTACCAAAAATGCATAGCACAAAAAGCAGAGAGAGAGCGCTTCTCATGTCAAAAACACTTCCTCTCTTTCAGGAAACAGACAAACTCTAAGATGCCACTTTTCCTTCTCCATGCATTCTTCTAGAACACATCCACCTTTTTTCATTTGGTAAAATTTGCTGCACTTTCACTTTCATTTTCATGTGAGAGAGAGGGAGAGAGAGAGAGAGTCAATTATGGAGAGAAAACAACACATGAAAAAACGAAGGAGCTCTCTTCCTTTCCTAGTCATTTTACATCAACAATTGTTACCAGTTCTGCATTTAGGGTCAGGGGTGTGACTGTAATTTTGCCAAGGAGTGATTAAGTAACCCCAGACTTGAAACATTCTGAAATCCTTCAACATTTATTTACTCATGTGAAACCTAGCACACGTCTTTTTCCTTTAAACAACAAGGATAAAATCATTAAAGTAGTCTACTTGACCGTAACTAAATAATCATCAAAGAGAGTTAGTGATTATTAATTCTCAATGATTTGTGTCCTTCAACTTCTATAAATCCTCTCCCTTCTATAACCAAACACTTCCCTGTGCTCTGCTCTGCTCTCTCTCTCTCTCTCTGAAACACATACAAACACAAGCTCAAACGTAAGAAACATGTCTGCAGTGAACCATCTCTTCGATCTCCCCGATCAGATTTGCTATGTCCAATGTGGTTTCTGCGCCACCATATTACTGGTTGCTCAACATTTGCTCTAACTCTTTACTAATACATTGAAAAAGAGTCATATAGCATGACTGCATTAATTCTTGGGTTTTGATCTGTTTCTTACTTTCTTTTTTCATTTTTGGCCAAGTTTGACCGAGTGTTTCTGTGTAAAAATGTAGGTAAGTGTCCCATGCAGCAGCTTGTCAATGTTGGCCGTCACGGTCAGATGTGGTCACTGCAGTTGCCTCCTATCTGTCAACATGATGAAGGCCTCCTTTGTTCCCCTCCATCTGTTAGCTTCCCTTACCCAAGATGAGGTAACTGTTTCATACAACAACCTCATCAAATCTTGGATATCAAGTCCTAGTCACTTTTAAGTGATCATAATCGATATTACAGAACTGTTCTCTGAGTATTTATCAAATCCTAATAATTAATCTTAATCTCTTGCAGCAAAGAGAAGAACTCTGCTTAGAAGAAGTGGACAAACAGAACAACAACCCCTTGGACATGCGCAGCCCATCCATGGTGGTTTCCAATTCTGACAATGAAGAGGAGGACACAATCTCTATGAATCCCATTGTTAACAAGCGTACGTACGTTCATAAGTCATATAAAATCTGGTGCAACTAAACTGGCTGGATTGTATTAACTTCTTTTAGTTTCTTGTTATTAAATTTATGCAGCACCAGAGAAGAGACAACGAGCTCCGTCGGCCTACAACCATTTTATCAAGTAAGATTTGCAACTTATAATAAGTTAGAAGATGTGAATGTGATGCATTTGGGAGTTCTAATTATGTGACTCTTTCATGTGTAAATCAGAGAAGAGATCAGGAGGCTTAAAGCTGAGAATCCAAGGATGACTCACAAGGAAGCTTTCAGCACAGCTGCAAAAAATGTAAAGCTTTAGTTAGAGCCAAGATCAGTAATAATGAAGTTAAATATTTTCATTAAGTGACTGTTCAATACTGAATATGCATGTTTGATTGTATGTAGTGGGCCCAGTTCCCTCCAATTCAGTACAAAGGAGATGGTCCAGATGGAGAGAGCTGCACTAGCCAGAGAGAGGAAAATGTGACATGGGATTCTGATGTTCCTGAGGTAAATATTTAGTTATTCACCATCACCATGCATATATATGATTGAAATGATTAGTGGAGGACATTGATCATGATGACCAGAATAGATATCCAACTGGAGACCATGGCCTACAAAACCCAATTAAACATCATATTAATTTGATAAATTAATGTAGCTCATGATCAGAATTAGCCATGACACATCACATACCACACCACACCAGAATATTGAATATCCGAAAGGTTGTCACTTTCTTTGTGGTTCAACTAGTAAATGCCAAATTTATTATTTGAAAGCAGTGTCAAAAGACTCAAGGCTCCTTTTGATCCCTAGCTTGTTAGATATTATGTGTTCGTAATTATTTAAAAATTTATGCCACTCATGTATGTATGCATGACTTTCTGTTGTGAAATTTTTTACAGGCCCATGAAGATGGCAAAGTTTTCCGCGAGAGAAAGGCCCCAAGGCATTCCATATGGGCAAGGACACCCTTCGAGTGAATGAGGCTTGACCTAAACTTCTATAACAAGAAAGCTGTTTCTCTCTCAGGCCCACGATTTGGGTTCAAGTCACTTGCTATTTTAGGGTTAGATTCTCTAGGGAATGTGGTTTTCGTTTCAGATTGAACAAGTCTTCACTGACAGAAAGAAGTAGTCTAGCTTTCAAATGAGCTTACTGATTGTGATGGAATATTGATCCATTTAGTTCAAAGCAGACAATTTTCTAGTTCTACTCTGTTTCCAAGTAAATCAAATTTCTTTATGGTTATGGACTGCATGCAATTCCATGGTTGTTGTTGTGACAGACAGCTAGATTTCCTCAACAAGATGTGCATGAAAATTGGTTACCTGCTAGCTGAAACTCTTATAAAGAGACATTAATTAATGAGACATTTCAGATTCAGGATGTGCTTAAATACTTATTTCTCATGGTTTTGCTTAAGTTTAATTTTCCAATGTGTTTTGCAGCAAATACTCATGAATCATATGACTGGTAGATAACAAACTTCAATCATGTTCTTGAGACACAAGTGAATGGGAGCATTTTTTATCACCACTTTAATCCAAGGTGTATCATCACTACCCTTCTCAACACTTGACACGTGTCCATGGACATAACCATGGTTCCACAAATACAAAGTAAAGATTTAACTATTATTATGTCCATAAACACGTGTCAAGTGTTGAGAAGAAGAGTGTTGAGGATACACCTTGGGTTTGGTCAGCAAAAATATCAAAAATATTTCATACCTGAGTGGGATTTTATCCACTTTAAACATGGAACCTTATTTTAGCAGCTGTAATTACAATCTAGGATATTCAAAATAATGTCTAGTTTTTGAGTTCTCATTAAGTAGCTTTAACATATATATGTATGTTTCAATTCACTTCAGTAGTGTTTCCTTCTTGCAAATCTTGGCCCCCTTTGAATATAACTACCAAAAAAAAAAAAAAAAAAAAACAAAACACACAAATATGTATGAAATCTTGGACATTGGAATGGATACATAGTTATGATACTGCTATGGTTGTGGTTAGATATACCTATATTTAATTTTGTGGGATTAATTTATGAGGGTATTGAATGCAACTTCTGAAAGAAAAAAAATAAGAAAAGTATAGATGAGCTGGGATCTTACCCATTAAAGGCCTGAGAGAGATAGAGTGGAAATAAGCTTGAAAGAAGTGCCTATTCTCCTTTTGTAGCTCTCTCCACACTGCAATTCAAACATACATGTGCGTGTAAACCAACCAACTAACTAATAAATAGTGAATCCATACATATATACATATAATGTTGGAGAGAGAGAGAGAGAGAGAGAGAGAGAGAGAGAGAGAGACTGACCTGTAAGTGTGACAATTGGCCTAATGCTTGCATGCTCTGCTAGCGCCTTTATGCACTGGTCACGACTCATGTGAAGTAACAAGCATCTCTCTATAAGATGTTGAACCTGTTTTTACATGTATCAGTATTTCCATGCAAAAGTAAGACCATGCATAAGTCCAATGAGAGAGAGAGAGAGAGAGAGAGAGAGTACACCATTCTTATGTAGCTGTGAGGGTTGCAAAGCAAACATGGACCGAGGTGATGGTTGTGATACATTTTCTCCAGAGTCTTGAGTACGGTTTAGACAAAACCAAAAGGCATGTATGACTGAAAAGAAGGATATAATAGAATAGAGAAGAGAGAGAGGGAGAGAGAGGTAGCAAGAAAACAAAGAAAGCCCAAAAAGTGCAAGGATGATGGGAAAGATATTTGGAGGACCATATACAAGAAAAAGAAGAGCCAGGATACTAAAATGGCACACTGCTATGTTATCCACAGAAATCCAAGCGAGGGGCCAAAAGAGCACAAGAAATCCAAACGATAGATTCACACCTCATCTCCAAAGAGATAACAAAACAATTGCGTTTATGATGATGGCAAGTGCGCGTGGCTAGGCCTCTAGCCACTTGATCAGGACTTTAAATCCACCACCCTTGGCTACGCTAGGCCCTATCAAACCCATTTGCTACCTGCTTTTCTGTTTCCGGGTCCTACATTCTTTACTCTATATGCCCATTTCCATGACTTAGAGACTTCCACCCATTTTTCATGGCAAAAGATAAGGGGAGGCAAGGGTATATGAATAGTATATGCCCTTGCAAAAAGCAAGATGTGTTTCCACCCATTGCAATGGCAAATGGCAAATGGCAACTATCACTTTTACTTTTTTTTTTTTTTTTTTTTTTTTTTTTTTTTTTTTTAAATTAAAATTAAAAGGTGGTGGGTTTTTTTTTTATTATTCTTTAGTTGGGTTTATTTTTATTTATGCTTTGGTGTGTATATTTTCTAAGGGCTTCTTAGATCTAGGTCCAAAACGATTAGCTGTCATTGGGTTTAGTCCACATGTTTTGGTTTTAGATGTAGGTCCTTGGACATTTATTACTTTTTTTGTTGTGTCGATTTTACCCTTTGAGGTAAATAAGGAAAACACATTTAAAATCTAAATTTAATGCATTATTTTCTTATAATTGAATTTCCTAATTTAAATTTTGAACTCTTTCCTTGATAATATTTACCTAATATATAGATAAAATACAATTTAATCAATGAAAAGTAAAGACCCACATATTATACAAATCGATTAGACAAGCACCCACATGAAATTATTTACTTGACATACAGGTAAATAGTGTTATTATTAGCAACAACAAAAACTAAGTGATAAATAATGTTACCTATAAGTTAGGAACATAAATTAGAAGACTACCTATAAGTTAGATACAAAAATAGACAAATAAAATTGTATGTTACCTATAAAAAAAATGTACATAAAATACTATTATACATTGTTGAAAATATGAAAAAACACATATATATACCTATGCAATAGGCAATAGAACAATATACCTACACCATAAAATTTCTACTATATATATCCACAAGAGTATGAAATGTACCTCTACCATAGGGTGAACAAATATAAAAATTATTACCTATATCTCATGTACTAAACAATGTGTTTGCAAACTGATATGGTTTTTTCTTGCATGCTTCAAATGATCTAGTTTTTCCTTGCATGTTGAAGTAGTCAGGGATTTCTATTTGCAAACTGATCTGGTTTTTTCCTTGCATACTTCAATTGGAAACCGTAGAAATGCATAGGTAGTTGTTTTAGAGGGAAATGTTGTTTTGGATCATTCTTGATCCTTTTAGCTGCTCTTGCATATGATGTATGTTTCCATGTGCATATATAGAGGTACTAAAAGTTCCACAATCAAATGCTTTGGTCAACAATGTGTAATAGTTTGTAACAATGTGATTTTTGGGATATGTTTGCGATTTTTTTCCTTTTTTATTCAATGACAAACATTATAAATGGCTAATTATTATCACATAAATTATTGTTAGACAAACGTTATAAATAGCTAATTATTATCACATAAATTACTATTACCCGATTCAAAGCATAAGGGGCGACATTGGAACAAAAAATGATTTTAAAAAATTAAAAATAAAAAGATTACATCATAAAATATTTAAAAAGGAATGTAATCCTACGTGGCACAAAAGTCAAAGGACTTGTATCAAAGTCAACAAATCCGAGGATTAAACCCAACTTCTCAATGGAAATTTGGATCTATATCAACTTTTCTATATTTTTAATTATGCTTCGGTTGTGATCATTTAACCAATCGGTGTTGCTAATTAAGACAAGCAACACAACTAATTAAGAATTACTACTAATTAAATAAAAGACAAGAATTAGAACTACTTTAATACAAAACATTAAAATACAATTAAATAAAAGACAAGCATACTAACTTAATGGTTTTGATCATTTAACCAATCAGTGTTGCTAGGTCCATCGTCACGGAAAAGTCTACTTCTCATAACATCCATTCGTTCTATCTTTCAAAATTGTTTTGTTTCATGTGACATATGGCTCGAATCCATGGCCATGGTTTCCCGATCCTTCTTCTCAATGTCTTTCTTGCGTACATACTCCCTTTCTCTTGCATACTCTTCATTCATTGCCTTCTCGTCCGCATCTTTTTTCATGTCTAATTCAATTCTCATGATGATGTTCCTTGCAATTTGCTCCAAATAGTTTGCAGTATCATTGCTGGATGTACTCCATCTCTTGACATTCGCCGTCTTTCTCCCAATAGGCCTCAGCTCCTTTTGGATTGGTAAGTCTTGACTCATCGGAGAATCCAAAGGTGAATCCGATGACGTTGAGTCATGGAGTGGCGTCTCGTTCAATACAACGATCAAACCCGTTGGAATAATTCTGAATCTCGAACAATTCTTCACCACCTCCCAACATTGGTTATGGTTGAAAGATTTTTTGCCTTACCCAATTGCACCAAAACATATTTGTGCTTGCATAATCTATTTAAAAAAATATTGGAAATGCAAGAAACATTGTTTAAAAAAAATTAAGACATTCAAATTAATAAAACGGAAATTACAAATAATTTACCTCATTGTTAAGATTTTCCCCACTTATATGGTTGTCCCTCGCTTTTGCCAACGCATATCTCCATTTCCCCAACTCTTTATTCAAAATTTTCCACCTACTAGACAAAGCCATTTCCGTACGAGCCGAACCCGGTCTTTCACAAAATTCGGCATGAATTTTTCTCCACATATGAGAGAATTTTATCTCATTGCCCATGATCAGACAATGATTAATTTGGACTCAACACTCACAGAACAGAACATCTTCCATGTTGCTCCACGCCCCTCCGGTTTCGATGGAACATGTCATAAGATGATGAATAAAAATGAAATTTGAAAGCGAATAAAATGTTGAGTAGAAAGTGAATAATAGTATAATGAGAAGAAAATGAATGAGAATTTGGTGTTGAAAGTGAAGAATATTGGTAGGTATTTATAGAAAAATAATAATAATTTAGAATTTTTTGGTATTTTTTAAATATTTTTTGGTATTTTTTTTCATATTTTGATTGCAAAAAAAAGGGCAACTATTGGATTGGAAGAGAAAAACTTATCAGAGTGCCCAGAGGCCACCACGTGGCTTCTAGCCGTTGGCAGAAAGGAAGGGCTGACGCGATGGAATTTAAATTTTTTTACCGTTGGAGCGTGAAATGCACGCGCCAACGATAAAAAAAATTTAAATCCACACGCTGATGTCAGGCTGGCGTCTCAACTTGCCCTCAGGCTCGAGCACGAGCTCGTTCTGCCTTCAAGCCAACTCGATTTCGTGGGACCCACAAGCTGCCTGGGTAGATTCTGCCCTATGAAAGTGCGTTTTAGGGCTTGGGGCCCCCCTGCCTTGGCACAGGCTCTCCGCTAGAATCGCTCTTAAAGCACATCCATCTCAAAGGGCAAGGGCAAGACAAGGTTTGTCACTATTCAAGTAAATAGTGGCAGCCTTGCCGTTTTTGTTTCCACCCCAAAGGGCAAAGACAAGGGCAATTACACTTTAATTTATTTTCTATTTTTTATGAGTGGTGATTTCCCCACTCCAATTTTATCCACTTACACTCCATTTTATAACTAAAAAAGGAGTGTAAGTGGATAAAATTGGAGTGGGGAAATTATTACCCTTTTTTATACTTAAACCATTAATTTTGATAAGATTTTTGGATAAAATTTTCAGTTGCCATGTGTCACTATTTATTATAAAATTCTTATCTCAAATTTCAGATAAAATTTTTGGATAAGATTTTCGGTTGCCACGTGTCCATATTTATTATAAAATTCACATATCACTCATCATACAATTGAAATACTTTCTCACTCATCATACAATTGAAATACTCTCGGTCCTCATAGTCCGACACAATCGAGTACAAGGACGACTCAATTATTGGCGGAGGCGGTTCCACCGGATCATGATTCGGGGGAGTATTTTCCTTCATATGACGTAATAGTGCCATTATTTCCAATATGAAATGCACCACTGGAACGAACTGCGGGCATTGTTCACTTAAGGAGCCATGTGTAATGGTTTTCCTCTTTTTTGTTTTGCTTTGAATAATCTATTAAAAAAATAAAATTGGAAATGCAAGAAATTTAAATAATAATAATAAAAAAAGACATTAAATTGAATAAAACGGCAATTATATATTTTTTTTACAAATTTATAAATAAACCCAATCCTAGACATGTATTTATAAAAAAACCCAAGCACTATTTAAACATAGAAACACACCCAAAATCAACAATTGTATATTTTTTGGGTGTGTTTATAAATGGGTTTTGAGTTTGTTTAATGATGGGTTTTGGGTGTTGGGTTTTTTTATAATTTCAACCCCCATTTTGGGTGTTTTAGTGAAACTCCCTATTTTTTTTACCTTGTTGCCAAGATTTTAACCTCTTCGAACGTTTGTCCGCGACCCTTCGGCTTCAATGGAAGAGGTCATTTGTATTTTTGTACAAATGAAATTTTGTAGTAGAAAATTTGGTGTGGAAAGTGAAAAATATTAAAGGAAATGAATTTGTATGAAGATTTGGTGTAAAAAGTGAATAATATTGGTAGGTATTTATAGAAAAAAAAATCCAGAATTTTTTGATATTTTTTTACAATTTTTTTTAGCCAAAAATTGGAGAGCCATTGGATTGGATAAGATTTTTGGATTAGAGTCTCCAAGATAAGCCACGTGGCTTGCAGTCGTTGGTTTCTGGTAGCTGTGGGTCAACGCTAACGTCACGCTGACGTTAGAGGCTGATTTTTTTTTAAAAAATTTACTGTTGGTGTGTGTAATTTTTTTTTTGAAAATCAACGGCTGACGTCAACAGCCCAAACTAGACCTTGCGCTGTGAAGGGTGGTTTGGGGCCTAGGGCTGCCATTTGCCCAGGTTTGGGGCTTGCGCTGGAGATGCTCTTAATGATGTGTGTAGAAGCGGTCCTAATTCTAAGCCCCATGGTGAATTTTTTTTATTCACAAGCAATATTAAGATAACAGAGTTTTGAATACAAAACATGAATTGCAAAAGCAACTACTCTTAATCAGTTCAACTACAAATCATAATTCACATTAGTAATAACGATAATCATCACCGAGTTGACACCTGGAAGGGCATAAGTTCTTCGCTTGTGGGAATAAATAATTGCTGGCCTAGAAAACATGAACCTTGTCCAACAAGGTGCATCGAATAATATGTTGCCATTGTATGATAATGGTAGGTTTTTTCTTTTCTTTCCTTTGTGGGTGCGTTTATTCCTCAAGACTTTTGGCCCCAGCCCCGTTGCCTTCATTACAAGCAAACATGTCATGGAAATGCATTTCCGAGTTCCAAATTCCACTATCGATGATGAGATACGGATGGGCAAGACAATCCATTGACATAAAGCCAATCCACCGGAATATCAAACTAACAAGCATTTTTATAATTGATTATGCTACACATAATAATACCACCATCAGTGAATGGATTATTGTATTGCCAAGCCAACTGTTCTCTTTGTAACCACGTTTATTTGAAAAAAGTAGCACAACCAACCACTGAGACCAACATTGGAAGCTGCAACCAAATTGGAACTTATTCCCCTAAAACAGGGAGAGGTTCCAGTTCAACTTTAATCAACCAAGTACCAACAACCATTACAAAAAATAAGAAAAAAACGCGTAAAAACAAACACAATGAATTATATTCTCAAGGATTGAAACTTATGGTTTAAAACTCTAATCTGTTTTGGTGGGTCTGTATTAGGCGTTGTTTGCTTATGACTTTGGAATTCAGCCAAGAAGAAAATATTTATGATATGATATGTTTACTAATCTGTAATCGGGTTATGATGAATTGGATTCCGGATTCCCATTGAAATTGTTTACTAAACTATGTTGAATCATGGTAGGAATTGTATCGAATCCTTATAAGTTATCTACTAAATTCTCATGAATTAAAATTAGTTTGATTACTAAAATGCATTTGTTTGCTTATGACGACTTTGGAATTCAGCCAAGAAGAAAACATTGATGAATAACTTGTTTGCTCATGAGAATGACGTGTTTTCCAACATACATACGACATTCTTCGAAATTAAGCGCAAAATTGTGTGATTTACTTAACCAAATATATATATATATATATATATATATATATATGCATCATGTTGTGCGGTTAGAATTAGGTGTCAATGTTGATGGGCCTAGTGAACTTTTACAACAAGAAACAGGTAATGACTTGAAGGAATTTACTTCTGGGCAGGTGGGGGAAAACGAAAAGAAAATGATAACAGATGGAAAGCCGGACTGTGCAAATTAGTTTTAAAATGAACTCACATCTTATTCCTTTACCTGTTCCTTCCCTCCCACCACCATTATTCCCACCATTTTGCTAAAAACAAAAACGCACTGTTTTTACGAACTAGCCAAGCAAATCCTGCATCTATGATAACATGGGGCAACAAACTCAACTTTAAAGAAAGCCATCATTGTGACATATACGCATGCCAACATTATATGCAAAGCAAATAGCAATTATCATATATGCCGAGCAACAAAAATATTTAAAATAACACGATGCCTCGCAAGCATTCAGTCATTCATTCTATTTGATAAGTTCATACACATTACAACCTAAACATAAACTAGTGCACTAACATACATGCCTTAAGCGCATCCGTAAGCATCTCCCCACATCTGCACAATCCTATTAGACATACTCCAAATTTCCAACTATGGTAATAAGGACCAAACACTGAAACAGACAAACAGATATGGAACATGTCCTACTCAGGCACTTAAACAAAAATTCAAATAAAACCAGAAATCGGGTCGATTGTTACACCATATGCTTCCTCAGCTGTTTTCAGACTTCTCCAAAGCTGTAACAAAGCGCAGTGTCAGTACAAATAAACTCATCAGCCAAACTTGTAGTAGAATGTTTGTGTGTGTGTGTGTGTGTGTGAGAGAGAGAGAGACAGAGAGAGGAATTACTATTGTAGTTCAGAAGCTTCTCGATGAGGTCGACGTGAGTCATAAGCATTCGCCGACAGCAATAACGGACCAAACCCAATGCATCAAGTGCATCTCTGCATTCAAAGAAATTAAAACCATTAACTAAATTCTCTTTTAGGGCGTAATTTTCATATCTTTATTCCAACCCTAATTTTCATAAGACTGGCTGTCTGTCTACTACCAGTGAAGACTATAAACTTCACCCAACTGATTACTCTGTCAAAGTTGAAAATTGAGCATTGCCCATCTACAAACCTTGTATTCCATGTCATTATAAAGCTCATTTAATCATGTGGGTTTTTCCCAAATCGTCCTAAATGCATATCATTATAAGCCCCTCGGGAATCAACTCAGAAAAAATATTGGGCTATTTATGAAAAAATAAATTATTTTTAGCGTTATATTGTGCAATTTACAACACGAAACAGCCCTATATGATCATTCTCAACCGCTAAGGAAAACAATACAATAATCAATGACCTTATTGAATTTCAAAAATTAGGGCAAAATCAAATTTGAGCAACTCACCCTTCGGTGTAATCTGCTTGCAGAAGGTCAAGATACGTATCCCATTTGTTTCCAATGACCTAAAATTGAACATAGAACATACCAATTTACAATTAGATGCACTCAGATTAGCCACAAAAAGGCAGCAACTTCAGATATATCGAAACGTCTAACGAAACGGAAGGGGTTGAAAACCCTAGCCCTAGGGTCAGTTTAAGGGCGAATGGGGGTACCTTTCCGCAGGTGAAACAGCGCACTGGGATGATCATCTTGTTTTGCCCTAAGTCTCTGGATTGCGGAGTCTATTTTCGTTCTTCAGCTCTCCCGCTCTCGCGTGTGTCCGTGTGTTTGTAGAATCGGAGGGTTTTTACGAGGTTTATACTTTATATACGGACCGCGACTTGGGCCGGGTTTTAAGTTTTGGGCCGTGACATGGTTGGATCTATCTATGGGCAATCTTGTAATTTGACCTTCCGAACAAAAAGAATCTATTTGTATTTTGGTTTTATATTTTTAAGATAAAATTATATGAAGTTGAAGAATTTGGGATTTATATATTATGTTTCTTTTTCGGTGGACGTTGTATATATTATGTTCTTATAGTGATTGATCAACCAGTGAATAAGGGACTCTATATGCTTATTATATGGAGGAATGTTAGCTACTTTTTCGGTTCTTATTTTCATCATACAATTTGATATTGTGATTCGAACCGTATGTTTTGTAGGTTACTAAGAAATATACAGATGAACACAATATTTTAATTAAATACCAAAATGTTTATATTATCAAAGTATTTCTAATTCGGTTGATTTTTATGCGAATAATAATCCTTCAAAAGTGACTTAAAATATGAATGGTACTAGTCATGATTACGGAACAAGAAAAAGAAGGGAGTCATCCATCCTTGTGAGTTGTATATGAGATCGATTTTCTTCCACTAACATCTAGACACCTTAATCTTTTTTTTTCATGAAGGAATCTCAATCCATATGCATGCATTTACTTTGTAATCTATTTCCTTTAATAATAAATGATCATATATAATGTTTATCCGCCACCCAAAATTCACGTTAACATAACAAAAAGATAAAAAGATCACGTTGAAATCTAAATCCTTCTCGTTCTCCATCTCCATCACAAAAATAAATAAATAAACCCTTCTCGTCCTTTCACAAATCTACCTTTTTCATACCAAGTCTAGCCGTAGATATCACTCAAGATTATATACAAATGATAGTGTATATATATATATATATATATATTAATATTAAAAAAGAAGAAGAAGGAAAAAAAGGACAAAGTAAGTGTATGAAATATCGTGTGTTGTGATGTTGGGGAAGATGAATGAAAACCACCGACCCCTCCATTATTGTTTAAGAAGAAAAATCAAAAGGTAAAATATGCCTAAAATCGTAATGCATTGCAGGCCAACCCTCCATTCAATGACGTGTTCAAACTTCGAAGCATGTCCATACACACACACACGCCTTTTTGACGAAACCCACCATATATCATTTCATTTTTGTACTATATGGTATGTGCGCGGGGGGAGAGAGAGAGAGAGAGAGAGAGAGAGTTGGATTAGGGTTTACTTACCATAATCAACATCATCGCATTGGCATAGCACTTAGAATTTGAACTTGGACTTTGGACTTGGACTTGAAGGAGGAGATAAAAAGAAGAAAGAAACAATTCAGATATGGCATGCCAAACCAATATGCTGCCAAATGATATTTACTTTTCATCCAACCGAGCAAGCAAGAACCAACCACAACTTTTAATTTGCCGTGCTTTTGGGTTCTGTCCTCCTTCCAATTTATTATTTCTTACTATATCATAGGTGGAGGGAGATAGATTCACATTAATAAAGGTGAATTCAATGGTCAATTTTTTTTTGTCTTTCAAAGCCATAATTTTATTTGTGGAGCACAATTTTAGTTTAAATAATACAACAACAAATTTTTTTTGTTTTTTTTTCAACTGGGAAATTGTATTCATAAACTACGTCACGAGGACAACACAGGCTACAAGTGCTACTACAACTATTTACAAAGGGGTTACAACCAGTACAAAGGGATGCATCCGCAACATCAACTCATACCTCCATTCAAAGCCACACATAATCAAAAACACTCCGACATAAATGCATGTCTAGAAAAAAAACAAGTAGACACATTTTTGGTAAATCCTTTTATTATTGCAAGTATAAGTCATTCACACACATCTTTAATTGGCAGGTAAGAGTCACATGATTTTGTTTCATTTTGATATGCTGAAGACAACACATCACCAAAAGAAAAAGAAAAAGAAGAAACATGGCGTTTTACCTTTATAATTCACAATTTTTAACCTTTGAATAGCCTAATTTTAGTTGCGTATCCAATTAATATAATATATATACATATGTATATTAAAATAAGCATTACATTGTAGTTGTCACTCCATTGTTTTGTTTGATGATTGTATAGGTTTGTTCTTCAACCTTTAAATAAAATTTGGTTAATGGTCAATATAGAATTGCATTATATTAGTCTTTAGAGGTGGCATGAGATGTCATCCCAACTTCTAAAAACCAAAATTATAATTTCATCACCTTTGAAATTTAATACTCTATTTATAAAAAATAAAAAAAATAAATATTTTGAAATAGACTAAATATATAATGGTAATGGTTGAAGTGGATGTGGTTGGTCCGTTATGTCCAATTCCGTGAATGATGGGGTGGATGCTGAGGAATGATGATGGCTCGTCTGTCCGCTCACCCGCCAAAATTACCCGCCAACAACAAAGCGGGTGCGTGGGGCCCCAGTGGTGGGATCCATGCGATTCAGTCAGCCATGAGCTATGAGGCAGGGCAGGCAGCTAGCTATTAAAAACTCACCCCTCCTTTTCCCGCTTTTATATTTAATTTCCTCTGACTCATGGGCCTCCTCTTTTTTCTCCTTCTACCCACCACACCACACGCACACTACGCCACCACGACTTGTAATGCGTACCCTCTCATGCCTCCCTCATAATAATTCACCTTTAAATCATTGAAAACACCCAGATTTATTATTATTATTATTTAATTTTAACAAGGCGATACTCTTAACAAATTACGTAATGGAGATCGAACTCGAGGGCAAAGGGATAGGCACACTTTCTTGATCAACTGACATAATTCACGTCTTCATATGAAAAACTACTCTAATGCATTGTGAGAAAAAAATCAAACTCGAGTGTAAGAGAACAATTACACTATCTTGACCGATTGACAAAACCCACATATACAATTCAAAAAAATTCGTTGGACGTCAAAATGGAAATGCTTTCTTGTTATTACCAAACTACCCCTGACATTGTTACCAACTAAGCGTTGCCCTTGAGTCTCGAAAACGACCCTTTTTTGGCCCGTTAGTGTGCCGTCGTTTATCGACCCGTCGTTATTTCCCATAAAACTTAAAATAGGGAATGGCTGTTTTAGTGGATTTTATTAGGGGGTGTTTTTTTATATTGTATTTATGACTCGGACTCAACAGCCGAAGCTGAAGCTCCAACAGTAAAAAATAAAAAAATAAAAATTACTGTTGAGTAAATAAGGAACTGGCAACAAATAAGGTAATAATTGGTGGTGGTGGGAAAAGAAAAACAAGGGAGGGCGGTAAAGTGAGTAGTGGGCAGAGAACTGTTCAAGTGAACAACATTTTCTTTTTCTTTTTTAGTTTTTTGGGTTACACAATTGAACGATTTTAACGGTTACAATTGGAATAATAATATCAACTTTCTAAAGATAAAAATTAAAAATTAAAAATAAAAACCAGCATTTTATTTTTAATCCTTATCCTCACATGAAGAATAGTTATTTTTCTACTCTAAACTTTGTGGGGTCCGCTCTCCCTTGTTATCTTTGGACGTTTCATTTTTCTATTTTGTGTAAATATTGATTATTTATTTATTTGTGGAAAATAAAAGAAAATTTGGAAAAGAAGCAGAGAACGGCAATCCGTTTGCGTAACCACAAGCACACGGGAGATATGTATGTATGTATCAATGTGTTTGATTGGATGAATAATATTTTTTGGGCTTGGGCACTCTCTCCCACTCTCATCCACCCTCCTAACCATTTCCTTCTTTCCCCATTATTATTCTCTCCATTTTCATCTCCATCTCCTTCTGAATCCCAATAACTCACTCTCTTTATTTCTTCCGTTACCATTTCCAGATCCCTCTCTCTCTCTCTCTCTTCCAAAGATCACTTCTTTTCATCCCTTTCTGGTTTTTGCATTTCACTGCTGCTGGGTTTGCTTAGTGGCGCTGAAAAATCATATCCCAGAAGATCCTAAACGATCGGTGCCCTTCTCTTTCCCAAAAAGCAGGTGCATTTCCTGAGGAGGTATGTATTCTTGTTGCTTTCTGGTTATTGGGAACTCTTTTTCAAAGCTTTTCGTTTGGTTCCTGGGTCTGATTGGAGTTGGCATGGGATTGCAGGATCTGGGTCAGCACTGGTTTTTCCTTCAGACTGAATCAAAGCGGTTTTGGATATTTAGGTAACTTGTTCTATCTGCGATGCTGCTGCACTTTTGGTTTTTTGGGTTATTGATTATTGTTGATTTGAAGTAATATTATGTAGGAAAGGAATCTTTTTTTTTTTTTCAGTATGAGAGGAGATTGACATTGAATTCATAGCGTAACAGATTGAAAGCTTGCATTTTTTTTCCTTGTTGAGATGGGTATCTTGTTGACTTACCTGATTTTTAGGATTCCCAACCTCTTAACTTGGAAAGGATTTTCTATTTGAAAAAGAAAAAAATGAAAACACCACTTGACATATCAATCCCATATCTTTCCCATCATATCCATTTTATGCAACTGTTGATTTATCTATCGAGCTTCCATTTGTGTCTGTCCCTGCTTGATTCACCGTATTTGGTATGTAGTGTATCTATGATTGCAGTTCTTGTTGGTGGATGCCGTTGATTTCTAGGAAAAATATCACTTCTTTGGCTGTTTTTTTATTTTTTCCCCTCCCGATCATGTCTAGAGTAATGTTCAGTTTTTCTTGTTTCCAACACCAGTGCAGGAGACGACGGAGACGACGAGCTTGAATTCATTGTCTCCTTAAATATATTTGTCATGATGATGTTTGAAGTTACAGATTTTAAATTTACAGCTGATCTAAAATATTAAAACTTGCATGGATTGTGAATTTGTGATACATTCAAGCGTTTTGTTTTGATCATCAAAGTTTTTGAATTTCTGGGTGTAGTTGATGTAGAGGTTTATGTTGTGGATGATTATCTTCTTGCATGCTTCTACATACATACATCTGCATCCTCTCAAGTGTTTATATAGAAAACAGAATGAAGCACCATAGTTCCTTTCCTTTTTAAACTGTACAACTGAACTCTTCATGCCTAATTTGACACCAACAAACTCATTATAACTTGAGCCAACTCGGGGGCAACAGGACGTTGTATTAGGGCGAACTTAATAAATTTAGGCGCTAACTTTATCGTTATGTATTTTTGTCTGAATATGCTGAGGGTTATTTTCTGTTGTGTACTTGCATCATATTGTTTATGTTAATTCAAGATCAACATTGCATTTTGTGGCTGTCGTTTATAATTAATGGACTACTCTCATTCCTAGAGTTGATCCTATCTTTTTTGTTTCCTAGATTCTCGCATTGAGAATATATATGGGTTTCCGACATGAACACAAAAGACCTATTGAAGTTATGCTTAAGTTGTAGACCTGCCTTAGAAGGAATGTATTCAATTGAATGAAGTAAAATTGTGGGCTGCCAGCTTTGTCTAAGTATTTTCTTGCTTCATATTTTTCATGCATGTTCTATATTCACATTTATTGTTTTCATCTCCTGTACCATATTTATGATAAAGCATTTGTACGTAAGTATTTTTCAAGAGAATATCCTAATTGAGAGACTGAGTTACAAAGAGGAGCGTGCGGAGTAAGACATGAACTGACACTTCTCTTTGTAACTCAGTCTCTCAATGTACTTCATTTTAAAAAGGCCCACCCGTAGTAAGGGTGAGCCTTACAAGTTACATGTCTTTTAGATAATTAGTTCTTGAATTGGGTAAAAGTTTCTTGGTTGAATTATTTGTTATTGTGCATTGGCTGCTGCATACGCCTCCTTTAAAAGCACTCAGTTTTTTCCACTGCCAGCCTGTTAATTTAAGATTTAATTGTCATCTATCCAGGTGGATTCTTGCTGTTTATTTTACCAGCATTTGCCCAAGGAAAACAATTTGAGGCAGAATAGTTTGTCTTATAAGATGTTAGGAGGCAACAATGGTAACGCCATGCTTCCTGTTTTCCTGGATGAAAATCACTTCCCATATCCGACAAATGCTTCAAGTCAGCTGCAGTTGTTTGGAAGTGGTGAGTTATCTGTAGCCTTTGCTAGCCTTTTTGTCTACATTCTTCATTCCGGTTAAAACTTACAGATAATTGAGATTCTCTGATTTTAATCATCGCTACACCTTCAGATGTAGACCATGTAACTCAATCTTTGTTCAGCATCAAAATTTCCCTTCTAAGAAAATTGAATGTTTAATTTATGTTGCAGTACCAGCTGGATGTAATGTTGATCCAGTAAATTATTTTGGAACTGAGCACATCACTCCCATGCTTCGGCCTAATAAACGAAGCAGGGAAATAGAAGATATCTCACGACAGCAGAAGCTTCAGATTTCTTTGAACTATAATGTCTGTCAAGATGAAGCTGATCGCTCGGCTAGCATTCCAAACCCAAACCCTGTATCAACTGGGTTAAGGCTATCATATGATGACGATGAGCGCAACTCAACAGTTACTTCTGCAAGTGGAAGTATGACAGCAGCACCTTCAATGATCCTATCCTTAGGTGACAATATCAGAACTGAGCTGGATCGGCAGAAGGAAGAGTTTGATCAGTACATCAAAATTCAGGTATTTATGATCTCCAAACTACAAATTTCCATATTTATCAATGGCCATTCTGTTTCCTTTTACAAATTTCCTCTCTCTCCCCACCCCCCCTCTTTTCCCCTCCCAAATCCAAAAAAATTATAATTACTCTATTTTCTTCATTATGTGGCATTCAATTTGAAATTTCAATCATCCTACTTCATACAGATATTGAATTTCAAAGATTTCTGCTACTTATGATATAACAAATCATCGATTCACTAAACCTAGATAATCATTTGAACTAAGAAATGTTGAATCCCATTCCCATCTGATTAAGGCTTAAAATTTCTAACAGGTCGTGGTGTGTTACCTTTTTTCCTCTTTTTTGTGTGTGGACATCATGCTATAACTTTCAGGGGTTTATTTGCTCGTGTAAATTTAATCTTGGATTCTTATTCAACAGGAGGAACACTTGGCAAAGGGGGTAAGGGACATGAAGCAGAGACATATGGCTTCTTTCCTTGCTGCTATAGAGAAAGGTGTCAGCAAAAAGATACGTGAGAAAGACTTGGAAATTGAGAACATGAACCGTAAGAACCGAGAACTGGTTGATAGAATTAAACAGGTAGCTGTGGAAGCCCAAAACTGGCACTACAGAGCAAAGTACAATGAGTCAGTTGTTAATGTCCTGAAGAGCAACCTCCAGCAAGCAATTTCACAGGGTGCTGACCAAGGGAAGGAGGGATTTGGCGACAGTGAAGTTGATGATGCGGCCTCATACATTGATCCAAATAACTACCTGAGCGTTCCAGTCGGGCCTGTGAAATCTGTATCCAAGAATTACCTAGGCTTGAAGGAGCAAATGGCTTCCAGAGCATGCAAGGCATGCAAAGCTAAGGAGGTCTCCATCTTGTTGATGCCTTGTAGGCACCTGTGTTTATGTAAGGACTGTGATGGTTTTGTGAGTGTGTGCCCTGTATGCGAGTCAATGAAAACTGCCAGTTTCCAAGTGTACTTGTCCTAACTTATGAAAGCTAGTAAACTTTAAAAAGGGAAAATCATGTGCACTGTTGATATATGATGTATGTGATTTTGTTTCATTGATATCAAAATTTGTATGTAGAGGATCTAGTTGTCTTCATAAAATGAGTTTAGGCTTTTGTTTGAATTTTTCTTAGATAAAATAAATTCAACTTTTCGTCATAATGACAACTTTGTTACAGCTTGTGTTGGCCTCCTCCATTTGTTATTTGCAGAAACTGGACTGTCAAAACTTTTCAAGAAACATTAAGACTTTTTACTGCTAGTGATGCATCAAAATTTCTAAACAAAACATGTTAAAGTTTCTTGCTGCATTTGCTAATATGTTAATAGTGGCAATAAAAGATTAATAGTATAAACTAGTTGCAAGAATCTCATTCATCTGTCACCATATCACCACCACCACAGCCATGGTGTCTTTGCTTGCTTTAATAATTAGTTGAAGCCACTCAGGGTTAGCACCATCCTAGCTTGCAGAGCCATTTCATGTGAAAGAATAATAATATTTATTTTTGGGCCAGGATAAAGATTAGGGGAAGGGACCGTCAAAAAGATCATTGGTTGTGGCCTCCTATTATAATCAGCTGCAGCCTGCCTGCCTCCACATGGTCATTATTCCTCAAACAGAGGCAGCCATGGCATCATCCAGACTTACACACAAATCAATATTCTATGATATGGTGCATCAAGTTTTAGGTGAAATCAAATTTTATATCTAGGATATTTTATGTGCATGCATCCGTAAGGTAGAATTCTATAGTGGGGAACTTATCTAAAGACCTTAGATGAGGTGTATCTCTTAACCGTTATATCAAATTTGCTAGTTTAATTCAACGATTAAAAAAAAGAATCTTATTTAAGGGCTTTAGATAAGGCCCTTAGGCCCTCACTCTAGAATGACTCATTCACAACACAGGGTTTCAGGCTTTCTGCTTTCAGCTGATTTCCTACCAGAATTGGGCTTTCAAGCCACCCTGTTGTGGTCCAAAGCATATGGACACATTAGCAGCATGGCCCGCAAAGAGTCTAGCAAAACAGCACCAAAAAACCCACCAAGAATTGCAAGTTGCAACCCAAATGTCAACAGAGTGCAGGATTGACTTTTGTATTTACTTAATGAAAGCAAGCAAAGCATGAAAAAAATGAGTATAAGAACGTAGATTTTCCATTCACACTCGCTTCTCCCTCTCTCTCTCTCTGTCTCTCACACACACACACGTATTGATATGGTTATGACTTGACTGCGTTGTTGAATGATGACCGAGACAAATTGGATTTATGGCTTCTCCTTGGATTGATAAAGCCTAAACGCTAATGAAATGTAGGTAAAAAAACGAAAAAGAAGGCCAAAACTGAATTATATATGTTGATGCAGCAGCATAATAATGGATGCATGATGAGCAGCATTCAGCCATCAAGATCAAGGCATCAAGTCAATGTTCACCAGTGTCTGCCCATGATAAAAAGAGATATTTAGTAATATACCAATTCTTAGCACTAAAACTATAAATAAACCCTACATCATTTCATTTTTATAAACATACCAAAAAAAAACCCAAAAAATGACAAATGGTACTATTAAATTTAATTTTAATTATTAAATTACTTTGATACCCTATTGAGTGTTTTGGGTTTTTTTATGAAATTTTGGGTTGGGTTTGTTTTAAGAAATCAATGGCAATTTTGTAATTTAAAAGAAGTTAAAAGCCTTTTTTTTATGTTATAAATGAGCTTTGGGTGTGTTTATAAATTCCATTTCATATAGGGTTTTTTTATAATTTGGGCTCCTATATTGGGTATATTAGTGAATCTCCCTAATAAAAACCCAATATTCAAACGTGCACACCACCAAGACAACGACTTTGTAAAATGAAAACAAAAAAATACTGAAAAAGTCTCACGTTTTACGCAATTACAATTAGCTTTCATCTTCATCAATTATTTTTATTTTTATTTTTCGAATTCTCTCCCAATTATCATACTGTTTATGTTCGGAATCAAGTTTTATTAAATACCAGGCCAATATGGTGTTTCAAGTGTTGTGTTGGTGCTAATATGGTGTTTTATCCCAAATCCCAAATCCCCAATCCCAAAGAAATAGAAAAACAAAAATTGTTACTTATTATATATAATTTTGGTATAATTTGTATAGATAAACACTACAATTGTGATTCACTACAACAACAAAAAACTAGTTGCAAAACTGAGTCAACTAGAGAGAGCAGCTGTGCAGTGTTGACCAAGGGCTCACCTTTGACTAGGGTTGGTAGGATTCATTAAACAATACAATTTATCATACACTCTTATATCAAAGTTGCCCTCTCGGATTTTATTTTATTTTCTTGTTTGGGTTTTACTATGAAGAAGTTTGACTCTGTATTTACACATGACGCCCTTATATGTACATGTTAATTAAAATAGGGAGGCAAAATGAGTGTGTAGAGGCTGTTCTTCAGGTTGTGATTGAAACTGATTCAAAAAAAAGTTTTGGTTGATATGTTTAATGCCGATACGGCGAGTGATGTCATGGTGGAAGGCTTGTGTTTGATATTAATAGATTGGCAAACTAGTTGAGGATTGTGTTGTTCTTATATCTTCCATGCGTTTTTAATGGAGCCGCACACTTACTTACCTCTATTATATCTCGATATGAATGTCGTTCTAGTTCAAATTGAGTCCAATTCAATTAACTTATTGATGTATTAACAGATAATCTAAGCATATTTATTCATTTTTAATAAAAAGGTTTTATCATTTGACCCCAAAATTTTTTTTAAGGCTTATTATCAAAAAATGTCCCTAAGGTTTACTAAACTATTAGATTGCATCCTTAATGTTTTTTTGTGTCACTCATGGTCCTCAAGGTTAGTATGTGCAATCACAAATGGTCTCTGCTGTTAGGTTATGTTAAAAACTCCGTTAGTTTGCTGATGTGACATACATATATATCACAAAACATCCATGAGGTTCACACACCTATCACAAATGGTCCCTATGAATTTTTTTTAAAATTTAAAATTCATTAAATGTTGGTTTTCTTTTTAAAATTATTTATAAATGAAAAAACCATTTATAGAAGGATTTTAATCTTTAGGACCATTTATGAACCCTAAACCCTTAGTTTTTTCATTTTTAAATTTTATGAATTTTAAATTATTTTTTTTAAAACTCCATTAATTTGTTGATGTTGCATATATATGGAGCCCACGTCTACAATAATATAGTGCCACATGTATTTAAAATATAATATATATTTTAAAATAATTTAAAATTCATAAAATTTTAAAAACAAAACAAAAATTTTATGAATTTTAAATTTTAAAATTTTAAAATTTTCGTAAGGACCATTTGTGATAGGTGCGTGAACTTCATGGATGTTTTGTGATATACATATATACAACGTCAGAAAACTAACAGAGTTTTTGACGGAACCTAACTGCAATGACCATTTGCGATCATGCATACTAACCTTGAGGACCACGAATGACACAAAAAAACATTAAGGATGCAATCTGATAGTTTCGTAAACCTTATGGATATTTTGTGATAATAAGCCAAAATTTAATTATCAATCGCTGAAAAAATGGGTGTAGATGATGATGTTATAACAACAAAAAGTAGCAAATAACATAAGTCATATCGCCTAGCAGCACACTAGTTTTGAAAAAAATGAATGCAAACAAGTAAAGGAACCCACCACACAAAGCAGCCAGCCAAACATTTAATACAGAATTATTCACCAAAATACCCACTCATTATATCTTAGTTTTTTTTTTTCTATCATAACCACTCATTATATATCTTAATTAAAAAGAAAAACAACCATATGAAAAACCATAAGCAGAAAATTTGTCATGACCACCACTTTTGCAGCAGTACGACCTTGACTATATGGTGTCCAAATTAGAATACTAAAATATGTTACATATGTGACCTGTGGAAAATAATTTTTGTGGATCATGGGGATGTAATGAGAAATTATTAACACTATCATTTAAAGTAATAACTTAGAAATAACAGAAGGTAAGCTATTAAAGTTGTTTGTTTTTGGTATAATCAAGAGTGAGCTTCCGTTGAGGGGTCTCTCAAATAAGTTTATTTGAAGGATATCCTTGTAACTTGTAAGGCACACTCCGTATTGTATTTCACTAATCCAAACTGTCTATTTTGTAGATATTCACTCAAAGATCATTTCTATAAATAAAAAGTCACTTGAATCCAATATCATTTGACTATTCAATTAAATTATTGAAATTTAAGTACTTTCTTAAGCACCGTGTTTATTGATTTTGTTGGTCTCAATTAGATGACTTAATAATTTTCAATTTTTCTAATTTTTTGTAAGGATAATCTTTGAATGAAGACTTGAAAAATAGACGGTTTAGATCGTTGAATTTTTCTTTTTATAGGATACCTTAAAGGGCGTCCCTATCCCTCAATAGATGGGTATTGTATGATTGATTAAACTGATTTTTTTTTCCGACTAGTTGACTAATAATTAATAGTATGCTGAAAAAATCAGAGTTTACATGCTTGTTTTTTTTGTAAAATTTATATTTCGCACTCTAATTTTATATTACACACAATCTATAGAAAAACGATAAAAGTCCGAACCTTTGTGAAGTTCCCATTTGTGGACTAGAGCGAGTGGCAATTGACATTGATGCTTTAAAAGTATAAGAGATGAACGGTGATTCACACCACCAAAGTCATCAACTTATGGTAACTCGCGAAGCAGGGGATCAAAGTCCACTAGAAAATTACAAAAACAGGCAGGCTGGGGTTGAATCCCTGGTCCAAATCGGTAGGTGCCGCATGTGTTTGTTAAGTGTGCGAGTGAGTGGTACATCTAAAAATAATACGTTGCCGCTAAAATTAAATTTAAGCCCACACCAACCTACCCCTTTTAAATTAAACCCCCACCAAAAAAAAGAATAAATTAGAAAAAGGCCATTGGCGTTTGTTTTTGGTAGCTATAAATAGACGAGTCCATTGGCCCAAGGATTTCAGTTGTGAGTTGCTCTGCATCTACCTACCTAACTCTTGTTCGTAGAACCAGCACGCACTCCTCTCCCCTTCTCTGTTTTTCAACGGTAAGTTTTTGCATTTCTCAGAAACCCAAAGCTTCCCTTCCAATTTGATCAAATAAAGTTTGGATCTTTGGCTTATGATTTGTGTGGGGAAAAAAATCAGATATGGCACGCAAGAAGATCAGAGAGTACGACTCCAAGAGGTTGTTGAAGGAACACTTCAAGAGGCTCGGTGGCCGTGAATTGCCCCTTAAATCAGCCCAAGTGAGTCTTTTTTTTCTTTGATTCAGATTCCTGATTTATTCTCTGTTTTTCTGCTCTCTGCTTAGTGCTTGTCTGTTTGTTATGCATTTAGATCTTCAAGTTTCAAACTTTGGCGGCCCATTTTGAAAGATTTGAAAGATTCTTCGTTGTCATTTATATATAAATAATTAAAACAAAAGAGATCATGTGGTTGGAAGTGTTGTTTAAATGCCAATTGTGGAGTATGTGGTTTGATTCATGGATCTAGTCCGAGCTCAATAGATTTATTCATTAAGAGGGTATTGATTTTAAATCTGGTTTTGCCCCCTTTGGGTTTGAATAGCCTTAACTGGGTTGTTTAAGGTTCAACCAATCTAATTGTATGATGCCATTCAAAGTAAATTTGATCCTGCCAAACATTATGTTGTAAACTGTAATTCAATGATGGGTTTTTTTGTTGGCTCGCGCCTCAGATTACTGAATCAACCGATCTCAATGAGCTAGTTGAGAAGGAATCTTGGCTTTCATCTTCCAAACTGGTTGTGAAACCTGACATGTTGTTTGGAAAGCGTGGGAAGAGTGGTTTGGTTGCTTTGAACCTTGACTTCGCTCAAGTTGCCACCTTTGTGAAGGAGCGCCTTGGCAAAGAGGTATTTATTCTTCTCATTGTTTCTTACACATAAGTTTCTTGTGTTTTGTAGTTCATGCTATCATTTCCTTTTAAGAATTTAGAATTTTGATTACATGTTTCATTTTTGGATTTACAGGTGGAGATGGGTGGTTGCAAAGGACCCATAACAACATTCATTGTTGAACCCTTCATTCCCCATAATGAGGAGTTTTATCTTAATATTGTCTCAGACCGACTTGGGAACAGCATAAGCTTCTCCGAGTGTGGAGGAATTGATATTGAGGAGAACTGGGATAAGGTACTTTAGGATGTCAATTTGTTTCCCAATATTTCTTCCTAATACAAAATACACTTTTAGCAATTTGTTTGCTTGTATAAAATTGTCTTAGCACTTCATGTTTATAAAAGAATTGTACTTGATGCAGGTTAAGACCATATTTGTCCCTACAGGAACTCCTTTCACATCAGAAGTATCTGCACCACTTGTTGCAACCCTTCCCTTGGAGGTAATTCCTTGGCAGTCATTGATATCATATATTCATTATTCTTTATTGTTTTGTAGGAATTCAATGTTCAGCTTTGTTCTAGCATTAGGTTTCTATTTTCTTGACTTCAGTACTCAGTTCACTTCTGACCAGGAAGAAACAAATATGTTACTTGTTTTCACTTAATTTATTACTGGTTTGGTGCAATGATATGCTATATGTCAATTGAGTTCATGTTCATGTTCATTTTGGCTTAAATTGAAAGTCATTGACAAATATTGTTCTTGAATCTAGATCAAAGGAGAACTTGAGGACTTTATCAAAGTCGTTTTTACTCTATTTCAAGGTGTGTTAACAATTCTTTGACCATTCCATTTTGTACTAGAGCTGCAAGACGTAAGAACAACATTATTAATTATTAGTATGTTTCAGATCTGGACTTCACTTTTCTGGAGATGAATCCTTTCGCACTGGTTGATGGAAAGCCATATCCTTTGGATATGAGAGGCGAGCTGGATGACACTGCTGCTTTCAAGAACTTCAAAAAGTACCTTTCGTTTCCTTTAGTTATTATTACCTTCTCTGTTTCGTCATACATATGCCAAGCTCTTTACTGGTGTTTTAGCTTACCACTTTCTATAACACCTTACATTATTTAATTGTTTCAGGTGGGGCAGTATTGAATTTCCAATGCCATTTGGAAGGGTTATGAGTTCTACAGAAAAATTTATTCATGGCCTAGATGAAAAGGTACACACATATGCCTTCAAATTTGAGATGAAATCTTTACATCTCGTCAATGAACTTTTCCATGGAAGATTTGAGTCATGTATTTATACTTTCTTTTAATACTCTTAAATAATACCCTTCTTGTTTCTTGTCCAAATCCATGGTTGTTAAGTAGGAAAGGAAATGGCTTGGTCCTGGCACTACCAAATCCCTCCATTAAAATTTTACAAGTCAGCTGATCCCTAGTTTTTCAAATGATTTTTTAAAACCATTATCTAGCATGAAAGCTGAGATTCCTGCCATTGCCGTTTATCTAAATGAATGTCAATAGAAATGCATTCCAAAGTTCAGAGTCTTCTAATCTTTGAGAAATAAAGCCCTATTTTTTCAGTCAACTGGTATGCATGTCTTTAGTCTGAATTTGGATAAATGATCCCCTAATGTCTCTCAATTGTAATTTTATATTGGTAACTCTCATCACATTTCATTAAGTAACATCCACTTAGTAGCCTTGTCATTGTTTATTTATCAGGTTTATTTGTCATTTGCTTGCAGACTAGTGCATCTTTGAAATTCACAGTTCTCAACCCAAAGGGACGAATTTGGACTATGGTAGCTGGAGGAGGTGCAAGTGTCATCTATGCAGACACGGTGCGGTTACCTAAGATTTGGAATATTTGAACCTTGTTGCTTTTTGAAAGTTATTTTTCATTGGCATTAATTGCTCATACCCAAAATGATATTCCTTGGTCAGGTTGGAGATCTTGGCTTTGCTGATGAACTTGGAAACTATGCCGAATACAGTGGAGCACCTAATGAAGAGGAGGTATTGCAGTATGCCAGAGTTGTGATTGATGTAAGAAATCTTCACTTTCACTCTTAGCATTGTATTACTATGTCCATTGTGGACTAAATTGGTGCTTTCATATTTGACCTGTGCATCTTTTTTCTTCATAAAATGCAAAAATCCGGCAACACATGCCTACGCACCTCAGACTTTGGTTTTGTGTATAATAATCTTATTCCTTCTACAGTGTGCAACGTCAGACCCTGATGGCCGTAAGAGAGCCCTTGTAATTGGAGGAGGAATAGCCAACTTTACCGATGTAGCTGCAACATTCAATGGTATCATTCGAGCCTTGAAGGAGAAGGTGAGCTTAATCTACTGGGCTAAGAATCCTATCTTTGTTATGTTAATGTCCGTTCCAAGTGTGAAAATTGATGATGACATATTTGATTACTCAGGAATCAAAGCTTAAAGCCGCAAGGATGCATCTCTATGTCAGGAGAGGAGGTCCCAACTACCAGAGGGGCCTCGCAAAAATGCGGGCACTTGGAGAGGAAATCGGCATCCCAATTGAGGTACCAATGTTTTTGAAATCTCTATTGTTTTAGCAGACATGCAAATACTTGAAATGCCTGTCAGAAGAACTTCACTGAAATTTATTCTTCTGTTTCTGTGTTCTCTTCTTGTAGGTCTATGGACCTGAAGCAACAATGACCGGTATTTGCAAACAGGCAATTCAATGCATCAGTGTTGCTGCATAAGTCATTCTTCAGATTGTTCGCTCTTCTCCTTTCTTTTCTTTTCTTTTCTTTTGTGGCAAGTTTCCATGTCTCCATTAAATCCTTGTACCAATTTCGTTCTATCAAAAACCTCAGCGAAGTTAATGTAGTTTGTACGTGCTAATGGGTAATGGTAGCGTGATTGTACTGTGTGACCTTGTTACTGAAATAAAAAGTTTACATTGGCGTACTCATTTCTCTGCATTTTGAGATCCTTGTTGTCTTGTCAGTAGTCAGTACCAAAAACCTTAACCAAAGTCGAAATGTGCATCAAAATGCTAATGTGCCGCAAATGAAAAACAATGGGGAACGAGCATGGGCTTTTTCTAAGTTCTATGGGTTTGGGTTGGGGTTCAAAACAACAGTTGGCCAAGAGTAACTTGACCAGAATGAACACAAAAGCTTGATTCAAACCCATTAATTATCAAAGGCCGTTAGATGCGGCTCTATTTCTTAACTGTTGGATTAAATTAATTAATCATGTTGTTATATCTGTAGTTTTCTATACAAAATTCATATCTTGTCTTATTTTAAAAATAGATTATTTGTGCATATATCATGCATATGAAATATTGATATTAATGTTGACACAAGACCCATGTAGATTCTTTTATTGGTTTTCTTTTCTTTGAAGACTAACATGAGAAGTAGAGCGGGGTGGGTGTATATGCACTATTCATGCAGTAACGCTTTGGACGAATTATATAATGAAAAGACGTAGCAATCAACAAAACAAAATATTTTAAAATACAACGTTCATATTTGTTTGATTAAATACCAGTAACATTACATTTATATAGACTTGTTTGGGTTATTGGTGGTTGGTTGGTGAGCTTAATTTCTAGGTTGCCATAATGCGGCTTCACCTTTACCAACTTTGAAGCCGCAAGTAACCAGTCATTGAAATTGTAACGTAAAATATAATCCCTGAGAATCTATCTATATTTTTTTTTAGGACTTTACCTATTGAGAGGGGTGTAGTATACTAAATTCACACATGCTACATGCATATCGAACTCACGTTGTAGACTGTATAGGTTGTAGCCCATACAAAAAAAATTATTACTTTCAATATCCATGTAAATTGTAGTTTCTTCTTACTCGTTTGTTTCAAACAAAATTTTGTTGATCTATTCTTTAGTTCCTTTTCTGTATAACAAGTATTGTAAATTTGTCTCCTCTATATGGTTCATTACATCATTTAATGCTAAAATTGATGTCACGTTATAGAGGATATGAAATTAATAGTTGATATTATACTTGATGCCTCTAATACTTAATGGATTTTTTTTCCATGATCTACATTTGGATGTTGTTTCTAAGTTTATTTTGGGGTCGGAAAATACATTTAGCAACTCATTATATTGTAGGACTATAAGAAGGTTTTAACAGCCCTAAGTTGAATTTTCTATTTTCAGTAGGTTTGTATTGAATGTATTTTTTTTAAAAGAACATACATAAGGTAAATTTAGCCCATCACATTTTTAAATTTTGGATCCGTCACTGACTACATGAAGGCTAGGACTCGAACTCAAAACCTTTCCTGGAGAAGCAATTGCTCCAAACCTTGCTTTACCTATATATGAAGAATGATGTTTGGTGAAATCTTCAAAAAATTTAAAATATTCTTAGAAAACTCCCCCTTCACATTTTTTTTTAATACTGTCCCTCCTTCATTTATTTATTTTAATTTGTTTATTAGGTTTCTTTTATTTCTCGCGATTTAACAAAATCTCTATATATAAAGCAAAATGCTGAGAATGGTGAAACATTCAAAATACCAAAAAATATCATTGGTTAATGCAAACACTAAGAATTGAAATTATTAATTAAATGAGGATAATATGGTAAACTCACACTTTTTCATATTTAAAAAATTAAAATTAAAAGAAAAATCAAATAATAGATTCTATTTTTATGGAACACAACTACCAATTATCTTTTTTAATTCTAAAATAAATTAAAATTTTTTTATAAAAAAAAGCATCTCGCAGACGTAGAAACGCATACAGAGAGGCTAGTTAGAAGAATTAGAAAAAGAAACAAAATACATATATAAAACTCACACCACTTGTATATATATATATATATATATATTTTTTAAAATAAATTGATTTAAAATTCTTTCTTGGATCTTCCAAGTTCTTTCGACTGCCGACCAAAACATTGCTTTTTTTCACCAAAAAAATAACATTGCTTTTTTAAAAGTTGGATATCATGTAGTCTAAATATGGTTTCATTACATCCACCAAACCTGATTACTAAAAAGTGATAAAGATGGAGCAACAAACACTTACCCATGTTAATATATTATTATTATTATATCATCCTTTTCTTTTTATTTTCTAAATATAACTTGGATAGATCATAGAATTAATAATGAACTTTACAACGTTTTACTCTTGACCCTAGTAAAAAAAAACAAAAACAAACAAACAAACATTAGAACATATGACCATGTTTTATGCATGTGCAGGCGTGTAATATCCAGAGATAGATATGGACAATAATAATAAGTACTTTTGTGGCTTTGATTGAGATACATAATTGCACGTTTTTTGTGTTCTATCATAAATCATAAATACCACAGCAGTGCGACATGTAATTCCACGAGTTAATTTACACTAACATTTTCGAAGGTTTTCAACTTTTTCACAAAAACTCCTGAGATTTCGAAAATTACACGAACACTGTCTGATGTTTTAAATTGTTTTCACAAAATCCATTTTTATCGATTTTTCGTCCAAAAATTGATTATTTTATATATGAAAAATTATCCGAAAAACAAAGTTAGCATTTTAAACTAGATTGCACATACATTCACTAAGGTTGCTTTTGTCATTTACACACGTTTTTTAAAATGAAATTATCAAATTTTGAAGGAACAATCAATAAAAAAGGGATTTTGTAAAAACAATTTGAAACTTCAGGAGTATTTGTGTAATTTATAAAACCTTGAGGAATTTTATAAAAAAGAGTCAAATATCTGAGGGAGTGTTAATGCAAATAACGCATAATGTGACTGACGAAATATATAATATCAAATCATGTACTATTTCTTACCTTTTTCAGCCCTGCATATATATCATGTCATCCATCATTGTTTGGACAGCTAGGTTGGTTCGTATGGTATTGCTTTCTGTGGTTCTAGTTCATGTGTTATAAATGCTGATTTAAAGCCAGAATATGATTCAGATATATCTAGATGAGGTGGCATGCATAGGTGGGTGCCTCATGCCACACTGTGATCTTAATTGGTAATTACTGAGAATAACTCAAAACCTACTTTCTTTGTGTGTGTGTGTTTTTTTTGTCCCTTGGTTTCATTATATAAAATAAATTGGGTTTAAAAGTTATAGTTGTAACGATAGATTTAGGCGCAATAATTTATGTTTGGTTTGGTTAGGCATGTAATTTTTATGTCAAAATTTATAAGGTCTTTTGTGACTTGTATTTCGATTAACCATTTGTGATTATTATGCTTCTATATTTGCATTACTCATTTGCAATGGCGGAGCCATGATTTTACATTAGAGGAGACCATTCACAAAATTTTATAAAATAATTCGAAAACATACTGTTGAATCAGAGAGTAATCTAGATGGATAACACGATATGTATTTATTTGTAGGTATAAGTTCCAGGGAGCGATCCCCTTCATTACAAGAGTCCCCCCTTATTTATAGGGGGGTTTGATAATGGAATGTATTACAAGTCGACTACCTCAGCTCGAATTAGAGTTGCCTAAATCGACTCTAATTTAAGACTCTCTTTATAATACTGTCCAGAATATTATAAACGTTTAATCTGGTAGTTAAATAAATAAAATAAAGAATAAAGTCTACAGTTGATCTCATCCAGATTGCATTTTCTCCAAGTCGTTAGACTTAGGTTACTGGTCGTTTTGGGGTTGCCTTGGTTAATAGCAGCATCGCTGAATTGAATCCTCTCTCTCTCTCTCTCTCTCTCTCTCTCTCTCATCCAATCCAAATAAATAATTCTCTCTCGAGTCCTGGACCAAAATATTCAAACAGTGGCACCCTCAAGTCGTTTGAAAGTAGACAGATGTCATTTCCATGGTGGCCTGGTTTGGGCTTAGATCATTACACATTCTTTTTGGTTAATGGTCAAGCCCCAAAACGGACGGCACGGATTTCTTCACCAACATCAGATCGTGGTCAGGTCCACCCACAACACCCCACCCCATCTCACCGGCCACCGCACGCCAATGCCTTTGTCTTTTCATTCATTCTTTTATTAATTATAAAATCAAATTCATAATTATATTGCAACGTACATTGTATTGCACACCTAGTATATATACGTTTATGTTATTTCCTTGCCATGTCATTGTCAAAACAAATACTGCGTAAAATTAATTCTACTGACCTCCTTTTCTTTGTTTGGAAAATGCATTGTATTTATATATACACTTGTATGTTTACGTATAAATTACAGTGCATTGTACCTATACATACGCTACTTTACATTCATGTTCTTTTATTCAATACCTATGAATCATACCAAATTTTCAAAAATACTTCTTTTTTTTATTTTAAACTTTGAGGTTAATTCAAAATTTGAATTTTACAGTGAACAAATTTTATTTATTTATTTATTTTTTAGCCAAACTTATAAATGAAGAGAAGGAAAACTCACACATGGGTATCATGAAGACTTGAATGAAGACAACTTGAAAACGCACCAAAATCCTGAACCAATCCAACTAATACTCCATTGAATTTCTTTTTTAGTACATTCAAAACTTCATTTATTCGTAACAAGTATCTTATTACGATGTCAAGCACAAATATAAAAACTACTTAGAAATACAAAATTTTTAAAAATGAAAATTCAAAATAGCATGAGCGGATCCAGAGTCCATCCAGCAGTGCAGGCTCCACATTCCTTGTCTGCTTGCTGGGCAAATCTCTTCTATATAATGCATCCCCCCCCCACCCGCAAACATATGCCACTCAAACTCATCTCTCTCTTCTTTCTCTCTCTGGAATTAGCAATGGCCGAGGTTCAGACTCAGACCACCAAGTCCAAGGTCGAAGAAGATCAACAACAAGCTCCACTCTACGGAGACATCCTAGAATCCATCCTCTCTCACGTCCCTCTCCTCCACCTCGTCCCTGCCTGCCACGTGTCCAAGTCCTGGAGCCACGCCGTCTCTTCCTCCCTCCGCCACTTCCACAGAAACATCAAGCCCTGGCTCATTGTCCTCACTCAGACCACCAGGTACCCCTACGTCACCTCCGCACGTGCCTACGACCCCGCCTCGCAAGTGTGGATGGACATTCATCCGCAGCCGTCCGATATCCCGTCCATCCCCATCCTCCGATCCTCGCACTCCACTCTCCTCTACATGCTCTCCCCCTCCAAGTTTGCTTTCTCAACCGACCCCCTCCACCACACGTGGCACCACGCGGCAGCCCCGCTCGTCTGGCGAACCGACCCGATTGTTGCGCTGGTGGGCCACCGGATCATCGTCGCTGGCGGCACGTGCGATTACGAGGACGACCCCCTCGCGGTGGAAATGTACGACGTGACGACCCGCACGTGGGACACGTGCGACTCCATGCCCGCTATTCTCAAGGACTCCGCGGCCTCCACGTGGCTCTCGGTGGCCGTCGATGACAGCAAAATGTACGTGACGGAGAAAATCTCCGGCGTGACCTACTCGTTTGATCCGAATTCCAAGGAATGGTTTGGACCGTACGATCTGGGCCCCGACGGAAGCGTATTTAGCTCCGTGATCGGATTCGCAAACGGCCGTTTGATTTTGGTGGGTGCGGTGGGAAATGCGGAGAATTTGAAGGGCGTGAAGGTGTGGGAAGTGAAGGGAGCTTCGCTTGAGCGCAAGGAGATGATGGGGGAGATGCCGGCGGAGATGGCGGAGAAGCTGAAGGGGGAGAGCGGTTGCGTGGCGTCGATCGGGATGAGTTGCATGGGAAATTCGGTGTGCTTGCATAACCCGGCGGAACCAGCGGAGATTATCATCTGCGAGCTCGAGGGCGGAGGATGCAGGTGGGTAAGCGTACATAACGACGTCGTGAATGACGGGAGCCGAATGCAGAGGTTGGTGGTGACGTGTTCGAATGTTGGTTTGCCGGATTTGCATAAAGCCGTACAAGTTGGAGCACTGAGAATCGTGTGAAAAGTGGCGGCATCAGTCATCTCTGTCTTATTGGCGGAGAAATTAATCCTACTTTAATTTTATTTTATGAAAATTTATCCCCATTAAACTATGTATTGTGGCAAAATTAATCCTACTTTAATAATGTACCGTTTTATTTCCGTAGTGTAATCATTGGATTATTAATACCGGCTCTCATCAACTTCTCCTAATATCGTTGTCCACCGTTTTTATTAACAATATAACTAAATTTTGTAATGTAATGTATATATGTCTCGTAACGTGATCATTCACTTACTGAATTTTAGTCGTGTACAATTCAACTTTCAATACTTTCCATTGCTAGTCTCAACTTAGGTGGGCTGACCTCAAGAATCAAATATTTGAACATTGCGGTTGTGTAGTGAAAAAGCAATTACATAAAACAGGGTATGTTAGTGATTTATCTCATCAACCTGTATATAACTTTCAATTAATCTCATATATATTTTTTTAGAAAATTAAGGATATTAATATTTTTTTCGCTAATTTCTCCCCTCCGTCTAAATTTACAACATTTCATTCAATTTGCCGTTAAAAATGAGAGCAAAATGGTCATTTTGTGTATTAAAAATAAATAAACAATTAAAAACAGAAATACTCTCTCTCTCTCTCTGCAAACAAAAACTATCAAGAATTGCGCTTTCTCTTAGATTGCACACCTTGCTGTGTCGATCTTTGCCGTTGGAGGCCCTCGAGACGTGGATGATGCGGGAGTGGTGCCACCCGCGGAGGCGGTTGTTGGCGTCTACAGTGGCAGCCCTCTTGAGGTCTAGGCACGATGGGTCTTGATCTTCGTCATCGGCAGCTGGGTTAGTGGCTCTGCTGCTGCCATTTCCAATTCTTGGTTAGTAGATTAACAAACAAATCAAAGATTACGGCCAAACTAAGAGCCAAGACCTCTTGGTCAGTAGAAGTGGCAGCATGAAGACAAACACAAAAGAAGATAAAAGAGCAGAAGTTGCTCTCGTAAACCCTTTCCCCCACAATTCATAATTGCATGCATTTTGAAGACAATCTTTTGGAAACCATTAACCACAAAGGCCTAATTTTCCTTTGGTTTTTATTCCTTATACATGTGACATCAGGAACCCAACAAGTTCTTCCTCCAACCCTACCACAACGGTGTCCCTTGGTTAGCTTATTTGATTCTGCTTGTTTTTTTTCCCTCAATTTCCTTTTTAGTAGGCCCCTGTGGTCAAGATTCGATGGGGCTGGTTTAGTCTATTCTGTGGAGGCAAGCTGTATGACATCATCCCTGCTAGATCTGTTGTATTTCATGTGGCTGGTCATAAGCTGGTCAGTATCAATGGCTGCCAGAAGAGAAACCTCCCCTGCCAGGACAGCATCGGCTACAATTCTGGCCAATTACCTTGCGTTTGCACTGGGGGACTCTCTGTTCGCACCCTTCACACCCAGTAGGTTCAAGCAGGCTGACTGAGATGCAATCGTTCAATTTGGGGACTTTCTTTTTTCTTTTTCTTTTTTTGCTGGGTTTTCGGGTACTTTGGTTGTGTTGTGATGGGGTTGATGTGCTGGAGGAGACAGAGCTAGGGGAAGGGGGCGATAGGGTTGCTGGTTCAGTGTTCCTTTTTATTTTTTTGGGTTCAATTTTTAAAATAATTTAACTGAAAATTGTATGAAATATTGAGGATTTAGACGGTATGGGGAAATTGAAAAAGAAAAAAAAAAAAAAAAAAAAAAAAAAAGGTTAGATTGAAAGTTAGGTACAAGTTTCAATAGGCAAATTACTAATATATCCTATAAAATAATAACAACTCCCCTTGACTAATCTCATAATTCATACATTTGGTACCCATCATCAGCCACGGCATGCATCCTAATGCGTAGCAAAACTAGTCATATATGATCAAAATTAAAAAGAAAAATTAAGATATATTTAGTTATATACCTATTCTTAACACTAATAATGTAGATAAACTCTACACTATTTAATTTCTATAAACAAATAAATAAATAAAAACCAAAAATTGACAGCTGGCCCTATTGAATTTATTTTTTATTATTAAATTACTTTGATGCCCTATTGAGTGTTTTGAGTTTTTTTTTATAAGGTTTTGGGATTGGGTTTGTTTTAAGAAATTAATGACAGTTTTGTAATTTAAAAGAAGTTAAAAGTCATTTTGTTATGTTGTAAATGAGCTTTGGGTGTATTTTTAAAGTATATTTCATATATAGTTTTTTAATAATTTGAGCTACTATATTGAGTATAATAATGAATCTCCCAAAAATCAACACCTATAACGAAAATTCTTAACCAATATAATTGAAAATTCTCGACTTGTATTTTCCAACGAAAAAGTACTGATGGTCTGAATGAGGAAATTGAAATGCAGTGGCTGCATCAACAATTTCGAATTGGACCAATCAGTTTCTTGATATCTATCTTGTTGTGTGCTTCAAATCGAACCATGAGTAGTTGTCACGACAGAGGGGCCTGAAAAAGATATTTTTTATGTAACCCTACAAATAATGCTATTCTTTGATGTAACCATCCCTTGTCTGTCCTTGTTTTGGATGCCCCAGCTCCCATGTTAAACGATACACGCAGGGCAGGCAAATTTAAGCCCATGACCTTCACTTATCTTCTTCTTTCGACTTCAACCCTATATGTATTCTCCTCTTTCTTACATATATTATTATGTTTAGCTGTGTACTTGTATGTCATTCTCTTCATTAATTGGGGTTTGGGACATCCAACTTTCGACTTCTTCCAACATTGAAAAGAGAAGTACTATTAGATTAAGAGATTGTTAAGGAGGTTGTTGTCCTTGTGTTCGGTTCAAGCTGCTAATCATTTTTTAAGATTAAGTTATTATCCATGCCTCTCCCAATTGAGTTTCGGATAATTACGCAATCCTTTATATTATTTTCTGGTGTTTCTGTTTTATAAAGCATCTGCTACAACAACAAAAAATAAGAACAAAAGTTGAGTCTGATTGAGGAAGCCCACTTCACAAGTTTCAATATGAAGCCCAGAAAGCTTCCTTGTGTGGGCTTTGTGTACTCCTCATGCTGATGTAATTGGGGTGGTTGGGATTGAGAGCTCAACCATCGTTTTTAATCTATCGTTTTTTATAAAATACAAAGTGTTAGGGGTGTTCAAACTTGATGTCACTAGTCTACAAAATAAAGTCCTTTTTCACTCAGCCCGGCTATACCCCGCTGAAATCGCTGTCAATTTTGGTCAGTGCAGCGTCACACCATCCACAGATTAGTTGGAAAAATCAAATAAAAATATGACAAATAAGAAATAAAAGAATGAAGAATGTGAGTTATAGGGTTCAGCCATTGGTCCACCAAGACAGGCACATCACCTCGTAGGGGACCCACTTAGCCCAACATGTAAATTATAGGCCCGAAAGGAATCATTTCTCCTTCCTTCCTTTATCTTCCCAGATAGGGTTGGTAGTTCAGGACCATACTAATTCTCACTCACCCAATATTATATATATATATTTTCTAAAAATAAAATAAAATAAAATCGGCAACGTGATTGTAATTTGTATTATTATGTATTATTATCATTATTGAGTGAATGTTAGGTTTGGAAAAATGGGATTGCTACCATTACCTGCCTGTTTGGAGACTTTGACTGGAAAAAAAACGGATTACCAAGCAACTAAACTTTTTTCAACTTTTAAAATGAAGAAAAATGAAGCAGAAAATGATCTGATCAACCACTGGGGCTAACTTCATTATTGAAAGTCGCACTTTCTAGTATTCTTTTGTGAGGTTGGTCGTAATAATTCAAAGTCTGCTTTTGTTTCTCTTTTGAAAGGGGAAAAGGTTCCAAAAAAGCATTTACCTAATCATGCTTGCTACTCTCTGGCTCGAATTGCCCTATCCATTTCTGTCAATCGCTTCAAATTCTATCTTCTCACCCAAAAGAAAACAACAAGCTCAAAGGGTTGGTGTGACTTGGGACAAATACCTACATATCCAATAAAATACCTCAAAGTTAGTACTGCAAACAATAAGCAACTAAAACTACAAGTTCTAATTTTTCATCCGTAAGAACTTATACTTTTATGCCAATCACAATTCAGCATGCATATTTTTTTAACAAGTATTTTTAGTTTGTTGTGTTTGTAAATAGTGCCCTTGCTTATATGTTAGCCAGGGTGGAATTGGATTTTGTATGGGACATTTGTTTTAAGGTAGAGATTGTAATGGGTTGTGTTGTGTCAAGATAACAAACATGTTAATAATGCTCAACCCAAATTATGCCCATTTAATAAACACGTTGTGCCGGGTTCTAGTCGTACTGTTTAATAAATTTTTAAACATGTCATATGTTTAAGAGGAGGCTGAATTCAAAATAGAGATGAGAATAAGAATGAGGTGATCAACTTAGGCTAAGGGTTTTCATTTGGGTGGGTTGAAATCCACTACCCTAGGGTGTACATTGGAATAAAATAGAACATGCCAATACAATGCATGCCACATATTTATTGTTATTAATGAAAATTAAAAGTTAAATTGTAAATTTGTCAAGTAAGTCATTTCGCGGGTTAGCTCTAAACCCACTTGTTTATTAAACATGTTATTGCGAGTTAACCCGAATTTGACCTGCAAATTTAATTATGCGGATTTTGAGTCATTCATTGGGTCACGTCAAAATTGGCACCCCTGTTAGGCATTGGCGAACCCAGGAATTTTTCGGTAGATGTGCAATTTTGAAAGGCTAAAAGCTTTTTTTTTTAAAAATAATAATTTTGACAACCAAATAGCCTTATAATTTAAACAATGCTAATTTCATTTATACGTCAAAAATGAAACTGGCACGATTGATGAAGAAGAAAAAAAAAGCGCAACATGTTTCATCTTTTTTTTTTCTTTTTCTAGATTAACTATGAATTACATTTGAACACACTTTAGAAGCTTGATCGATACAATATTCTTTTCCTTGGCACAAGACTTGATCGATAAATCAGTTTTTATAAAAGACTTGGAGTTCTCTACAAAAAGAAAACAACAACAATGGTTTTGATATTGGCCAAGGTGTGAATAAAAAAAAATAAAAATTGTCATTTAAAAAAAAAGAGGAAAGGAACCAGACCTAAAATTACTGAAATTCAAATTTTAAAGTAAAAGCAAAAGCAAGGACTCCATCTCCGTTGAAATTCATATTAGGATTTGAGATGGGGCATCTTGCATGATTAAAAGCAAATTGAGATTTGCTGCATATCAGTGATATCTCCTTGCACGGCTTCTTCAAATTGGATTGGGAGGCTTTTGTTTCGTGTCGGCATCAAATTTGCAATTTTTATTTTATTGCCTGGACCAAAACGATGTCGTTTTGAAAAAAAAGGCGGGCGCTAGCAACACAAGCAACACAGCAACACACGAAAGAAAGAATATTGTTTAGGCATTTGCTCTAGCAGTTGGTGGGCAGCATAGCAAAAGGGCAACTCCAACGCTTCTAAAGCTTTTTATGATGAGGAGAGGTGTAACTGCACCTCTTTGCGCTTCTGTGGGTCCGCCACCACTGTTAGTTCAACCAATGAGAGTGCATAGATTTTAAATAAATTATTATAAAATAAAAAATAAAATAAAAGTTGGGGAGCTAGGAGTAGTGGGTAAAGTGAGGAGAGTTCATCTTCCCAAAAACGACCAAAATACCCTTGGATTAGTGGGAAGAAGTGTGGCCTCCGGAGCATTAATTATTGTACCCAGAAGACCTTGAGAATTAACATAAATTATTATGAATGAACAAATTACAATGAGCATAATAAGGTGAATTAGCTGCATTACTAATAACGGGTTAAGGGAATATTCAGTTTTCCCAATGCGACAAAAATGCTCTTGGGCTTTGGAGTTTGGGTTGCATAAACTCATCATAGAGAACACCACCTCACGGCATCATCTGCAATTTTTTTTATCATTATTTAAAGACTGCTCAGGCCCTCATGCTAATAATATTCATTTTTATTATTATCATACAATTAATTTATTAAACTAATAAAACCTTGTATTGTATTGCAGTTATGTCCTTTGATTCCCAAGAATTTACCAACATAACACTCATGAGTCGTGATTTTGTTGCATACGAGGATACCAATACCTTATCATGATATCATTTTATTTTATTTTAATAATTGAATATTATGGTATAGATATAAAGTAATTAATTTTATGATATTATTAATTAAAAAAAAACAAAAATAAGGGGATTGTTTAGGAAAATTATTATCTAGATCTACCCCTAAACATCACTTTCAGGTGTTGTGGTACCAACTACCATACTACAAACACACATTCTCTTCTTTTTATACTATCGAGTTGACCAAATTTAATTATTCTTAATTCAATAACGATGACATTTTAATAATTAGTACCATTACTACTCGAATTTCATATAATTTAGTAAACAATTTTAATAGAAATTTAGAATCTAATTCTTCTCAATCTACATGGTTTAGTAAACAATTTCAATAAAAATCTAGAATCTATATTCCTCATAATTCAATTACGAATCAGTAAACATGTCATTAGTGCAAATATTTATAATTAAGAAGATCCTACACCATTTTAATTATATATACCATCAACTTTAAAGTTTGTATTAAAAATTCAAAATTTCAAATTTCTCTCGTAATTTTCATTTTTATCCAATAAATACCTCACTAAATGTTTTGAAAAGTTATTAGAAAAAGGACAAGTGGGACACATTATAACATGGGCGTAACAATCGGATTGTCCACGTGGGCGGGGCAAAGGCGGGTTTTAGAGATTCTCTCACGACACCCGATGAAGAATATAAGGAGGGTAACATACTACAAACCGCACCTCGCGGTTCGCAAACCCACACCACAACAGGCGTGTACTGAACCTCACATGCTCGCTTCCTCTACGCTTTTCGCTGCCAATACTCCTACCGTCGCTATAAGATGTGACAAAATCTTTTTCACACCAACGATATTTTAAATTATTCTAATGTACGGAAATAAGTGTTCGAAATCGGATGCAAGGAGGCAGATACATTCTAAAAATATTCCAATACTACTGCCCATTCCTGATCTGCATATTTATTTTTAACATAAACTTCTTTTGCCGAGCAACACAACATAAAATGTTCACCTCATGAACTTTAATCCTCTTGGAAAAGCGTCCTAAATGTGACAAAAAGTTTTTATCTTCGGTTGGATTTTGGAACATGGCTGGCTACTGCTAGGCTACTACAGCAACTGAGGAGTACAGAACAATGAACATGATGGCTTGAAATACCCGGCTTATTTTAGCGGGAGATGGGCCATGCCCTGCAAAAGAAAAAAAATAACTTTAACAGAAAGTGATTATTTTATGTCGTTTAAAAAAGAAATTTGAAAAAAATTCCAGGCCAAAAGCCAACAAAGGCCAAGACAATCCAATCCAAGCACGTGACCTGCCAAAAACTTTCCTGCAAATTTTTTCCCTTTTGCATAGACATCCCATTGTTCTCTCTGATCAATTCCATACATCCCTTCAGTCCAATCACCCAACTTTTTTTTTTATATGACCCCAAAGTTTATTCTTTTTATTTTTTTAACCTTCTGAAATAATAAAAACCCTATTTTTTTCCCTCTAAAAAAGACGCAATTTTTTTCGTTACTGGGTCTGCTCTGTTCGCATCTGTATCTGTGTCCGCCTTTGGCCTTTTGCATTGGCCCTTGCGTGTTTGGTTCTTTCTGGTGTGAGTGAGTTTCACTCACCTTTTTACTATTTGAATGAATTTCACTCCCTGTGAAAGAAGATAATGGTTTAGTGGAATCGCAGGGGACGAGCTGAGCTCGGCTACAAACCAACAACATAACCCACAAGGAATTTGTGGGATCACCCAAAACATATACAAATCAAACCCACAAGTCTCAGATCTCTAGGATCTCAGCAATTCAGCCTTGATAGATGCTTGTTTCTCGAGAAAATTCTCTTCTTTTTGCTGTTTGTCTCAGCTCATATGGTGCCCATTGTACTCAGTTTGATTCAAATTCTCTGTTTCCGAGCTGAGGATTCGGCGGGACAGTGATTTTAGCATCCTTTGTTTCCTTCAATTTTCATCAACAAGTCTCTGACTTTGTTTGCTTTGAAAAGCCAAAGTGAGCAGTTCCTGTCATGTGTGATATTGGGTTTGGATTCTGATTCTGAGACTGCAACTCAGTTTGGATAAGTCAATACTTCATATGAGAATGGCTAAATGTGTTTGTTGGCTGTGGTGGTTTTGAATAGAGGCTGCTCTCTGCTCTGGTTGCATAAGGAAAGTTTAATGAACAGAGAAAACGAGTATATGGGAACAACTAGTTTCATGTTGTGGAAAGTGGGTTTACTTCTTTTGGCATTGATAGAGGCTTCTTCTGCAACACTTTCTCCTACTGGTGTAAATTATGAAGGTTAATTTCTCTTGGAATACTGTCATTTTCTTTTTGGCTTATCTTCAAATTAAGCTTGAGAGAAGATAATGAACTATTCATTAGAATTGCAACATAAAGATTTTTTTTTATTCATTAAAAAAATATGCCCAGATGAAGGAATGTTTTTTGAAACAGTAAAGTCTATCCTTCTTCATGGTTCATGCTATATTTCTATTTCTTTTTTTGGTTATATTTTTTCCCACTAAAATTGGTCAGTTAATGCTCTTATGTTCCGTATGAATTTCGGAACTACCAACATTATTGCATTATCTTAATTAGGTACGGCTGATGTTTAGAACTCCTCTATTTCTTGTGCTATTTTTTTCTCCTTAACGAGTAAATAGAAAAGAAAAATCAGGATGAAACTAACCTAATCTTCTTTTTTTTGGAAATACTCACAGTTGAAGCTTTGGTGGCCATTAAAAGCGATCTAATTGACCCACATAATGTTTTGGAGAACTGGGATAGTAACTCTGTAGATCCCTGTAGCTGGAGGATGGTTACTTGTACCGCCGATGGCTATGTATCTGCTCTGTAAGTTCTTCTAGACAGATTGTGGTCAGAAAACAAAAAAACAGAGTAGTTATTAGTATTTGCCAATTTAATGAATTCATTTCTCAGTGAATGGTTTTTTGTTTTGTTTAGGGGATTGCCTAGCCAGAGCTTGTCTGGTATCTTATCTCCTGCAATTGGAAACCTCAGTAACTTGCAATCTGTGTAAGTTTACACCTCCTTTATAGTGTTGTCTGAGCATTCGAATTTTTTTGGGTGCCTTTTCATTTTGTTTTTGCTTTTTACATTGTTCTTCTGAAATTTGAATGTGATTTGATATTGCAGTGCAAAAGTGTTGTGAGCAAATATGACTGTTTTACTTTTGTAGGTTGCTTCAAAATAATGGCATCTCAGGTCCAATTCCCACGACAATTGGGAATTTGGAGAAGCTTCAGACACTTGATCTCTCCAATAATTTTTTCACTGGTGAGGTACCAGATTCTTTGGGCAACCTGAAGAACCTGAATTATTTGTAAGTTTCAAAATCACCATATCACTTCTTCCAAACTTTCTGAGATTGAAAACATATGCAACTCTTGCACTCGAAATTGTAGCTATTGCTTACACCTTTCCTGTTGTTATTATTTGAGCAAGACAGGCGGTTAAACAACAACAGCCTTACAGGACCCTGCCCTGAGTCTCTGTCCACGGTTGAAGGTCTCACTCTTGTGTATGTCTTTGCCCCTTGTATTATGTGTTCTACTGTTCCTTTGCTATATGGGAAAACCTACGAGCCGAGCTTTATTTTTTCAACTGACATTTGTGTAGGGACCTTTCTTTCAACAATCTGAGCGGAACCTTGCCAAAAATATCCGCGAGAACTTTCAAGTGAGCCTTATTTTCTTTTGATCCAGCAATGATAAGTTCCCCATATAATTTGGTACCTTTCTTAATCTTATTTTGTTTTTCTTTTCATTTCAGAATTGTAGGAAACCCTTTGATTTGTGGTGTAAAGGCTGAGAACTGTTCTGCTGTCCTTCCAGAGCCCCTATCTCTCCCACCTGATGCTCTAAAAGGTATATATATGCACATTGTTTTTCTATTTTCTACAGTCTTTGTCGCGACACTTTGATGACAGTCTACATTGATGAATTTTGGCTTACTTAGCTCAATCAGACTCTAGGATGAAACGCCGCCACATGACTATAGTCTTTGGTACAAGCTTTGGAGCTGCTTTTGGTGTCATAATAATTATTGGGTTACTTGTTTGGTGGCGATACAGACACAACCAGCAGATATTCTTTGATGTCAATGGTAAGCTTTCTCATATTTCTTCCTGCTTTTCCATCCTTCAATATTAGTATCTCAGATAGTTTAACAGCTTGTCAGGGGTGCTTGTGTTTTAGAAGTTATAATTCTGATTGGACCTGATCTTAGTCACCACTGTCACTTCATTCATAGATGAAACACCACAATTAATGATGCAAGTTTGAGTGTTTCTGTATTATTTGAGGGATCCCTCAATAGAATGGGACTGTATATATATATATATATATTTTAAGCATTGGTATTCTTTTTCCTGACCTATTATTATCCATGCATCCTTAATTTTCTGGGTTGTGTAGCAGATCAATATGACCCAGAAGTGTGCTTGGGGCATTTGAAGAGGTATACATTTAAGGAGCTCCGGGCAGCAACAGACCATTTCAACTCAAAGAACATTCTAGGGAGGGGTGGTTTTGGGATTGTATACAAGGGAAGCTTGAACGATGGGACTCTGGTGGCGGTTAAAAGGCTAAAGGACTACAATACTGCTGGTGGTGAAATCCAGTTTCAGACAGAAGTAGAGATGATTAGTTTGGCTGTACATCGAAATCTTCTGAGGCTTTGCGGGTTTTGTTCAACTGAGAATGAAAGACTTCTTGTTTACCCTTTTATGCCTAATGGAAGTGTAGCCTCTCGATTAAGAGGTTAGCCTTTTGTTTTACATAATTTTACACCTTAAAATTGGCTACTCATTGTTTGGCAACATCTGACTTGGGATCCAAATTTGTTACACCATTCTATCCTGCACAACAGCACTCTGCATCAAAGCCATAGATGTCACATTACCACCTTTACCACTGCATTAATTTTATTTGCTGTTACAATCCCCCTCTAGCCAGGACACCAAAAATGTTGCCTAGCATCCAATAATGTCCTCTTGTACAGCACCCAGTACCGTGCACTTTGACCCAAAAAAAAATTATTCATCCAAATATTTGTGATTATGATTCAACTAAAAATAAATCCATTTATAACTATTCCCACACTTTGCTGACCGCAACCATATGTTGCCCTTGTTATCTGTTCAAGCTGAAGTATTATTGTAGCTAAATTGGCAATAGTAGAGCTCTGAGTTATTCAACAGTCTATTCCTATGAAATAGATGCTCTAACCCCGACTCTGACTGTTTCCAATGCCTGGTAACTTGAGAGGATCTGGCATCTGCCTATGAGTTAATTATTATTATTATTATTGTTTTCATTCTGGGCTTTTGTATCAGATCATATACACGGTCGACCAGCTCTAGACTGGGCAAGGAGAAAGAGAATAGCCTTAGGGACGGCCAGGGGATTGGTTTATTTGCACGAGCAGTGTGACCCCAGAATTATCCATCGTGATGTTAAAGCAGCCAACATTTTGCTAGATGAAGACTTCGAGGCAGTTGTTGGAGATTTTGGGTTGGCAAAGCTTTTGGATCACAGAGAATCTCATGTGACCACAGCTGTGCGCGGCACTGTAGGCCACATTGCTCCAGAGTATTTGTCAACAGGTCAGTCATCAGACAAGACAGATGTGTTTGGGTTTGGGATCTTGCTCCTGGAGCTAATCACAGGTCAAAAGGCTTTGGACTTTGGACGAGTTGCAAACCAGAAGGGTATAATGCTTGATTGGGTACACTCTCCCTCTTCCTCTCTCTCTCTCTCTCTCTCACACACACATGCAAGCCGCACATTTAAGCATGTACCTAATTGCATTTATGAACTGATTATGATCTCAATGTAAGATAAACAAGTTGAAAACGCCTAAATTGAATTATGCAAGAAAATGGGAATTTTGCCAGCAGAGTGACCAGGAACCTTTTAACCACCAATTAAACACATATGGTTGCTGGCATTCTGTTCCTGTTTCTTGTCCCAGTGCTACATACATGAAATATGAATACCTTAATTTCTTTAGTTCCTAGTAGTATTTTTAAGTACTGGTGGATTTGTGAGATAATATCTTGGTACTACAAATCAAAAAAGTTCTTCAACATACATGGGTGTGTAATACATTGCAGGTGAAGAAGCTCCATCAGGAGGGAAAGGTGAATCTCATGGTGGATAAGGATCTAAAGGGCAATTTCGACAGGGTTGAGTTGGAAGAAATGGTTCAGGTTGCCCTCTTATGTACTCAATTTAATCCTTTGCACCGACCAAAAATGTCTGAAGTATTAAAGATGTTGGAAGGTGATGGTTTAGCCGAGAAATGGGAGGCCTCACAGAAGATTGAGACACCAAGGTTCCGGTCATGTGAACACCCGCGGCAAAGATATTCAGATTTTATAGAAGAATCTTCACTTGTGTTAGAAGCTATGGAACTTTCTGGCCCTAGGTGACAACTATTTTTCTTTTTAGCTATATACCTCCCTCTTATTAAGTTGCTTAAGTTTGAAATCAGAAATCTGTGATTGTTGATAGCTGTTGAATGCATGTATTCATCTGTAAAAAAAGAAAGAGAGAAAGGAAAGTCATGTACAAGCTGCTTCTTTTTCTCTGTGGGAAAATCAATTGAGTTGATTGAGCTTCTTTCAGAGAAAGTTTTGGACTTGTGTTAGAAATTTGTATGTAGTTGCTTTGTATCTAATCTCTAGTTGGTTCTAGTTCATGAATGGATTATATGTTTCCTCCATAACCATACCTTGACTGTTAAAAGAAGGATTTTGTTCAGGCTTTTTCAGCTAAGCAAAGGTGTCTGTTATGCCTTTTTGGGCTAAGAAAAGGTCTTGTTTCAGACGACCCCGACTAGATTATTTTAACATCTGAGATGCATAGAACAGAAAACCATGGCAGGCTTTTCAGTGCCTTTGTTTTTGGGTGTTGGGTCCAGTGCAGGAATGAAATCCAGGCTTCCAAATCCAATATGCAAAAGAATGACCCAAGGGACAATTGTGCCATGGCCTAACCCGTCCATATTTTAGAGGCCCAAGATGAACCCTACCCATATTTGCATAGGTGATCAGCATCACTTGTACAACGGTCAAACTTTGTTGGTGAAAGTTTCCTGTCTCAAAATCATAATCTATTTTGCAAAAGAAAGAACAAAGAATCAGAAGCCTCAACCAAAATCTTACTTTTTTTCATTTTGCCACCTAAATATATACTATTTATACATATATGGGTCCAAAAAAGAAAAATATATGTATCCCAGTCGTACTCAAGACACTCCGGTGAAGGGCTTTTATTTTTAACTTGTATAGAGTGAATTCATAACAACGCAACGCCTTCTTTTTGAACATGATCATATTCATATGAATCATTTCCTTCTTCTATTCTTAATCTCAATTTCCTTCATGTTATGCTGCTTCTTTGTTTCAAATGAAGAAAGAGAGGGGAGACACAGGTGGTTTCTGTGTTTCGCGTGCAGCGTGCTCCATCACAGTCGCCCATGTATGACTTTGATTCCACTACGCGTCAACATTCCTAATGGACGAAGTTATCGGCCATCACTAAATGTTCGCATGTTATGGGCCTCAAGGCCAGGCCACGTGTCCTCGTATGTGTCGGCGGGAAGCCAACTCATATTTGTGTCGTCTTGACAGCAGTTAACCGAAAACACTAAAATTTTGAACGCTCTAGACAAAGCAACCGCTTTGCACCATTTATTACGAGCTTTATTTACGCCGATGCCCTTTCCCAAATGACTCGTCTGTCCCGGACTTATATGATTTATGCTTGGGGTTGTGTCGTTGTAAATGAAAATGAGAACAAAAGAAAGGGTAGTAATGTAAAAGACGCTTGAAGCTGACTGGCATCATTGTACATTCAGGTGGTCTCAGTCTCACAGTCTCTCTCTCTCTCCACGCCAAAGAGCAGAAGAAGCCTTTTTTTCTCCAGCACTCTGCTTCTATGCGTCACACTCACCGCTCTCCATAACTTTCTTTTTGTATTTATTATTTATTTTCTTTTGTTTTCTTTTCTTTTTCATAAATGAAAGTATGCCATTCCACGTTTCATCTTGTTGATCTGTCGAAGCATATCTACTTATCTCCTTCCTGATCATGCAAACGGAATTCATATTTCCCTCACGTTTTCGTTAACACCCCCTGCTCTCTCGCGTTTTGTCCCCAAGCTGGGTTTGCATTGTCTTCAGCCATGGTTTGGAAGAAGCTTGCATTTCCAGAGCAGTTTTTTTCACCAAGAAGAAAGGTGATTTCTGGGTTTGGTTTGGGGATTGGAGTTTCTATTGTTGTACTTGGTGTACTATTGTTCAGCAACTCATTAAAAAGTCCTACAGTGGAACCTTCGATACAAGGATTCTATAGTGTTGGTCTGAATTCTGGTTCCGTTTCATGGCCTTTCTCATTTTCAAGTAGTTCTGGTTCTTCTTTCTCTCATGGTGCTAGTACTTCAGAAACGCCGGAATCTATTGATTTGGAGCATAAGGTTGAAGAAGGAAGGGTTCTGAACAGAACCCATGAAGCAAATTCATCTGTAGTTGCTGGAAATCCAAAATTTGTGGAGGCCAATGGGAAAGGGACGGTTTTGGAGAATACCCATTTTCAAAATTTTACAGAGGAGGTTAAAGATCGAAGCATTGTGATTGAAGACGAAAAGAATCAACAGAAAAACAGTGATAATGGGTCATTAATTGCTGAAAAGGGTAAAGTTTTGAGTTCAAATGGGGGAGGAACTGTAGTAGAGATTGCCCATTTGGGAAACTCCTCTGAGCTTTTGAAAAATGGAAGCTTGCATGGTGAAGAGGAGAGGGTGATTGGGAATTTTAGCCTTTCTGGCATAGAAGATGTGCATGCAGAGAAAACAATTGAAGGCAGTTTGTCAAAGAATTCTAGTAATGAGGATGATAAGGTCACAGAAAATAAGAGGAAGAAAAGCGTTCGGGAGACAGCTCATCTAGGAAATTCGAAGGAGAAAAACAAGATCATTGACTATGATTCTCAACTCAGGAAAATGCAGACTGATTCTTATCAGAAATGTGATATATTTTTTGGTAAGTGGGTAAGAGATGATTCAAAGCCATATTATCCTGGAGGTTCTTGCCCATACATTGATAGGGATTTTAATTGTCACCTAAATGGGAGGCCAGATAATGCTTTTATAAAATGGAAATGGCAGCCAAATGAGTGTGACATCCCAAGGTAAAATCCATCTTCATTTCTTGATGTTTTCTAAGGTGTTTTTGAGCTTTAATTCTCATATAAAATTATCGAATGAAAAGTTTGTTCTGTCGTCAGAACTTATAAAAATGTATTTCTTCTCTGTCTCTGCGTGGAAGAATTTCTTTTATCATGTGTTTAAATATATATTATATATATATAGTGTGTGTGTGTGTGTGTGTGTGTGTATGAAAATGCAATGGGCATAATTTAATCATGTGATATTGGTTGAGCGTGATTGAAGTATAGACCATGTTTAAAGTGCTCTCACATTTTATGTAGTAATCTTTGAAGTCCTCTTTTTTCGTACTCTTGTTTATTACTTATGTGATCCTCAGCCTGAATGCAACCGATTTTCTGGAGAGGTTGAGGGGAAAGAGGTTGGTGTTTGTGGGGGATTCACTGAATAGGAACATGTGGGAGTCTCTGGTGTGTATTCTTCGCAACAGCCTTCGATACAAGAGAAGAGTTCATGAGATTTCGGGAAAGAGTGAATTTAAAAAGAAGGGCTTTTATGCCTTCAGATTTGAGGCAAGTGTCCATGACTATATTCTCCATATGTTGTCAAAACATCATTTTTTCGGTTGAAAATCTCTGATCGTCCATGCTATTGCTGCACTGGCAGGATTATAATTGTTCAGTGGATTTTGTTGCTTCTCCATTCCTTGTTAGGGAATCATCGTTCACTGGTCGAAATGGTTCATTTGAGACATTAAGATTGGATTTGATGGACCAGACAACTTCTATGTATCATGATGCTGATGTGATCGTTTTTAACACTGGCCATTGGTGGACTCATGAGAAAACATCTAAAGGGTGTGTATTTGCTTTGTTAAATTGCTTTTCTCCTTGCTGTGCGAACTTAGCTCTCTGGTATTGAACGGTCCTACAACCCTTGGGTTGCTGATACTGTGAATTAAAACTGTAAAATATGTAAAGAGAAGAAAATTTTAAATGCAATGTTCTACCAATGAAAAAATGAAGTCACTTGACTGTAAACTCTCTCATTTTTGCATTTGGTGGTTTGACAGGGAAGACTATTACCAAGAAGGCAACTATGTACATCCCAGACTGAAGGTTCTCAAAGCATACAAGAGGGCTCTCACCACTTGGGCTAGATGGGTTGACAAGAACATTGATGTCAAGCGGACTCAGGTTTTCTTCAGAGGATATTCAGTTACCCATTTCAGGTATAGGACAGTGCTTTCTCGTTTCGTTGCCTCACCACTATTTATGCTCTCAAATTGTTGGAGGTATCTAGAGTAAACCTTTTAGGAAATTTAAGTTTGTTTAGATTTTCCTCTTATCATAATAGCATCACAGAAATTTATGTTCGCATTTTATAAGGGAGATCCTTCTTCGGTTTCTGCCCGTGTACTATGCCACAAAGACCAATTCTGAAACAGTTTGATCTGGTTGTAGCGGAGGGCAATGGAACTCAGGTGGGCAGTGCCACAAAGAAGCAGAGCCAATCTTTAATGAGACTTATTTAGGGAATTACCCTTCAAAGATGAGAGCTCTAGAGCATGTACTTCAAGAAATGAAAACTCCAGTGACATATCTAAACATAAGCAAGCTTACAGATTACAGAAAAGACGGACACCCTTCCATTTACAGAATGAAATACAAGACAGTAGAAGAACAGATTACTGCAGAGCAATCTCAGGATTGCAGCCATTGGTGTTTGCCTGGGGTTCCAGATACTTGGAATGAATTGCTATATGTTTCTCTTTTGAAGGCCGGAAGGGCATCGGTGGGAAGCTGAACAATCTTATACAGAAGCTGTGTCTACCTAATCATTTGTTATTCTTTAACTGTCTCGGCTTAACTTTTGTGTAGTGTGAGTTTCTCAAGTAGCCTTACATGCTGATTTAGATGATGCATGTATGCAGAGTGGGTGGGCAGCTGTTTTTACGTTTAAAAGATATCCACAATACCATTTCATTGATACTTGAATTTTTTTTTGAATTGATGTTATGGATTGATCCATGTTGACAACAAGAATAAGGTTTTCAGAGGATCAACTTAGCTAGCAGGAGCAGAATTGGAGACACTTTCCATAAACCAAAGTTGTTCTATTTTTAAGATTTAAAGAACAAAATTCCATCAATCATTTCCAATTCCAGCATAAACTAATAAATGAAATATATTAACACACAGAAGACACACAGTATGCTGCTTACACACACATTCACAAGAAGGGAGAGAGAGCAAGATGTTACTCGTTTTGCAGCAACTGAACTGATAAAGAGAAGACTACTAAGTACTAATCATCATATTAAAACCACACACACTTGTATTATTACATTCTCATACTATTATTGACAAAGCAATGAAGCGTGTCATTATCTTTACCTGTGTGGAGGCTTCAACTCAACAATTGACTGCCATTTTGCTTTTTATTAGTTGATTCTGTAGTATACATTACTTGTCTTCCCTTGATGACTCTTATGAATTTTACCCAAAAAGAAGTGGTGGCTTTATCTTATCAATTTAACAGAAGCATAAAAGTGGGTCCCAACGGGGATCAATTAGATAGATATATTAGATATATTAGGGTATCTAATTGAAAAAAGAGAAAAGAATAATCGAATTCATTCCTTTTAATCATACATTATGAGTACGAGTAATTGATCAGGTGATTATTAAAAGAAACATTAATTTGAGTTTATCTTACTCTGAATTTCCAGCAGTACTTGTGGGAGATTCAAATGCTAGTTGGATAACGAGTGCTAGTGATAATAAGTGTACATCAATTGCTGGATGAGCAATTTCTTGGGCTTCAAAGAAACAACAATGTATGGCACATTCAACTACGAAATCCCTTCACTTCACTGGAAATCACCAACAATGGTAACTCAACTTTGTCTAAAACATCATTAGTTCAAAGTTTAATGGGTGATAACAAGTTATTGTTAAGTGATCACTGAAATTCAATGTACATAGCCCATTCGAAGATAGTCAGTGCAAGGCCATAATAAGACTAGGTTTAAGTTAAGGCCACCATAGGCTATGTTAAAACTTTGATTTACTTGTACTAATTGAAGGTTTAATTCGAAAGACACCGTATTGTATTGTATGCATGATAATATTGGTGTGATTGTGTTACAATTCGGTGGGGAATTGTTTACATATTTGAGAGAAGTGTGAATTACTATATATATATTGTTGAAATTGGGAAGGATTGTTGAAGATTTCAATAATATATGGAGTTAGTCAAATTCAACTTCTACGGCAAAGAGATTTGATTCATCAATATGTCTTTTGGTTAATCAATTATATATCTTTTGGCTTAATGATACATACCAACTAATTTGCCTTTTGGTTGAAATGGCATACACCAACAGACGTGATATTTGGTAGTGTCCTTTGAGAAAGTGGCGTTGCACACCTTCAGATAAATTGAATAGGTGCCTTCTATACTCTATATATACTTCCTATTGTTAACAGAGCAAGATATCAGAAACCAATCCTAAATAGTTTCCTATTCTCTCCACTTCTACAAGCATACAATTTCCTTATAGCAATTTCTAAGGGAATTCTTCGAGTTTTTGCTATTCGCATATTCCAGACTTTGTTGTATCCTAGAAGTGGTTTGCCAAGAACCCTTTAGCAAACTCAATTAAGTGGAGGCAAATAACACTTTAAGGAAACGATTCAAATTGTACCTCGAAGTCTTTCTTCATATTTCAGTTTTTACTCAACACGTTTTGCAGCAACTGAACTGATATAGAGAAGAGAATCATCAGATTAAAACCACAAACACTTGTATTATTACATTCTCATGCAAGAACTCAAAATAACATAACAGAATAGAAAGATATCCTTAAATTAAAAGACTCGTGACTGAGCCGGTTGCCGATTTGTGACTTGCCGGTTCGCCAAGCACTAGCCAAACCTCTGCTACCTCTAGATCATTGCCTTGCTGTAGTTAGCAGCCATTGACTGAGCTCAGACGAACTGTTGAGTTTTGGAGGAGGTTTGAGACAAACCTCACTCCATGTCCATGCTGTTAAGTCCCATGGATTGGCTCTTCATGCCAATCTGTTTCCGCACCCATCAAGATTTGGAGAAACTAAACTGATAGGTTGCTCTAATGATATGATTTCCAATCCAATGGGCACTTAAAATGGACAGTGGAGACATAACTCTCTGGCTATTGGCTTTAAATAGCTGATATTTGATCAGGATCTTTACTTGAATTGAAACCTTGATAACCCATCTACTCCACTATCTAAAAATAATGGCCCCATGCTTTTCTTTTAAAAATTGCACCCTCAAAAGTAAACAGAAAAATCTCCCATCAGATGACTATGTTACCCTTTCACCTAATTCCCATATAGTTCTGATTCTTCTGAGTATCGTATGATCACTCTTCAACTGTGTTTAGGAACTTGGTTAATTGCAGACATGGATTCATTTCCATGCTCAAGAACTTTCAGCTTGAATCTTGATCAACTACATATTAATTTCTGCAAAATTATCATTTTACTGGTTACTCATCTGCATCTGGGAAAATTCATAACAAGGGGCCTTTAAAATTGTGAAATCATAGAAGGATATTAGTGTCAATGTAATGAAAACTTTAAAAGATTCCTATGATATGTGTTGGTGTGTATTACTTTTAATAATTGGAGTTTTATACTTTTATGTTGCATCAGTGGTACCACTAATTCATCACTCATGCTCATCTACTCCTTTTTCCAACTCCAATACCCCTAATTACCCACTAACCCTTTGTTACTTGGCAGCCAAGCCGAATTTCCTTTTCCATACTATTGATGGCTTGGTGAGCTAGACCAATAATTTAACTAATGTGATATGAACCCATAATGGAAATTTCAGCTCAAGCTGATTCTTGGTTGAAGCCAAATGGATTCAACCTAGCTGCTTAGCTAGCTAACAGTCTCCCTCAAAGAATCATTTACAATTTAATGCTCATTACAAACACTTGAAAATATCGCACTCATTAAGTCATCATGGTCCATTGAGTGATACGTTTAGCTTATATAACACAATTTCAAAAGTCTAATACATCATCTGATTGATAATTTGTCACTGTTGGAACTTGATATGTTTTGGAAGTATAGAAAAATCCACTGGTCTGTAGGGATTGGACACTGTGGCCATTATTGACAAAGCAATGAAGCGTGTCATTATCTGTGTGGAGGCTTCAACTCAACAATTGACTGCCATTTTTGCCTTTTCTATTTGATTCTATTCTACGCATTACTTGTCTTCCCTTCCTTGATGACTCTTATGAAGTTTTACCCAAAAAGAAGTGGTCTCCTCCTCAGAAGTGCACTCAATTACAACAGTACTTAAGACTCTCCACTGATGAGGCTTTATCTTATTGCCTTTCTCTTTATGCAAACAGAGAAAACAACTATCAGTACTTAAAGAATCTCACTTTACTCATCTGTTTATGTCAATTTTCATTTCTTATACAGAAACAGATTGCAGATTTCATATGGCCAACCAATGTTGTGCAAGAACAAGCCAACTTAGTCAAGTTGTTTGTGGGTGACGAGGTAGATGAAAAGATAATTCAACTTAATTAGTCACGTGAAATGACACAAGTACTGTGATTAGTAGATGCTTAGTTTGTCTTCACATTAAACTTCAACTGTGCAAAACAAATTCGGGGCCAATTTTCAATTAACTTCCTGTACAAGATATTCTCTGATTCCAAAAACTACTAAAAAAAGTAGCTTCAAAAGAGTCGTTGTAAGCAGATCATTAAACCAAGAAAAAACATGAGAGTTTTGTTTTGTATCCAGTGAATTTGTGGCCTTCTGGGAAGGTATCGGCTCAGCCCCACTTAGTTCTGTTCACTAAAATGAAGAGCCCAAACTGAACTCAGGGCAACAAGCCCTTTTTGAAAGCCCAATTAATCACTATCAAGAGAGAGAATTACAACTTTAATTCACTATCAAATTGACGGAATGTCTTGCTTAAGAGAACTAAACTTTAGAAATGATTATTTAATACAAAAATAATGCCAAAAGCCAAGTGGAAATAAAATAGAGTTTTTCTATTTAAACCTTGCACTTCTCTTTGTTCACCTCATATTCTAAGTTCACCCCAACTTTCAATTCAAAATTTCACAATTTCTAAGAAAACCCCGCTATCTTTCCAAATTACCCCTAAGTACACACCCAACAAAAGAATTTTTTTATAAAAACTCATCAACCTCATACCCCACACCCCGCTATCTTGCCCCTCACCACTCTAAATTCACATCAACCTCACATTACTTAAAAGAGATAAAAACTACGTTGTCAAATGTGTGAAATAAAAGAGCTTTGTAGAAGAAATCATGGGAAATAAAGTTTGAGGAGAAGAAGAAAATAGTTTTGGAGAAGAAAGAAGCCCCTTTAAAATGGGAGTAGGAACTAGAATCTGCTACCAAGGTAAAAGCTGATGCTGATGCTGATAGCGATAGTGACACTAATAGCAGTGATGGGGGAAGAAAGTTGAGTAAAAGATGGGAGAACAAACTTAATATGAAGAGTAATGGGTGTGTGTACTAAGATTAAGTATTAAGTTTGATGACCTTTTTTTGTCTTTTACACGATAATAAAACTTAAGATCTTAATAATTTAAGTATTGTGGTGAATAAAGAAAAGTGTGGAGTTTAAATAGAAAAACTCAATAAAATATCTTAAACAAAAAACAAACCACATCAAACTCCTAAATATTCATGAGAATTATTAGACTAAAACAAACTAAGAAACAAGACCACTGTTCCACATCCTCTTGGGC